AAGAGACGCAAGGGCGTCCATGATGAGTTTGGTCAGCGTCGATGATATAATAAAGGAGAAACAAGACTACAAGCTCCAGAAAGTTGATCCATTTTTCACGGATGCGAATAACGAGTACGCCGATAAGTTTGAGAAGAAGCTTGCCGATCTGAATGGCAAGAACTCAGAAGACCAGCTCTGCATTGAGGAGTTTCTCGAGAAGAGTGAAAAGGACTGGTTCAATCGATACCGCGATGTCAAACTGGGCAAGTCCCCCTTATCATCTCCTGCTCCCTCTGTCTTTCGCTTCAAGGTCAATGAAACTAGTCGAGCAGAGACCCCGCCAATTACTGGTCCAGCTGCAGACCCAAATGCCGGGCAATTCCTTCTCCCAAATGACTATATTACCCCCACGGGTTTGAAGCGTTTCATGTTGATGAAGTTGGGTGATTGGCCTGTGTACTCCATCTTCCTCGCTATTGTGAGTTGGAACCCTCCCAAAACCATTTATTACAGCCGCTGACAGCATTCTTTAGGGCCAAATTCTCGCCTTGAACTCGTACCAGATCACACTCCTGAACGGTGAGGTTGGACAGACGGCTGAAAAGCTATACATTCTGGCATCCATCTATCTTGCTTCTTCGATCATATGGTGGATGGTCTTCCGTCTAGTCCCCTCAGTTTATGTGTTGACGATTCCTTTCTTTGTACGTTCACGTCCCTCTATCTAACCTACGAGGTTGCAAGCTAACCATCCGCAGATATACGGGTTTGCCTTTTTGTTTGTCGGTCTTGCCGGACCCATCCACAACGGCACAAGTCAAATGTGGCTGAAAAACGTGGGAACGGGCTTGTATTCGTTTGCATCTTCGAGTGGTTCGATTTTCTTCGCCCTCAACTTTGGAGATGAAGGTATGCAACCCCCCTTTTAGGAATTATGGAACTTATCTGACTTTCTTATCCAGGTGGCGCACCTCTGAGGTCTTGGATTTATCGAGCCACCGTCATCCAGGGCACTCAGCAGTTGTTCATCAGTTTCCTTTGGTACTGGGGTAGCTGGATAGCAAGTCTCAACCAAAAGGGTAGCACGCAATTCAGCCTTGCCGTGACCGATCCAGGTGCTTTGCTCGGAATCGGAGTCGGAATCGCCTGTTTTCTGTGGCTTTTGGGAGCCCTGGTCTTCTTTGGACTTCCTGCATATTACAGACAAGCACCAGGTCGAGTGCCGACATTCTACCTATCGCTCTTCCGCCGTCGCATCATTCTTGTATGTCTCTTGCCGTTCTCCTTCAAGCCAATTTTTGATTCTGACGCTATATTTGCAGTGGTTTTTCTACATGGTGTTCATATCAAACTACTGGCTGTCGGCACCGTACGGACGAAACTGGCTCTATCTCTGGTCCAGCAAGCATGCCGAAGTGTGGCAAATCGTGCTCCTTGTCCTCTTCTTTTTCATCATTGTCTGGGCAGCAGCGCTCTGGGTCTTTCACGTCTTTTCCAAGAGACACGCTTGGTTCATACCGATCTTTGCCGTCGGCCTTGGTGCTCCTCGATGGGCCCAGATCCTGTGGGCAACCTCCAACATAGCCACATATATCCCCTGGGCCGGTGGTCCCGTCGCTGGAGCTATCCTTGGTAGGGCACTATGGCTCTGGCTAGGAGTTTTAGATTCCCTTCAGGGCGTCGGTAAGTTTCCCCTCGCAGCGAATAAAAACGTAACACAAACTGATTGCCGCCAATGCAGGGTTTGGAATGATCCTCCTCCACACAATGACTCGATTCCATGTCACCTTCACACTTCTAGCCGCGCAGGTGGTCGGCTCCATTGCGACTATTCTCGCCCGCGCGACAGCACCGGATAAGTTAGGCCCTGGTGATGTGTTCCCCGATTTCTCCGCGGGCGTCGCAGCAGGCTTGGGAAAGGCAGACTTCTGGGTCTGCCTGCTCTTCATGCTATCCATCAACGTACTCTGCATCTTCTTCTATCGCAAGGAACAACTGGCAAAACCTTAATGGCTGTTCCAACCTCGACTAGTGTTTTCTTTCCTTTTCTTTTCTTTTTTGCATCCACTTGATATTGTGCGGCGTATGTATTGTGACTGGAGGATTAATTATACTATAGTGGGTTGCATTTTTTTGGGGCGAAGCGATGGACTTTGTAAAGGTCGCCCCAATGTTTTGGATTTGTATATAGTGTATAAAAAAGGACTACTACTAGTTTACAAGTTCTGTGTCCAAACTTGATGTTCATGTGATGCCGATTGGGTGACACTTCCAGTCCCATATTAAATTCATTAATATCTTGAAGCTATTTCCCATTCAATTAAGCTTCCTGTCAATACGTACGACGGAGCATATAGCGTGCACGGTCGTTTTCGCCATATTGAGACCTAAATGCCTGAACTTGAATAACGTAGTTCACATGCGAGTGGATCACACAAGCGAATGGATCACCGCAGAACACCATAGTTGAGGCTTTTTTTGATATCTATATATTTTGACAACCACAACTTGAATCTGAATTGATTTTTTTTTCCATGGATCGATAACCATCTTATATAGCCTGCAGAATTTTGAAGTGAATTGAAAGGCTTAATAATGGCGATACCATAAATTACGTTGTAATTAAGCTATCTCAGCTGTAAACATATATATTTTTCATATTTTATTATAAATTTCCTCTAAACTTTGTCAAAGTGCTATACTAAGTATCTTAAATATACCCTCGAATTCCAGAATCTATCTAAGCATCTGTTGTTGGGATATAGTATTGTAATTTATCGCCTTAACTATGGTGTTCTGCGGTGGTCCATTCGCTTGTGTGATCCACTCGCATGTGAACTACGTTAACTAGTTACCTGACTTACCATTACAGAGACCTTAGTAAGCAAAGCACCTAAGTTAGGCAGGTAGGATGGGGCTATAAGCCGCCATATAAATCCCGATATCTCCATATTTCTGGGTGGTTTACGCGATGTAATTTTCGAACCCGTGATAATGTAGGTTTTCGATTTACTCGAAATTGATATATAGTGCTTAAAAGTCTTATCGGTAGCTATCGAATGAGATGGAAACCAAATAACAATATGGTTACTGAGATATAAGTGATAAATAGATCGTTTTTAAGATGTGTTTTGGCGTGGGCCGTTCGCTTATGTGGACCACTCGCATGTGAAATACGTCACGTTACGCTGTTCAAGCATAAATTCAGGCATTCAGGCCTTAATTTGATGAACACGACTCTGTGCGCTATGCCGTGTCGTAAATATGGAGCAGCCTCCGCTAATATAAGCTGACAGGAGCCTGATTGGTATAACTTTACAAGGTTCCGTTTTAGGCCTAGTCAGGGGAACTCATTCTTCCGAGCCCTATAAGTAACAAGGTACTCCGTATTATCTGCTCCTTAGGCAAATTACATCTCGAGTTGTTATTCCCGCTCTTTTCATAACATACTCATCCATTTTTTTATTCCATTCTTGTACATTCTTTTATTCCATTTACCAGTCCCTCGTTCTCCAATGTATCACCTTTTTTTCTCCTTCGTGGCCCTCTGCCTGTACGCGCACTGCGCAGTCGCTGCTTTAACCTCGGGTGAAATTGCCAACTCTCTCAATGAACTAGCACAACAAGGATTCGCTGCCAAGGATCTCGTATTGAAAATCAATGCCACTGGGGACGCTGGTCCAATTCCGGTAAGTGGGGTTTTTAAGTCTATGAATGACAGCTAATAAATTTCAGGATATCTACACGGAGATGGACACGATGGTCACTGTGGTTCTAACAGATGTAAACTTTATGACGAACACACCGATCATTACTGATCAGGCGGCTGAGCAGCACGTCTATGAGGGATACTCAAATGTAGGTTGATGACAAGAAGAAAGGTCAATCAGAGTCATTTATACTCAACTGCGCTAGTTCGTTCAATCCCTCCTCGAGCTCATGGACGCCTTATCGAGCAGCGCAGCCCAGCTGAAATCCATCAACCAAACAACCAGGAACAAACTTCCCTCTGAAATTCGCATCTTGCAAACTGCCGTTGACGTGAGTCTCCTAATTAATTCTTTGCTACGGCCTGAGTAGATTGCCGAGATGCTGACACCTCATAAGGCCTTCTTCTACAACATCATCGGTCTCTTCCCAGCCAACAGCTCATATAACGCCCAGGCCAACAACCAGAAAGCCCAAGTGGATACGCATTGCTTCCAGGCTGTCTGGGCATTTGACCTCGGCTTTAGTAATGGTAGTCAGGCTAATTCTCAGGCGCACAGAAACAGCTCCTTTCACTCTCGACGGATGAAGCGCGGTTCCTTGTGATTCTATATCATGTCTATCTTTAAATATCACCTGGTTTAATACTTGGGTGCATAGCTACTCGTAGACTTGACCACCCACAACCCCGAAACCCGCTACATAATTTTCTTAGTCGAGCGATGCTGATTTATCCTGATAAATATATGTAGTATTTTGTCGCCCTACCCCAAGAATTAAACTGTTTAATTTAAGATCCATGCCAATCAACATGAACCCTAACTTTTCCTGGTAAGAAAATCACAAAAAAATTCAATCTCGAGCTATGTACATGGCTTCTTATATTTGCACTGCATATTCGATGCATGGGCCATTTGCGGGTGGATTTTGCCGACGGCCACTAGTCCGTATTTCCCTTGATGCCAAGACCATTTAATCATCTGGGGTGGGGGCCACAACAAAGACCGTTTTCTCACTGATCACCTCCTCTTGGTTCTGGGGGTAAAATGCGTACTCCGAGGCTTGAAAACATCCATGGATGAATGACTGTGAATGGGCATGGTGACTGTAAATTGGCATGACCTCTTTTATCCTCATGTAAAACTTTCGCCACTAAGAAGCTTGCTAAGCCATTTTAGGACCCTTACAGCCAGGCTAGATAAATTTCAAGCCCCGGGCCATGCTCCAATTTTCATTTTCCATTTTCTTTCCTCCATCTTCAACCTCGACCCTACGCTTTTTTGTCTGATCTTCGTCCCCCATCGATTACCATGCGTAGTGGGTTGACCTGCGTACTCGGCTTGGCTAGTGTAGCCTTGACCAATGCATTGATTCTGGAGAAGAGAGACAATCCGGCGGTTCTTACGGTGCCACTGATACGCGACACGTCGCGTCAGCTTTCCAAGCGATCGAAGACTGTCGACGTCAATTTTGATAACGAGGACATAGATGTAGGTCCAATGCCCAAAATCGAAATGACTTGCAGACTAACCTTGCTTTCAGTACGCCATATCCTATGTCGCAAATGTGACTTTCGGGACCCCGCCCCAGCATTTACTAGCTTACATTGACACCTGGGGTAATGGTTGTTGGGTTAAGGGCGTGAATAACACTGGTTGCAAGTTATACACGGACTCATCCTATTGTGGCGGGTATGGAAGCTACAACATGACTGCCTCAACCACTGTCAAAAAGCTCGACGGGAACTTCACATATGATGATTCCGGTTCAATGGTGGTTGGAGACTTCGTGACCGACGTTCTGAAGATTGGTGGTGTCACAGTGGACGCTATGAAGATGGGGCTGGCCGGGGATTCTAAATTCGTTACCAGTACGTCCAGTCTATCTAAGCCCACCCAGTATAATCTCTGACATGGGCTTATTTAGATACTTTGGGTCTTGGATACGGAAATTCATCTTCCATCTCCCTGACTCAAGCGTTAGCCGACGCCGGTACCATTAACTCCCCCGCTTTCAGTCTTTGGGGCCAGACAGCTCTGTTCGGCGGCGTTAACAAGGCCAGGTTATGGGGTGATCTCCACACTTTCCCCATCGTCAATAGATCAAACCTTACCAAAGCTCTCCGTATCAATATGGATGGTATCTCAATCAACAAAACATCCGCAGCATCGAAGAAGTTCCCGCTGGACGCAGTCTTCAACACTGCACATAGTAAGACCTACGTGCCCAAATCTGTGGCTCAGGCCCTGAATGCCCAAATCGGCAATACCTCCGTTCCGGATGATCTGGGACAAGTCAACTTCTCTTGCAGTGCAATGGGCAAGAACTCGACCATACAGTTCAAATTCGGGAAATTAGTATTGGATTTCTACCTCAGAGAGTTCGTTACCCAAGAGAGTGGCAGCGGGGAGAGTTATGGGTGGTACCCTGATAGGGAGACGTGCTATTTCACGATCCTCGAGAATATCAACTTCCAAGACCAGGGAAATATCGTTTTGGGAGCCAACTTCATGAGCAGGGTTTATGCAGTCTTTGATCTTGAGAACGACAAGATCTCATTAGCGAACCTTAACTACTGGGATCGTTCTCCGGACGATATTGTCGAGATTAAATCGGGCAAGAACGCTGTCCCTGGGGCGAAAAAGGACACTGGGGCGGCCAAGCAGGACTCTGAGGCGAAGGAGGACTCGGCTAGTACACACATCGGAAAAGGTCGAGGGATGAGCGCTTTGGTGGTCGGTGCTGTTGTGTTGACCCTGATTTTCTAAAATTCAACCTGATTAATATCTTTACTTTTCGCGATGAATACGTTAGCCATGGGACCTGGTATCGAGTATACTTCAAATTTATGTATCATAAACATTGGAGACTACTAGAGCGGCATCCTTCGAAAATTAGTTTCTAAAAGACTGGACTCCCAGTCTCCTCTCTCGCGCGCAAGGTACCGACTAGTGGAGAAGCACGAAATTTACTCGATGATCTTGCCCATCGCAATTGGAGGCCAATGCGGCCGGGTCTTCCTGAAACCAGATGTAGGATACGGGCAGACATTCTTTGCTAGCGGCTAAGCCCCAAGTCAACTTTTTCGTTGGATCATCCCATCCCCCATGGCTTGCTTGTCCTAATTTCTCAGGCAACATGACATGTCCGGGGTCCTTGTTCAGAGATTGTTGTTCTGTAAGTGGATATTGCGGCAACTCCACTGTTTATTCCTCAGGTTCGAACTGTTATATTGGTGCTTGTACGTTAAAGATGCATTGATATTTGAAATCCATTGGTGTTTCTTGTCATTCCTCATGCGCTTCTCTTTCCTAAATAATTCAATCAAATCTCACCAGGATGGAGGAATCCAGTAATCTTCCCAGGCACCATAATCTGAATCTTGGAACATATCGATCCCTCCCTCAACGCCGTTTTCGCCCGTTGTCCACACGCTACTTTCGATCAATTCAGTTCATCGATCAAACAGCCTCTCCAACATCTGCGCCCGGTGCTCTTCGCCAAATGGGTGCAAAATGCCATTCTGGAAGAGCTGCGTGAATGAGCCGGGTGGCACTAGAGTCCCATCACTCCGCATCCTCGTCGACAAGGTTCGGTCCTAGTGCGAATGGGCGTAGAAGGCAGAATCCAAATTCTTCAGAATCATATTCGAATCCATTGAGCGCTGCACTATATGATCCCGTGGGAACAGGATCACCCTCGTTGAGCGGCACATTATTTCTCGATCCAAAGAACAAACGATGAGTTTCTTCGTTGAAACTGATCGTACGGCTATCATCCGCAGATGCAAAGAGTAGGAATGACGGGACATCTCTGCCCCGACCTTCCGCGTTAAATATCTGACATGCTGCGAAGGCTTCCTTGTCGTGCGGGACCTCTAGGCCGGGCGCGACTAGCTTAAAACGTGGGGTCCTCACTCGGGTCAGAAAGGAGCGAATAAAGCATACCTTTGGCACTAAAGCCGCATCAAGCTCTGTATCGGTAAAGAATGGTGCATCCCAAGATATTGGCAAAAGTGACTGCATGCGTGATTCGATCGTGTTCGTGTAGCGGTCCATCGCAGCAACTGCACTATCAATCTGAGCAGCACAGTATGGGTGCCAACACCATAAAACAATTTGATGTCACGAATTCGCTTCTTCATCTGATAAGCCTCTCTCGTTCCGTGGATTAGCCGCGGTGTTTTCCATTCGGGGCATATGGATGGATCCATTGGGTGATAATCGTCTTGAGAGGAAACCACATATCCCAATGTTCAGCAACATGCTCAATACTTTCTAAATTCTCGACGGTTAATAGGAATGAGGCACGGTGGTCCAACTAGTCATAGATAACACCAAGACAGTGGGAGCCTTGATCGGGAGTTGTGTCGTAAATGACCACAAACCGCTCTTTACCCTCGAGATTGTTGGTTTCGAGAGGGAAAAACTCGTCGGCAAGTTTCATTCGACGCCTATTCACCCAGTAGAAGAATCCCGGCATCGGATCATAGATTGAATCAAGAAATGATTAAATTTAATGATGCGTCAAGCCGAGCGTGAATGGCGTCAATATTCTCGTTCGGCTGGTTGAAGAACCCTGACTTGCTGGTTAGGGCGTCCAGATCGGGCGTATTTGTTCCATTACGGGCCATGTAGACATATGAGACAAGCAGTTGTGCAATCTGGCTCACCGTTGAAAATCGAGTGTATCTTCATCGCGTACTGGATGCTCGTCTGAAACGAGAGCATCTTCAATGTCAAGGATCTGTTCTGGCGTGGTATTCATGATGAGGGTTGAGGGGCAAAAAGACAGTTCGTGGCAGTCGAGAGTATATGTATCGATGCCTAGTTTTATGATTACGCATACATATAAGCAGTTGGACGTCTTAAGATGCCCCATAGTATAGTATTGTAAGTACGCAATATCAGTACGCAATATCAGTACTAGACCACTCCGCTGTACTCCGGATCAATATTTTCTACAGGTTAACCTTCTACACTCCTGACACTGGCATATTCCACACGTTACTCTCTCCGAATGCTTCCATTTATGTACTCTGATTCTCTCTCCGGTTGATCTAGAGAAACCCCGATTTGAAGCCGCCTAACAACAGTCGGCGGCAGTTGTCGGATTGCGGTAATAATCCGGAGCGAGGAACCGGGCCTGGCATTGGTCTGCGCTGTCACTCATGTAATTTGTGGTAGCTGCGCTACATCTTAGTGCTTGGGAATGACACGGCTGATTTGCTGGCCAAGGTGAAAGTCATATGGGTAAAGCACGCCCGCTGTGCTCTTTGCTGTCACGCGCAAGAGCACATACCAGGCAATAAAATCACAGTTAGACCGGCGCCCAGTTGCTTTAGGTCAACATATCATACCATGGCGGAGTGATCTAACTATTTCTTGGCGGCTCATTTCATACAAATACGACCGTCCTTGAAACAAAACAGCACAAGCCAGACTTGTACCATTGTATGATTGGACCAGGTCCCCACAGTGTGGATATTTATGTGGACGCCGAGAATATGCAACCTAACAAGAAGCTCGGGCCGACCGTACGGAGCGGCCACACTCTATAAAACCCAAAAAAAGAGCTATTAGAGAGTTCACCAGTTTATTAGAATAGAACTGAATATTGAGTAAAATAAAAATGCGAAAGGCTGCTACCTACACTCTTATAGAGCGCCACTAGCGCTCTGCTCTATAGGTCGACGCGGTAGGTGCTGGCAGAAAAAGTAACACTAAGATAGAAATAGTTAACGAGTTATAGAAAATGTAAATTAATATAATATACCACTTTGTAGTCGGAAAGGGGTCACGTTAGCAGAGTAGAAGGAGATAACTCCCCCTATCCTCCTGCCAGATTTAAAGCGAAACGGAGCATATGGTAGGGAGAAAAGAGACAAAATGGGGTGCGGGACAGTTTTTAACGGGGCGGAAGGCAGCGCAACCGCCAATGAGCGGTCGTGAAAATGGAAGCAAAAGACCGAACTGCAAATATATATAGTTAAGATATGAGATACATAGTTGATGATATGAAGGTTTTGAGAGGAGGTGTGGGATCGGGACGCACCAAGAGATATTGTGCCATTCCAAACCCAACACTTTCTTCTAATTTCGAGCTGGAGGTCGTTCCCAAGTCCCTACCCGCCTACCAAACCACCCAGCAATGCACCTAGGATATACTATCTTCGCCAGATCCTCTCACTCGGACTCTATCAACCCAGCGAGAGCCTTCAAGATTCGATTATGTGCTATCATAGGAACGTGGAAGGAGTCGAGGACACAGACGTGGGGGTGCATAAGGATGATCAATATGCACAGTAACAAGGCAGGAATCAGGCAGAATGTATAATTTTTTCTAATCAAAATGCAGGTTCTTTTCAAGTAACCCAGAAATAATGGAGTGGGCGAATTACATGACAGACAAAATATGGAATGGCAGAAAACCAGCAAGCAAGTAGGGTCGGTTTTGACCATTCCCAGGTTTTTTCAGCTATTTGAAAATAAGGCACTCAGGCATCATCCCCCCTTAAAATGCGCCTGATAGCTCGTATACAGAGTAGCCCATCATGTGATTTGTAGTCACAATACGTTTCAAAATCTTAAATTGCTTAAATCGAACATAGACTAGCGTGTTTAAGGATTAAGTTCGTGAAAGAATCAAAGAGAGTAAAGTGGTGAAACTGATTTCGAGCGCGTCTGTACCATCTGCACATAGCGGAACAACGACTGCAACGAAGATCAGCCTTACAGGCAATCCAAAATTCGGGAGCCAAATCAAGACAACGCATCATCCACGCGATCCTCCAGGCGACCACAGAGGTTTAAGTGGAAGGAATCGCGCTTTGTCTCCAATGGATACCTGGCCACTGCAATAACCCTGGGAACGACGCACCAGACCGGCTAGCCAAGGAAGCGGGAAGCCCAGGTAAATCGCACTTTTTTTGCCCTTTTCCAAACAAGCGAGAAGGCGTTCACACGCGACAACATTCGCGCTCAGTGGGAGCGGGAATGGACTTCATCCACCCAAGGCGATCACCTGCCAAGAATTGACAGCGCTTTACCAGCGACCTATACCAGAAAGCCGTATGGAAAATCTGTCCAGGAACCGGGCGTACTTACTGACACAGCAATGCAAGGGCCATAATTGGTTATTTACCTTCCCCGAGGCTTTTAACTTTCGCGTCAACGGCCATTGCACGTGCGGCGCGCAAGAAACAGTAACTCATTTGCTGGTAGACTGTCCAAGACTGAACCAGTTGCGAAGGGAATTAAAGAGAAAAAAAAAAAGTGGGGGACGTATTCATAATCGTGTCGAGTCTGCTTACATAGAGACTCAAGAGAAGGTAAGGAAGGTACTCCAGACAGGAACACTAATTTGGGTTATTTTCTCTATAAACGGCAACGAGCTACATTTTAGGAGTCCCCATGGATCAGCCTGAACATAGACTTCAATGGAGGTGGACATTAGCTGAGGTCATAATTAGCACATTAGAGGTAAATGCAGAATGCAGGACTAACGTAGCAATTGAAACATGAACATAAATTATTCATCCTCCTTGCCGGTAGCTCACAACTCCACCGTGGATGCTGTGTAACTAGCATGGATCAATAATATGTACGAACCGCATTTTGTGGCTTTTTCGGCCCCTTCCATCCGTCCACCAGGCATTGGCTAGCTGAACCTGTGTTGACGCCTCTCGGGCTGCAATCTCGCAGCCCCACCTCCTGCAGAAGCTTGAGCTGAACTCGATCATCTGGCCATTCCGGAGTCCTCGCTACCCACTTCGAGATCCACTCATGTAACCTTTCAATATATTCATGATTCTGACACCTCTTCTCCCCTCAATGACCGCATGACTTTACATCATGTCTTAGTATCCAAGTGGATTCCCAAATCTAGGGAGAAAAGGGTAGTAAAGGGCCTGATCGTCACGTCCCTAAACCATTTACTTAAGCTTTAAGTACCTGCATCTGCTCTTGGTTTCCTGCTACAGCTACAGTATAGGTCTTTTCTTGGTTGACCATGATTATCAAACCCTCCCTCCTGCTGCTAGGTGCGGCCTCCGTCTTCGCCGCCGACCAAATTCCGATCAGCGCCAGCTCAGTATGCCTGCTCTCCGCTAATCCCAATGACTGCTGTGCCGGTGGAGCAAAGTCTGGCGAGGTGTCAATCAACGACCGCACCTTCAAGTTCACTTGCTCATCGAACTTGATGGCCCTCAATCCCAGAAACCCGCAAAAGGCCGACAATGCTCACGCTTGTGCATCACTCTGTGCAGACGATGTGTCCTGTGAAGGATCGTCTTTCAAAGCACACGGCAAGGCAGCCCGCGGGGGAAATAACTGCTTCTTTAACATCGGTAACAACATGGATCAGAAGCCTGATGGAGAGTGGATTACCTTCACCGAAGTATTGCCATCTTGTTTGGAGTCGGATGACCGCAATGCCTGCTGCTCTGATCCAACGAAACAAGAAAGCGAAATCTTGATAGACAACGTCCGCTGGAAGTGGACCTGCCAGTCCATCTTCGTTTCACTCAAACCGAAAGGCAAACCGGTAGCTACTGCTCATGACTGTGCTTCCCTTTGCGCATCAGAAGGGTGTGAAGGAGTTTCATTCCGAACGCAGGGCCCTCGAAAGGATACTTGCTTCTTCATCATAGGCAGCAACAAGGATCAGAAGCCTTCGGATACGTTCCTGTCACTCGTTAAAGTTGTGGATGACATCGTCGAACCCCCGATCCCGGAGCCAGACGACAAAAAGTGCGTTGAGGAGAATGCTCAATGTATTAAAGAAAAGGACCAGTGTATCAAGGATGAAGATGCTTGCGTCAAAGAAAAGGATACATGCAAAGAAGACCTCGAGCAAGCGGAACATACCCTCCAAATTTGCAAAAACAACCAGGTGGACCCTGCCAAATTGGCGCAATGCGAAATTGATAAACTGGCATTGGAATCCGCCGAAGTGGATTGCCGTCGGCGCTTTGCGGAGGTGGAAGAGAAAAGGAAACAATGCCGCTCAGATCAACAGAAGTGCGAAAAGGAGAAGGGCGACCTCAACATCCAGAAGCAACAGTGCGAGAACGACAAGACTGGCTTGGATATGGAGATCACTCAACAGGACGATGAGATTGCAGAACTCAATTCGCAAATCATATCGCTTAATAGCAAGCTGGCCGCCCTTCAGCAGTCATATGATGCTCTGACTGTTGACTGTAAAGGCGCAAATGGAAACTGCCGTACAAACCTGTATGACGCTGGTAAGGAGCAGTGCCCTATTTCATCGCTCTAGCAGAGCCACTCTTTTGTTCTTCATCTGATGCTAATTATCGAGTCACAGAGCCTGGCGACGACCAATGCATCATCACCGCTGGAAATAAGAAATTCAAGATTCATTATGCCAAGCGTTTGTCTCCCCCACCCCGTTTCGGAGTGTGAATATACTGACTTTCTGTATAGTCGATGATGAGGGTTCATCGGATCTGGGTACTGGGAAGGCAGGCTCTTTTAAGGACTGCGCCGAAAAGTGCGCCAACTACAAGGGCGCGGCGAAGTGTGTACGATTCATGTGGAACACGGACGGTAAAGATAGAGCCTGCCATATGCGGTCCGAGGGACAGCATATTGTTCCCACCAAGTCGTCGAGGTGGAGTTCTGGTCAGCTCCTTTGATTGGCAATTTGGACAGCCTTAACAGTCTAAACAATCACAAGACACTTCCAGAAAAGGGAGTACGAGAGTTGCAGAGGGAGAATAATACAAACACCACTCTAGTGTGACGGCAAGCCTCTGCAAAATTGACAGACTGGATCTTCCTTGAGGTACTGCTTTCAACCATTTTACAGGCATATTTCCTCGTGTTATTTTATAGGGTTTCTAATACTGCTGGTTGAATGCAAATTCTGGTTGGAATTTTTGCAATTATATAGTAGATAAATGATAGATTGAAGTAGTCCCTTCTTATGATACTGCCTACGTCAACAAGATTGGAGAACTAGGGTCCTCTACAATATCACCCACCAACCAAGATTGCCCGTGGGACTGGGTCAAGCATAGAGATTAATAATTTGACAGCCAGGTTACAGTACTGGTGTGTGACATGTTCTGTGCTGTGCTTGTATGCACATGGCGATGACAAGTCAACCATACCTCAATAACTTCTGCACGACGATGATCTTACAGTATCCGTGCGCGCCAACCTAAGAGAAGCCTTGGCGAAAGTGTAACCGGGAGTTGCGCCTCTCGTACAGTAGCCTCGCCTTCACCAATACTCTCAGACCAGGTACTAGGCTGAGTGCACAGAGCCATGGTCATCCAAAAGAAGAAACTATCTATATTTAACTACTAGAAATGATACAAATATTGATGATGCCAGATCAAGATACCCTCTCTAATAAGATACCGTGAGAAGATGCCACCGACTGCATAATGCTTCAGCTTGATGTTCCACAGTCTAGGAGTGAGCCAATCAGATGTCAATAGAGCGGATAACTCAGCTAAGTACTACCCAGCCTTCAGGAGGTAGCGGTGACCTTGAGATATTCGCAATGGGGTGGCTGGCCTCGAAGCCTCCTCAACCCATCAGCTGGGGTAATTGGAACCTTGATGTCACCTGCTGCTGACCAATGATGGATATACCAGATCATTCTGCGACTTGACGTAAGTATACTGAGTGCATGGCCTAGTGCTGATTCATCACTGTGGATATATTGATATGGTGTTTTAGATTATGCACATGCTGGATGATACATCACCTCGGTGAGCAAGAGCGGGGTGATCCTGCAGGTATTACGTATTAACAGGCATGATGGAGCTGTTTGGAAGCTGCAGACATGGTGTGATAGCGATAGCCCCTAGCTGGATATATAAGTACGGCTGCCGTGGAATTGTCAAATGATTTCTTTTCCAACCCATTCATTCAGACCTTCGCTCACCATTACTTGACAGAGAACTTCATAATGACAGAAAACCTTCACACTCACGCGAAGAGCGGAACCCTCAACCTGCAGAACATTGCCCAGCTCCTCATCCAGGTGGAGGTCAATGATGAGGATAGCTATGGCGATACAGCCCTTGACCTTGCAATCCGGAACGGCCACGTTGGTGCAGTAAAGCTACTCCTGCAGAACGGTGCCGACGCCAACAGAATATCTCCGGATGGCAAGAGCCCTCTCTATGCGGCTACTCAAGCACCAAACAGTGGCCGTATTGTTGAGCTTCTGCTCAAGCATGGCGCCAAGCCAGATGAGTCGGTTTCAAAGCCAAAGGGTGACACTCCACTGATGTCAGCAATTCGACAAGGCACTAGCTACGAGGCCATTCGCGCACTAATTCAGGCTGGGGCAGCCATCGACAAGTCAAACGAGCTCGGCGAGACACCTAAGCAACTTGCTGAAAAGTCCACCAATACCGCTGTGCACAAAGCGATTCGCCCCAATGACGAAAAGCCAGAATGGAAACCCGAGCTGGAAAATCTTCTCGTAAGCTCTGGTCTGTTTGCTCTGGCCTACTTCAAAAACTTCAAAGATGTCGGCCTGAACGCCATCAAACGTGTTTCTGCTTTGTCGGAACCAACAGCAGGCGTATGTATCTGGTGCTTCCCATTCTATCATTTCTAGTTTAACTAACCCTGGAATAGCAGACCACGAACCCCCGCACGGCAGAAGAGTTCAAGGCAAACATTGAGAGCTTTATCAATGCAAAAGGTCTTGAGGACTTCTACCCTGTCGGCAATGAGTATGTGGCCAAGGTAGCAGAGAACGCAGCAAAGATCCTGAAAGACTCAGCCTTCCCGGGTGCAACACCCAGGAACGTGGCCATCATGTCCCGCCAGGCATTGTACCAACCTATCCTGTACTGTGGTAAGTCAAATTCAATTACTTGCATAAGATCACCAAGTTCACACTCGTTCACTTTAGACGACAGCGGGTCGATGAGAGATGATGACCGTATGAGCCGACAGGCAATTATGGTCAAACGAATGGCAACCCTTATTACGCAAGCTGCTCCCGAAGAAGGCACGCTCGTACATCTTCGTTTCATCAACAAAGGCGACAAGTTTAATGACATCAACCCCAACGATCTTTCATCGCATATGAACTTCTCTCCTGGTGGGTCGACTAAATTGGGTACAAACCTAAGGGGAAAAGTCTTGAATGACTTCCTCTACGGGCCAGTGGACAACGGTGAGACGTTGAAGCGACCACTCCTTATCCTCACAGTCACCGATGGATGCCCAAACGAGGAGCCGACTGAAACATTCGAAAACGAAATACGTGCATCGGTCCAATTTGTGCAGGCCAACGGCTACGGACCTGAAGGTAAGCTTTTGTTGTGGGTCTTCATCACGGATATTGCTAACCTAAACAGCCGTACATTACGATCTCAGCCAGGTTGGAAATGCGGCTGAGGCTACCAAGTTCTTGGAAAGCTGGGAGATGAATAGTCTCATTCCTGATACTATGAATGTGACCGCTGGTGAGTCATGACCGTAGAACCAAGAGGTAAAGAAGGAATGTTAATCGGGCTAATATTTACTCTTAGAACATTTGGATGCTAAATTCGAGAATTTCAGAGATAACGATGCTGAGCTCAATGATTGGGTATGACTTCGCTCTTGTTCTACTAGTTCTTGACGCACAACTGACGTGTTCATTTTAGATCTTGGAGAGACTTAATGCGAACAACCCAATCGTTTACTAACGAATGACCCGCAAATGCAAATCAACCTTCTCCTTCACTGTTCTTCCAGCTTGTAATTATTTGTAGGGAAAAATGTTGAGCAACACATTATCAGACACTTTTGTTTTTTTCATATCGAATATCTCATTTATGCAAGCCAGCCTAAAGAATCTTCAATTGAGAATACCCATTGTGACAGCCATCTTTGTGTGTGCAGTTCATACGCAGAGATGCCAGAAAGCGAGTTTTCACTGAACAGCCTTGCGTTGTAGCGAAAGATCACAGGTAGGGGATAGTAGACGCCAAAAGGTTATGAGTAGTTCTGATTGGCTACTCTGTCAAATGAACTTAAAGCAAGGGAAGGGTGTAATCCTACATATTCCAGTGACAGTGGTGCAGCGTGGCCAGTGAAGCCTATAGATCACTGATGTGTTTCTTTAGGACAGAATAAGCGCGCGATGAAGTTTCGTAGAGATAACTACTGCTGGGTTGCGTTACATTAACCACATCTGCCATGGTAAAGAGATGGGCTGGACCAGTAGCTATAGTCATCGAAAAGAATGTAATACTAGGCCGGCCTTTCAATACTGTGACCATCCTTCGTCGGCGGCCTTCCTGCTCCTATAGCACGCCGCTCATTCTGCCTAAGCGATATGATAAATATACAAGATGACTAATGTCATTGAGGCTTACGGAAGCAATTGAAGAGCAAGGTGCGAGACACGATCAACAACCTATCGAGTCTGCTGGGAAGCTCGAATACTATGATAGGGTGGTAATGGCCATGCTGGGTTTTGTCGTGCCGTCACAATTTTAGTGGCTAGCTGAGGATTCCAGTGGCTAGCTGAGGTGGGTCTGTAGCTGTGAATACTTCTCCTTACGTCAAGAACTACTCAAGAACTGAGGTAGTGATGTGGTCTCCGGGGTCCAGAAATATATTGAACCGAAAGTCTCTACTAAATGATTTACTTAATGATTTACTTCATTATCAGTCTAGATTTAGAAGAATTACAATCTAACATGGAGGGGCTGATGGACCAAGGATTGGGCGTTTTATAAGATATGTATGTTGTACGTACGTACTAACGTATTTCAAATGCGAGCTGCGCAGTCCGGTACACATAGTAAATGCGATAAATTACAATTAGATATTGCAACAACGGTCGTCTATAGGAACCTTTCCTTATATCCCAATGATTTTTATATGATATCTATCTAGTATCTAGAGTTTAGGGGGATTATTCAATAGATGAGTAATGGAGATATATATATTTCTAGAGTTCAGCGAGGTATTTACACCAATGGAAGTTTTTAATCTGTTTTGAGATTGATATATACTATTAATAGCGCGTATCAATAGCTATCGGCAAATGAAATATCAATAAAAAAACGTTGATTGTTGAGATATAAGTGTAGTGTATATCGCATTTACTATGGTGTTTGGGCTGCGCAGCTCGCTTATGAATTACGCTAGTTATATTATTATTAAACCATTGGCACCCCTAACTCTTTTTTATTACTATATGTTGTCTTGTCCAGACACAGCCCTTACTCTTGAATAGACAAGCTTCTGCCATATATTTGTGGAGGGCGTACTGCGTCACTGAAGTAAAAGTACAGATGTGCAGCCCAAACATAAACCAGGGGGAGCAAAGTGGTGTTTTGGCAAATATGACAATATCATTCGTACCGATTTCTGAAGGCAGAGCACTATACAAGCTGACGCCATGGGGCCATGGGCTCATGGTACCCTCTTAACATATGCATCTTCGATAGTGGCAACCCGTCATCGTTCGTTGGTGTCATTTTGCAGGTCTATTTGTTGCAGCAAGTCCAGCAGGGCTTCTCATCATATTAGTATCATGTTATAGGATAGCTGCCATGGATACATACCTCCTCGCCTTCAGCAGCAATCTGGCTAGGGATCCAGCCGGCCTGACAGTCAATAGGGTCATCGCGACAGATACGCAAGCAGGTAGCATCATCGGAAGTGGCACCCTGGGCCGCCCAGGCGCTGGAGACGGACAACGCAATAGTAGCGAAAAGGAAGGATGAGAGCTGCATTTTGAGAGGCTAATTGAGTTCAGAGTTGTGACTAGGAAAGCTTTGGCACACAAGAGGATGGGGTCGGGTTAGTGATGTGTATGTAGAGGGTATTTATATAAAACTGTCCATCTGTGCTCCAGCTTCTCGTTTGTTTTCATTGCATAATGCCCATCCTTGCGGTTTTTAGAGCTATTGGACACGGTGGAGCTGAGCTAACAGCTTTCTCCAATAAGCTGTATATTTCCACGCAAGGCAATGAGGCATTTTTCGACGTGATATCAGCCCAGTTCGGTCAATCAAACTGTGAAGATGCATTACGTAGATCCGTTATAGTTCTAGACTGATTGAGGCAAGTTGCATGATAGATCGATCCACGGTTCAATTTTAGAGAATGTATGACGACGATCCAGTAATGCACGAACGCCTCCTGCCCCATTCCGTCCATTATAGATCGTTCCGTGCCGTAACCCTTTTTTTAGGGGGCCCCACTTCATAATCGTGCCAAGCGCCCAACACTTTTTCAGAAAAGGAGTATTAGTTAACGAAAAGTGACAGAGATGTGGCTGTAGTCTTTTCATGGTATTCAGGAAGTTCACAGATAATATGACTAATCAATATATGCACCCGTGGACTTCGTGTTTTTTGTGATTCCACGGTCCGAGGATAGTCCGGGTAAATTACCCTATACGGAGTATCCTGTCGAGTATTGGGACTCGGTATTTAACAAAAAGCCCTAACCTACAATCTACAGACTACATCCGCCGCCCATGGGATAGGGAAGACTGAATTGATTTAAGAATGTAACCAAAAGAGTAGGGAAGATAATGAAAGTCTTAAAAAACATAAAAAAAAAAGTCCAGTGATTGGTGTAGCTTATGTCCCCTCACCCTGCATGTAGACTGCTAGAACCTCCATGAGATGGAATAACAATGAAAGAAATATGGAAGGGAAAGATTAGTAATACCATCACCACCAGTGATGATAAAAAAAAGGAGACATACAAAGTGAAATAATAATGCAACTCGCTCTCAGTCATGAGGTTTCAGGACGCCCTCTTTTTGACCTTGTTTGATCGGGAATACGGCAAAACTCGGAAGAGATAGTATAGCAAGACGGCGCCGAAGATGTTGACAGCAAAGTATGCCCAAAGAATCCCGTAGTCCCGCCACCGATTGGTCCAGAAAATCTCCCGGCTGGCAAGATATTGATCCGCCGAACGGAGGGGACAATAGTGACACTTCCCAGTGGAAGTCCAGTTGTAGAGGTTTCCGGGTGCTTTTGCCATATACTTTCCTAGATACTCTCCGCACGATTGTCCGGCTGGGGCATCAAAGCTGACCGTTTCTCGATCCGAGCAATGAATTGGACGACCATGTAGTGCAGTCGCACTGATACCGCCCACATAATAGGTCAAAGGTGAAACCCTGTGCATGTAGCTCCAGAAGGGTGGTAGGGCTCCAGGAGGCTGCATGACACCGTTCGAAAGCAAGGATAAAACAAACATAAAGAGACCAATCATGCTGCCAAGAACTGGACTGGGCACTGCAGAGGCTATTAATGAGGCGAAGCTGGAGGCAAAGAGGAAGAATTGCAACACAAAAAGAAGCACCAGACCCTGCTGCTGTGCATCTTGCTTTTCACCATAGACAGAAAAGTAGAAAGAGGCCCATGTGCAGATCCCAAGCAAAGCCTGCCAGGGGAGCTCAACGACGATTTGTGAAAAAATGAATACCTTCCAGGAATAAGTCTTAGAAGGTCGCTCGCGTAGCTCATACAGCGTCCGCCTGCCGATGAATTTTGGCATAATCCTATTCAGGGTAAGTTCCTTATTCTCTCATGGGAGGAGTATGAGATGAGGACTCACTGGTTTATCATGGTGGAGAAGATGGTGCATAGAAGGAATAAGCTGAACATGGTATTTTGAAACCCTTGGTTCGAGTTGTCGGACATCCAGAATGAGAAGCCGATGAAAAGGCCACATACAATGCCCAAAGCAAGCTTCGCTATAATATAGTCCGGCTGTCGATAATATTGCTGGAAGTCACGCTTCATGACCAGGTATAACTGAGCGGTAATTGGCATGGCAAATTCAGGCTCGCTTTGTGTGTCGATGATCAGGCCCTGAGAGGGGGTTGAAGAGATCTGACAAAGATGATTCAAAACTTCCTGGTTTTGAGGACTCTGCTTCCAGATATCCACCCAATCAATCGATTGAGAACTGTCTTGCGAGTCTTCGCTGACCACTTCCAGTATGTATTCGGCTGGCTGCGAAGAGATGAATTAGCCATAGAATTTGAATACCGTGGAGCATGGTAGCCTGTAACCTACGTTCTCGGCTGGCCCGCATGGACGTGCGCCGTTCGTTTCCACATAATCTAGAATAGTGCGAGAATGGCTCCCAATGTCCCCAAAGTACACTGTCCTACCACCTTTACCAAGTAGCATGAGGCGATCGAATTGTTCAAACATGACGGCGTTGGGCTGGTGGATAGTGGCAAGCACAGCTTGTCCATGATCAACGAGCTTCCTCATAAATGAACAAATTGCCAAGGAGCTCTGTGACTCCAGTCCGCTAGTAGGCTCATCTAGAAAGATCAACAGTTCAGGCTTTGCAGCCAGCTCAACGCCGATGGTAAGAAGCTTTCTCTGTTCAATATTCAATCCTTCGCCAGTGTTCCCCACGATAGCCTCGGCAAAGTCTTCCATTCCTAGCATTTGAATCACTTCCTCGACGAATGCATACTTCTCTTCCATGGAGACGGACCGGGGTTGTCGCAGTGCCGCACTAAACCGAAGGGCCTCCCTAATTGTGGCAGTTTCACAATGAAGATCATTCTGTTCGACGTATCCGGTCTTGCGGCAGATGCTGGTATTGAGGGCTGTACCATTGACTAGCATCTCCCCCGTCACAACGCCAAGAGTTGCTCGCTGTGATAAGACGTCTAAAAGAGTGGTTTTGCCTGCACCAGACATTCCCTAATCTGGTCAGCATGGAAATTCGTAGTTCAATGAACAGTTCTATGATATTACACACCATAAGAGCAGTGAGGGTCCCTGGCTTGACCCAGCCGCTAACATCATCAAGCAGTCTTTTTGTCCCTCCCTTGACTGGAACATCGTAGCACAATCCCTGCCAAGTGAGTATCTTCTCTTGATTTGGCAACAACCTGCAGGACTGCGAGTTTGACGTCGAAAGCTCTTTCGATACTTTGGGCTGCTGCCCCGTTTCTTCGTCGGGAGGGCTCAAGTTTCCTGCAATGTAACCAGGAAGAAACGATAGTGTCTTAGGAGCGGATACGGTGCCTGGGACCAGCTCTGCAAGCACGAGGTAGAGCACGTGGAATGAAACAAGAAACACAATTAGGATGCCACAATTCCTCCATAGATGACTGTAGGAGTAATCATAATGCTTCTCAATGTGTCTATCTCCAGATACGTAGTGCTCTCCAGCGACAGCACCCGTTTCTAAGCAAGTGAAAGATGAGCCCGACAGAGATGGATAGTCTGGTAAATAATTAACGCATTTGGCTCGCAGGCCATGGAATTCGTTGGCGATGACTGCTTCAAATGTGTAGAAAATTGGATTAAGCCATCGGATCCAACTAAGCCAAGGACGCATGTCAGGCTGTGGTATAGTAAAACCAGTATATACTGCAATGCAGATAATAGTGATCCCACCGAGAGCCATCGCTTGACTGATTGTTTTTGTGATCGTGGCCAAGCACCGGAAGAACCCGGACATGGCTATAACCGAGACGAGTTGAAAGAGGAGGTAAATGAAGAAATGACCAGCTTCCCTCCGAAGATTTGCCATAAAATATATGATGACACTGGCGAGCAGACAGCGGAGAAGTTTGATGGGGAGATCTATGATAGCTCCAGCGAGGGCCTCGGTGAAGGGGCGAACGAATGCGTAGCGAGCATGTTTTTCCACAACTGGTCTTTGACTGTACAGGACGTTGATCTCCAGCAAAGCAATCAAGTTGTTTGTGAGGACTGCCAGAAAGATAACCGATGCCCTCTGGGACAGACCAGCAGAAGCGTCGGGGATGTTGTAGAAGAGAGAGCCGATGAGGACCGCTATGACGATTTGTACCACTGCAGTTGCAATGATACCAGCGCGGTCATTGATAGTTCGTCGACACGCTCTGATGAGACACAATCGTAATTGCATAGTCGTTGAGAGAGGGAAAGGGCCGGGCAGTCGAATGTGGTCAGCCTGCTCGGTATGGCTGGTATGGTGCACTTTACTCTCTTCTGGGCTATCAACAGGGAAGCTCTGGGAGTAATTTTTCATCTTCTCCTGAAGCTCTATATACTCTGGGCTCTGTTTCCAGTATGTCTCGAAGTCTTGCGAACTCCGCGGAACCCTCTCTTCCATTCCAGCCTGGGGCTCACGCGCACTTGGATTGGTGACGGAAGTGAGAAAGTCCGCGCTGACCTGCCGAGTAGGACGTTTCCATCCCATCTTTTCGAAATACGCCACAGCATGTTGACAAGGGCCAAAATATACTTGTCGTCCCTCATATAGAACAGTGACGATGTCAAAGGTATTGTACATGGGCTCTGAAGCTTGGGAAAGGGCGGCAGCGTGGCAAGCATTTGTAAGATTGGCTGACAGACGAAGGGCTTGGACAAAGTTAAGTGCACGAGTTGCATCAAGACCTCTTGTGCTATTGTCCCAGGCTCCAATGGAAGCTCTCGCTAATGCCATTTCGGCTATGCTGCGTGTTGGCATTGACCGGTCAGCTCATGTAACCCTTTCATAAGGATGGAGATTAAGGTAGCCTGTGGATTACTCACCTCACACGTTTTCTTTCTCCTCCACTAACTCCACGAATATATTCATTGCCCACTTGTGTGTCTTGCGTGTGGGAAAGTTCAAACAGGGTCATGGCAACCTGCACCATCTTCTTCGCATATCCGTCGCGATCCATATCACCCAGCCGGGTATGTGGTGTGCGTGCATATGCAGCAAACTCCAGGGTTTGACCAACTGTCAAATGCGGAAAATGATGATCCTCTTCTTGATTATATGCAATTTGTCCGCGATAATCCTTTATCATCCGCGCAATCGGGAGACCCGTATATTGTATCCTGCTGGCCGGGTCCAGAACCAAGCCGTCCAGATATCCACAGATTGCCTTCAAGAAGGTCGAGCACCCGCTGCCTGGGCGACCCAGCACCAAAAGCAACTCTCCATTGCAAATGAGTCCATCCAGATTGTGCACGATGTTAATCTGCTGTTCATGGCTTTGTCTGTAGAAAAGCTTGACGACTGATACGGCAGGACGTATGAAAGCTGAAAGAACCGTCGGGTGAACTTGGTCAGACGAGGCAGATCCTTGTATGGAGAGATTTTCGAACAAAATTCCACGATTTGGGGCTGTACCGGCCGTGGAGCTAAGGATGTGAATATTTCGCTCTGCCCATTGGTGCCGGTCGAACGGAAAAGAATCGAGAGGTGTCGGGTCAGCGTGTTTGTTCCAGATTTGTATCAAGGAGGTTTGCTCATCCTGACTCGGTGGAACATGGGAGGAAACCTCTGGGTTATTGCTTGTCGTTGTGTTGAGGCTTCTTCGTGCGCTAGATCGTTCGGTACCATCTGTGTCGGCCATAATGGCAAGAGAGGCCTTTCGTGTTGCCTTTCTGGAAGAGTATTTAATAATCGGATGACGAGGCCACCACTAGGATAATGGAGACAATAACATTGTCTGGAGAGTTTTGGCGTGTTTAAAATTGGCTATATTTCAAGCCCCTATCATCAACACTAATCAGCATTTTTCAAATCATCCCTTATTGGAGATGAATGGAATGTGTGATTGTATGTTTGGAGCCTTGAATGGAACTTTGAACTAGTGAATGTACAAAAACAATATTTATGCCATGCAAGGGTGCCTTGAATGTCAAATTGGCCCTGCCGATATATGCACATGGAAGTACGGAGTTACCTGAGCCAGAGAACCCAAGTCTGAAAAGTAATAGTTTGATTAGCTTTGATCAAAGCGTAGCTGAGCCTGATTCATTAAACAGTATTTATCATGTAACGAGTGAAGGAGCGCAGCTGAGGTTGGATGTGCTGCTCAACCATAGCTCTGACTCGTTCAAACCACTCTGGTTGAATTGCAATTTCGTTGATGGCGTGGGGCTTTCGAATGGACGTGAAGTAATTTGAAATAGACAATTCAACAGTGTTTGAATACATGACTAATTCGCATTAAACTATCAATGAGCAAGCATATCTTATCAACGGAACAGTCCAATTTTTTTCACTTAAAGTAGACGTCAAATAAACTAAATGGGAAAAGAGATCTCTAGATCATCCATCAAAATCGTAATCCCTAGGCGAGACAACGAATTCGGTTGTGATGGGATATTTAGTTCCCGCGCAGACAGTACTCAATGCCAAACCCAAGCACCCAGAAGATACTACTTATTAAGCAGTATACCTTTGCACTATGCTCCAGTCCCGAGGAGTTCTCAATTTGGGTTGCCTTGAGGAGATTCTTGAACCCAAAGAAATGTCCACCAACGGATACAACAAAAAAGGGGAGGCCAAGGCCAGTGAGCAGCCCAGCGGATGCAAAGAGAGCAGTGGATATATAGAATAGTCCATATGTCAGAATAGGAATGGAGTTCCGGAATCGAACAGCCATGCTTTTCACGCCGACTTTCATGTCTTCTTCGGTGTCCTGGCACGCATAGACCACATCGACCATAATGATGACTGTGGCAATGAACAAGAACATACACACGGTGGGCAAAAGATGATCGAGAGGATTGACTCCTAGACTATGCATTGTCATCGGGATGGCCCACCCGATATTCCCCAGAGTTACCTGGGGGTAATCTGTGAATCGCTTGCCGAAAGGATAAAGAAGGGCGAAGAAGATTTTGATGATAGCTTCAATAGTGCATTGCGACGGAAGAAAAAGCAAAACTGAGCTACCACAGGCAAAGAGGGTAACGGTGAAAATGGCAGCATTCCCTTTTGATACGGCACCTCGTGGCAGCGGCCTGGATTTTGTTCGAGTGATTTGTGCATCTAGGTCTGAGTCGATGAGATCATTCCAAACGCATCCAGCGCAGCGTAGGAAGAAAGACCAAACAGATAATAGCACAAGGCGATGGAGCAGAATAGACACTGGAAGGTCTGGCGCAATTGATGCAGTAAAGGCTATACCGACAAAATAAGGGGAAGTATTGAGGTATATTCCCAACAAGCGGTGGATTCGTGTTAATTCAGCATATGGCAACAAGAAAGAAGGAAGCAATTTGAGTATTTTGCTCTGAGTCTGGGATGGCTCCTTTTCGTTTACTGTGGCCATTTTTGAGTACAAAGGAGCCTGCTCACAGTGTGCTGAATAGTGCGATGTGAAGTTTAAGATCAGAAGAGACGCAAAAAGCACCGAAACGAGTTCATATAGCATAGAAGCCGGTGGAAAGAATAGACGGAGAATAAACCAGAATCGGGAAATGAGACAAACATAACACCTGGCTGGTTGGAACCCAAACAAAGAGTTGAGTGAAAAAGGTAAAGCCGACTACTCGGCACCCCTTGCTTTACAGATCTCATGAATAGGAGTGGGCGATCAATCACTACTTATGTATATGTATGTAGGCTTTACCTTGCCATTTTGCCAGCAGGGCGCCTGTACCTATGTTGTAATTGCTTTTTCAATGCGTTGTAATATATGCAAGCTCCCTCTCGATGAAGTTGGCTTGATGTCATGAAAGCCCTTACCGCATCGAAACTGTGCAGATTTCTAAAAGCAATGACCACTGCTCAAGTGATTTCATTGATAGCCGCTAGGTCCGTAGAGAAAATACGCGAGACGCTCACTAGTGGTACAGTACTTCCATGATGCTAAACTATTCCAAATCTCGCGGTAGGTGACCACCGAAATATCACGCTTGGTACGGTCGAAGCCACAAGAAAGCCCAGCATAAAGTGAGAGGGAAAATCCAAAGAAGTCTCCAACGTAACAGTGGGTTCTTCTGTCCCTTGGGGCACTTTTGAATCCAACCCGGCCCAGATCGTTCGGGGAATGGAAGGAAATCAATCATCTCCCCGCGGGCCAGAACATTCGCAGTTCCACGTTCTACCAGACCACCTATAAAAGGAAAGACATAACGACCGATGAAAGCCTTGGCCCAGTTATCCCGCGTATGAAAACGAGCTCCAAACCTAGATCGCTCGTACGTGCTCTTTGCAGGGTCGTATCGCAGGCTTCGATACTGTCGAAGGATTGATTCAACGTGGAAGTCGGAGATGCTGGAAATACCATCCACATGGACAAGTCGATGAATCAGTGAGGCTAGAGCAGCAGCATCCTCAATAGCTGTGTTGGCACCTTGTCCAATGTTTGGCGTCATCTGATAGTTCAATATTTAGTTCTTGTGATATCAATGAATGGTCTGTGTCGGGTCATTACCTTGTGCACACTGTCCCCAAGAAGGACTATGCGATTAAAATGCCACGTATCTAGGATTCCTTCCTCCAGTGCAGTCATAGATACAACAACTCGATTGTCCCAGAGATCTCCAACACAGATATCCCCCAGGATGGGAACATCAGCCAACTTGCCGCAAAGATTGGCTGCGTCGTCGGGCGAATACCGAGGGACATTTGGATAGACATGAGCCTGATCAAGCTTCTGGATAATAAACCAGAACACTCGTCCATCCTTGCCATGGAAGGTTATCACAGAGAATTTATCTCCGTATCTATTTATATGCTCTCCAGTTTCAAGGCCGGGTATCGACTTCGATATCCCGAACACGCACTTATATTCAACCACAAGACCTGAATAAGCAAGATCACGACAGTGTTAGCATCAAAGATTTTCAAAATTCGTCAATAATGATAGTCAAAAAGGGAGTTCATCAACCTTTCTTTTCCTTTTGGGAGATGTACCCAGGATCCATAGAATCAGCCAACCGCCACATCTCTGACCGTGTACGACTGTGGACGCCATCTGCACCCACAATAAGATCGCCCTCGAATACATCCCCATCATCTGTCAATACACTGACGCTGTTGACCCCAAGACGTACTTCCGACACACGCTTGTCGGTCATCACATTCGAAGTGGCAGGGTACTTTTTGAGCAATATTTCCAGAACCTTTTGGCGATCCAGGGAAACTATAGGGTAACCAAATCTGTGATACACGAGGTCAGAACTGTCATTTTCTGTGTAAAATAGTATTTGATGAAACCTTTCATGGACCTTCTTGGGCAGCAAACTGCTGAATGAAAATCCATCCGGGAAGGAAATGTGCATCCGCGTCAGTGGTGCGGTGAGCGCTTCAAGGCTGGCGTAAACTCCAAGTTGCTGTAGGATTCGAGCTCCATTTGGCCAGATCCCAATGAAGGCACCTTCCTGGGGAGCTATCTCAGCTCGTTTCTCAAGGATGACATGGTCAATGTTCGCTTTTGCCAGGCAATGCGCCAAGGTCAACCCAGAAATGGACCCCCCAACAATGATGACTTTAAATTTGGGTTTGTCCATGGCTTTTGCTATTTAATAAATCAAGAGCTGAGAGAAGAAAGTAAGCGATGAAGTATTGATGTAGTGCACAAAATAATGCATAACAACTTGATGATCCGAGCCTTTATGCGACCGCCTCAGCCCCTTGCTGCAGCAGGCTCTACTGCATGATCGTGATGGGAAATTCTCATTAACATATACATGCCCAAGCGGACTTGTCGTTGAAATGCCTTTCTCTTGGCTATCGTGCCACAGCATTCTATTTAGACACACACTTGTTTGGTGTCTTGTTTTGATCCGTCCGTACTGTGGCTAACTAACATAATAATTTACACACTCTTGATCTCGTCTGAGGTGATATGTTGCGCGCACAGTCATTCCGTATGTAGACTACATGACAATATGTAGATCACACGGCATTTTCTTCGAATGGTCAGGATGCACAAGTAAATACACCAGGAAGTTGATCGACGCTACCTATTCAGCCTTGCCACGAATCGTCTATCTATTTCCACCGCGCCGCACCGCACCGAAAGACTACCCAACGATGGGTTGTCTTTTCGTAGTTTTCGTCCTTCCCTAGACGTCTGTGTCTATTTGGTCTTGGTCTTGGTCTTCTTTTCCGCTGCAGCATTGCGCTTTTCCTGATGTCTAATCACATAATACAGACACGGATACATGATGTCAAGTACAACAGTCAACCCAATATAGAATTTACACATTGGGCTCTCAAACCAGGGACCTGCAGGTGTGTCACAGATGTAGTAGATTGATAGTTTGATAAACCCCCCGAAAGTTGCAATCGCCCGTAGTGACCTGTCTTCGAATTAGTATTCAAAAACTGGAGGACAAGTGAGTGTCACATGTGCGAGAGAGCAGAGACCTACCAGGTCATAATGGAAGCGCCGCGAGTACTATTCCGACACAAAAGCTGGCATATCGGCCCGAGACTTGCGAGGGTTTGGCATAGGACACCGCCCCAGAAGAAACCCATGTCAGGCCCAACCTCCGCCGCGAACGATAGCTGACCGGCAACGAACCCAAGAATGACCACCACGTAAATGAGATAGATGTTTCGCTTTACAATTGGCACATCATTCCATTCATTCGGCGCAAACTTGAGAATGTACAAGACCACAGCGATATGAACCATGAACCATACTTTCACACCACCCTCCCAATGCGCACTTGCGGCTGGGTGGACGAAGGCGTACACAAACTCCCATGCGATGTCATTGCAAAGAGGGAAAATCCCTGTATTGGGTATTTTCTCTCTCCCAGAAACGTACATCATACTGAAGTAATTCAAGGTCCAGCAGATGCCCGCTAGCTTCCGGAGAAATTCCGCAACAGCAGAGAGTCCATCGCGGTATTCCAACACAGCTGAGAGTAGATCGGAGTTTGACATAGCTGGTAACTCAAGAAAGGAGTTGTGTATAGGAGTGAAAGTGTAGTGCAGATTATTTCACAGTAATTCTATGGCTTGAGCTTCCCCCGGGAAAAGGGTGTCCATCCGGTCTTTACCGTGCCCGGGTCTCTAGGAATCTGCAAACTCTCCATCAAAAGTAAAGATTTCATTGCAAATCTGGTGCCCTTCAGCAGCGCCACACGTTGTGCATACATGAAGCATGCGATAGAATGTAAGCCGGGTGGATATGTGGACAGATACACTGTAAGGATTGTCAACCAATACTAGTAATGATATTCCTACTCATGCTGCTGGAGACCGTGTATTTTAAACATCAGAAAGATATGAAAAACCAAAACACAAATTACATAAAATGTAAATAGAAAAATAGGCAAAGAAAATAAATGACAAAGATGAGAAATCACCAGTCCGATTACGCACTTTGCTTATTTTTGATTTATGAATTTATGAATTTCGATTTTCATTTGTTTATACCCACCTGCTCTAGAAACTTAGTTATCAGATAGTTATATGCTCCTGCTTATGAAAAGATTCGCTATAGACATTATAGGTGATGAAGTGCACAAGATCCGTAGCATATATCAAGTGGTAGGAGTAAAAGCTCACAAGTCCTTTTCATCGAGAACGAAGGGGTAGAAGTTCATTATGGTGATAACCTTGTTCAAAGAGAGATATTACTACGTCACTTCTAGTTGTAGTAGGTAAGTCAATATCCAGACTAGTTAACAGGATCTAAGAGTGACCAAGTCCATAGCCTGGTGGGGTTCACTCCTTTGTCGTAGAAATTGTTCTTAGAAACCGTCCTCGTCTGTCTGTCTCTACGGTGACCTCCCCTCTAGGTGCAGCTTCTAGAAGTACTTTGAGGCTGCCAATAGCTAATTGTCTTGGCCACAGGGATTATCAACATCATTAGCTTGGTAACTACGTCTATCAACCTATCCGTCTGAGTCGACTGGAGTACGCAAGGGTTTATATTGCACTGGTATTTTATAGAGGAATTTCCTCCTTCCTGCGTCTGATAGACACCTTGGCCATCGGATCCGCCGCCAATCTCATCCCGAACTTCATCACCTTGGGCTCACATCCCTCTGCCAATCGCAAGTCATACTTCAACAGGATATGACATAAAGCTATCTTGATCTCATTTGCTACGAAAAATCGTCCCGGGCAAGCATGCTGTCCAAAGCCAAAGCCCATTTGCTCAGGTGATGGCGAAACAAGTTGAGCGGCGGCTTCATTCTTGGGATTATCCGTTGTGCGCATGTTTGCGAAGCGGTATGGATCGAACTTTAACGGGTCAGGATAGATATTTTCATCCCACATCCTATCGCAGGATACAAGTATCTTGTCGCCTTTTGGGATTACTTGTCCGTCATGAAGGATGACATCTTTACGGGCGACACGTGCCATAATCGCTAAGGGTCATTGTTAGAACATGCTTTGCGTAGTTTCATAGTAGGTATAGCGGTTAATTATTGAACTTACCGATGGCCATAGGTTTCAACCGCTGGCACTCCTTGATCACACTGTCCATCAATTTCAGCTTGTAAAGTGTCGTCTTTTTCCATCCTTCAGCCTTGACGACGGTAATAATTTCTTCCCGTAATTCGCGAACAAGATCTTGCTGACCGCAGATGTCGAGAATGGTTTGGGTGAATAGATCGGTTGTAGTGTGAATAGCAGCCGCAGAGAGGGCCAGCTGTGCCGCCGCCGGGTCGTAGTTGCGTCCTTTAGAAGTATCTTCGAGCCACTGGATAGCATCATGATATTCTAAACCCTTCCCTGCGCGCTCAGCAGCACGTCTCTCTTTCAAAACTGGATCAATAATTTTTCTTGCCTGTTTAAGCTGTCCTTGGGCCTTTCGACTCGTTGGCAGATATCTAACGGCAAATGGTCGCAGGAACTCTGGCAAGAGACGGAGCTCCTGAGCAGCCGTAAATGCATTGACAGTGTAGTTTATCGTAATATCAAGCCATTCGGGATCGCGGCAGATCTTGTCTCCGAGAAATACCCTAGAAGAAAGTTGAGCAACCATCTTTAGGATGGCGGGCTTCAGCTGCAGATCGTGCCACTCTGTTGCATCCGTCCACTGCGTTTGCAGAACGTGGGTAGCCTCTAGGGAAAGCGGAATCATGGCGTTCGCTAATGGATAGGTCTTATCTTAGAGGCGTCCATAATAACCGACGGGGCGACTTACCCAAATTTTGCGTAATTTTGACGCGGACAGTATCTTGGATAATGTTGTCGTTGGCCGTAACCCGGAATGGCTCAAATCCAGGAAGATTGACATGCAGCTCAGTCGCCAAGTTATCGGTCAAGCTCAGTTCAGGGAGGCTGCGGATGTCATTGGCATATTTGGGCGCCAGCATTGTCCTTGTGCCGTTGTCAGTGATGATGCGAAAGACCCCTGCCTAGATACAACCGCAAGTTAGTGAGCGGTCTCATAATTCTGATCGTGAACATACCTCTCTCAATCCTTTCTTAATCAAGGTGGCCGCATCCTTCATGTATCGCGCCCGTGCGCGTGATTTACCGAATTCAAATGTCCCTCTTGCATTGATGAAAGGGAGTTCCGATTTTCGAGACGATGTTAAAAAGAAAAACAGTACTGGCAATGTGACTAGAAGGATGAGAGCCGGGATGGTGACATGGGGTAATACTTCAGGAGACATCATTCATCTAGAGGGGATGTGCGAAATGATGGTATTCCAAAGAAATCACACCCCAACGCCTCGCGAAGATAGAGGATTATAAGAAATTAGCATAAAAGAGGTGCTGGATATGACAGAGTTTATGCACTCTTATGATTGCCGGGGGACGGAGGAAGGTACTTCACTGATAGTCCAAGGCCCTGGGTCGATCAGTGGCTGGCTGACTGTGGCCACTTATCGTCACCTAGACTACCTCTATAGCCTACTCGAGTCTCCACCTCACGAACAAGGACATAATTTGTAACATACAAAATCAAAAATAACCTCCCCCCCCAATAATGCAGCAGTAAATGTCACTACGCAGGGGGCTAGAGAAAGGACGTTACATGATCTTCTCTCCCATCTGCAAGGACTGAGGACCCATGGAATGTAAGACCAGCTGAATGATTGGAAGATGTTATCACTTTCCGCTTCTATTAAAAAAAAGTGCACGTATATTTATTCAAGATGTTCATATTCACAAATAACACGGATAATGGGTATGTTGCAAGAACTATTTTAATAAACATCGTGTGCATCGCGTCCGTACATCCTTTTCCATTCTGTTTTCCTTTTCCGCCGTTTTGAGCCCAATTGTATTTAAATGGTTTATAATCGGTTATACCATTTGTTGAAGACGTGTCCCATGTACTCCACTCTCCCTCGGAAGCGGTTAAAAGTAAATATCAGAGAATGGTTGACCTAAGATTCAATTGAATATCCATGTTGTGTATTTTATTTTATAGTCCTTTGTGTAGCTGGAAAAGAAACTGTTTATTCTTTACATAACAATGATGCGCCTAGTTTTGAAAGCTTATCAAATCGTCGACCAAGCATTATCAATTGGAATCACCGCGCCGTTGATTCTCCGACTAGCTGAAGAAATCAAGAACAACAGACAACTAGCAACGTCATCTGGCGTGATAGCGTATCCTTTCTCCTTGTCCGATGAATGCGCCGCGTGTATTGGCGACATGGCAGCCAGGGCATCCTTATCGAATGCGTTGATGTCAAGATCCTTAAGGATGCCTGTATCGTTGCTGACACCTAGTTTCCATTAGAGATTAGAGGATAACTATTGAAAAAAAAAGAACATCCTCACCACCGGGACATATGGCGTTACAGCGAATGCCTTCATGCTTGAACCTCCAAGCTACATTTTTGGTCACCCCAATAAGACCGTGCTTACCTAGATGTGGATCTTGTCATTCCTAATTCACCCTCAACAACTAGTACTGCATTGAAGAGGTAACTTACTTGCTGTGTACGCCACACCAGAGACTGCGCCACTCAGCGCAGCCTTGCTGGCAACATTCACAATACTGCCAGACTTCTGTTCGCGCATTATGGGGAGCACCTCACGCATCAGTCTCACAGGAGCAGTGAGGTTAACAGCAATGCATCGATCCCACACGCTGTCCACGACTGAATCTGCGCTCTGATTATGATCCATGACGCCAGCAATGTTCAAGAGCGCGTCAATTCTCCTCCCAAACGCATCGTTACATGCTGATACTACCTTTTGTGGTGTGCAAGGGTCAACCAAATTTCCCTGGCAGAAGGCAAACTTTGGACACTCAATGAGTGATGTCGGCGGCGAGGAAATATCCACCCCTAGGACCTGGGCGCCTTCGCTCAGAGCAGCAATTGCCGTGACTAGCCCTATTCCCGATGAGGCCCCAGTGATAATTACAACCTATGTGGTTAAGTAACGGTCAGTAGAATCACAGAGTGAGCCTAGTATTTTCCCCATACATACTTGATCTTGGAGAGATCCCATATTGTGTGACCGAGTAATAGTGTAGCGTATGGACGGTAAGTGAATTGAAGCTGTTTTACCTGCTTGGAATTGCCTGAAGCCGGTCGGTGTTAGATACAAAGAAATCAAGCAACTTCCAACAATAGATGGTCTGTGAGAGCTCGGACGATCGGCATATCTCATGGACTATTTTCCATCTGATGCAGATCTATGCAAGCCACAGTACTCGTGCTGGCTGAGCTGAAGGTAGAATCAGCAAGGGGTACGGCAGATACCAACCAGACCCGCAAGACAAGGTGTCCATTTTGACTATTCTCATACACAATCTCCGTTTGTGTAACTGCGGCTGCATTTATGTGTGTGTGTGTGTCTTTTTGGACAGATGTCTTTTTTGACAGAAATCAAGCGTGCGAACCAGGTATAATATAAATGGCAGGACTCTAAAATGACAAAACCCGAACATCTCTGCGGACATAGATGACTAACTGTATTATGCACTGTATGGTATGCCGAGTACCACCTGTCACATGATTTTCTGGGAATTCGTCTCTGTATTCCGACATTGTTTTTGGGTTCTGACGTCTGTGCGCTTGAGCTAGTTACGGCAAGTTTCGCGGGCCGACGCAAGGGATCAATCCACTCCACTGTTTAGTACGGAGTATGTATTGTCTACACGGCTGACGGTCCAGCGTGATACATGTTCACTACTCCGTACAGATTTGAAAAATAGTGTACTCCTAGATATCACACCCTAGATATCACACCGCCCCTCCTATCCCGCTTCTCCTGGCTAATAATTACTATACAACGCATCAATCACATGCAGCAGCTCCGAGTAGCAGAAAGACAGTCGGCGCCCGTGCCTTCTAGTTTTGCCGCCTGCAAAGAGAGTCGGGCACCCTCCCACTGGTTTCCATTTTTCTGGTGGCACATCTATTTCTTTTACAATACATTCTAAGTCCTCAGCAGCCTAGAAATAAAATGACCAAGACACAGTACACTTTCCCTCCTGGATCGACCGTCCTGGTCACTGGGGCCAATGCCTACATTGGATCGCACGTGATCAATATCCTCCTCGGCCTTGGATACCGCGTTCGCGGCACTGTCCGCACACCCCGACCTTGGCTGAATGAGTACTTTGATACTCGCTATGGCAAGGGATTGTTTGAGACAATTCTGATTACGGATTTTAAAGATCCCAGCGCATTTGATCATGCGCTTACTGGGGTGTCCGGGATAGTTCATATGGTATGTCTCGCATTTCTCACTAGTATCATGTTGAAACTCTTGGAGTAGGAGTATCTGATTTGAAAAGGCCCAAGCTATGCCATGGGATCCGGCAAACAGCGATCCTGTAGGGTACACCGTCGCTGGAACGTTGAATGTTCTCCGTGCTGCATCCAGGGAACCCTCGATCAAGCGGGTGGTTCTCGCTTCATCCATTGTTGCCGCGGGATATCCCGAGGTCAATACGCCTTTTAGATTTGATACGGGTGAGTGATCCATGTAAGCTCTCTGGGATACGATCAGATTTTGATTATATCTAGATTCCTGGGAAAAGGCTACACCGGAAACTGCAATTTCGATATACACTGTTTGCAAGACTGAAGGCGAGCGGCAGGCCTGGAAATGGGTGGAAGAGAATCAACCTTCATTTGTACTAAACACAGTTCTCCCATGGATGAACGTGAGCTTGCCCCGAACCCGAGAGGATCTATTGAACGCACCGAGCAACGCTGAGAGCTAAATGTCGTATCCTTAGTTTGGCCGGACTCTCCACCCCGAAATTGGTAGCTCAGGCCACAAATGGATCCGAGGCCTTCTGAAGGGTGATCCGTTTCCGTTCAAGGTGATTCCCATCCGTAAGTCAAACGTTTATCCCCCAATAGATCCGACAATATCGCTAAGCTGTCATGTTGAAAACAGCATGGTTCATCGACGTAGAAGACTCCGCACGACTACACGTCATTGGCTTGCTGAGTACGGAAGTCAATTCGGAGCGACTATTTGGTGCTGCAGCACCCTTTGTATGGAGCGATATAACTGGGATTATGAAGAAGGCGGATCCTATGAACAAGCTTATCCCAGAGGCACCACCGACGGAGAAGCCTAGTGTGGGAGAAGTGGTCCCAGCTCAACGAGCCGAGAACCTCATTCGTACCTTCTTTGGACGACCTGGTTGGACTACCCTTGAAGATTGTATTAAAGCAACCGTGAAAACAGCCTGAGTGATCCCTGTCGCTGGAGAACGTCAACAGGCCTCTGCGTTTAAGGGCATTGAAAATACATATTTTTTTTGCAATCAGTCACGATTCATCTCGAGGTATCTTGGTAGATTTGAAGCACGAATGATATGTATTTCTAGGCGGAAATTTGTAACCATTGTCTGGGTTCGAGTCTCAATATCAAATAAACCCAACAAAAGAAATTGGTTTTTTTATGCTAAGCGTTCGCTTGCCGGTCGGTTATTCATAGTTCTGTAAGTCATGTTTGAATATTGATTGTTAAAGAACTTCCAAGGATAATTCTTTATCCACCAGGTAGGCATCTCTAATCCTACTAGTACAAAACTTGTGATGCGCGAGATCTGATCTTCGATACACAAGTTATGTGTGTCGTGGCACTTATCAGTGATGGTCTTGCTCCGGGTCAATATATGCTGACGTTGTCCAAGAACTTAATTACGCGCAAACTGGTGGTTTAATGCATCAAGTGTTAATGTGCTTAGGACTCCAGTTAGCGACGCGATATCAAGATATTTATGTGAAGTCCCAGAGGAATTACAACTTTCATTGGGCCTGAAGGAACCTATACCAGGTTTAATGGATCCAGTATACCGGCTAAACATACAAATTTTAAGACCGGGTAGCGTGTCCCTAGTAGCGTTCCTCATCGCCACTTGACTCTCATTCATACCATACATGGAAGGTCCTGCACTGCGGCATTGTCCTCGCGTCTCCGAATCACAAGTTTAGCTACCGGATCAGCAGTTCGAGAGGCTCCATGACAACGGACCTCTGGCAGGCGCTCTTGGTCCAGTTTGAAGTCATACTTCAACAGAAGTTGACAGAGCGCGATCTTGAGCTCATTAGCAGCAAAGAACCGACCTGGACAGGCGTGCTCTCCGAAGCCCCAGCCGAGGTGGTTTGGTGAAGGCGAGACGAGCTGGGCGGCTGTTTGAGTCTGCCGGTCTGGGGACTCGCGCATGCGCATATACCGGTAGGGGTCAAATTCCTGTGGATTATCATAATAATCGGGATCCCACATGGCATCGGCAGGGAACAGAACGGTCGTATTCTTTGGGATAAACATTCCGTCAGATAGAGAGATATTTTTGGTTGCCAGACGACGCATGGGTGCTAAATTTCATGTCAGCTTCTGTTCATTCATTCTCAGGGTGGATACCATACTAATGGCAATAGGCTTGTGTCTCTGACTCTCCTTGATGGTGCTGTCCATCAAAATCAATTTGTACAGCGAGATCTTACTCCAACCATTGTCGCTCACAACCTTCATGATCTCCGCGCGCAATGCTGCCACCAGATCGGGCCTTTCAGCGATGTCGAACAAGACCTGCGTCAGCATATCAGCCGAAGTGTGGATGGCTGCCATGGACAGAAGGAGTTGGGAGATGGCTGGGTTATAAACACGGCCTTTCGCGGTATCTTCCATCCAGTCAATGGCATCGCTGTATGAAACTGGTGTCTTGCCCGCTGCTCTGGCTGCCGTCTTTTCTTTTTGTCGCTCCTCCAAAACAGGAAGAATGAGGGCCAAAGCCTCTCGCATATCTTGACGCAGCCGCCGGCAGGTTGGAAGAAACCAGTGAACGATATACCGGAGGCTATGGGGCCATTGACGGAGCTGCTCGGTAGCCGTAATAACATGGACTGCATAGTTTATGGTAATGTGTAGCCATTTGGGGTCTCTGCAGAGCTTCTCCCCCAAGAAGACACGGGAAGACGTCTGAGCAATGATCTGTGTAATGCTCGATCGCAGTGGTACCGCATGCCATTCTTTTCCTTGTCAGCTTTCTCGCAGATGACACACGAGTCAATGTCTACTCACCACGTTCATCCGTCCAGTGCGTCTCGAAGCTCAGCGCTGTTTCGTGGGAGAGGTGCTCAGTGACACGACCTAGTGTCTATATCAATACAAATTCCTCGCATTATGCCAGCAAAGATTCGCTTACCCAGCGTTCTTGTCAATTTAGTCAACACCGCGTCGTGGAGAATGCGTTCGTCCTTGGATCCTTCCCGAAAAACCTCGAACCCAGGAAGATGCGACATGAGCTCCCTAGCAGAAGCTTTATCGCGGCTCAGGTCGGGATGTTGGCGGATCTCCTCAAGATACTTCGGAGACAGAACAATCTGGCAACCATTGTCGGTGACGAGGCGGAACCCTTTCGCAGACTGATTTCCAGTGTGGTGAGTATCAATCTAAGTTGACAGCAGAGGATGAACAAACCTTGGCGAACCCATCTTTTAACAAGTCGGCGGCACTAGAAACCCAGCCCTTCTTGGAGAGATGCCCGAACCCGAAGACCCCGTGCTTGTTGATAATCGGCAGTTTGGAGCCCGGAGACAAGATATATCGCAGAGCCCAGGTTATAAGAATAAAGAGCCCGACACCAACAAGTGAGGCTCTTGTATCTTCCATGAAGACTAAGTCGACAATCATGTTTACTGAGTTGAGGACAAAGCTCAGTCTTCGAGCAGAAAGTATTCAAATCCTGAGAAAAAACCAAGAGACAGCGGGAGTAGGTGCGAGGACATCTTCTGTCTGTCTTTTGCGAAATACCACCCCAATGTAAATGTTATACACAGAATACCCTATACGTTCATCGTGCAGTCAGACAGCTGACAAATGTTGTCTCAAGCCTTGCGGCACTTCCCGGGATTCTCCCGCGATCCTCGCGCGGGCGTAAACGGCAATCGATCTCCATTCCGTCCTTGTTACACGTAAGCTCATATGCAGCTGGTCCCTACATTTTGATATTGTGCTACGTGGAGTACTACCCTGCCTGCTCGACATAGAACTTATAACATGCACGCCGCCAACCTTACGTACGGTATTCTTTGAAATGCATACAATTAAATACAAAAAAAGGGTGTTAGCTGTAAAATATTAACTTATTAATATTGGTTATTGGAATCGGTATACTGCCAAAATAAAGCTTTTGGCTTGCATACAAGTTCTCTGTGGAGCTGGCATGACGTGGTGCGGTGCATGCCAAGATCTGGCGTTTACACCTGCAGTTGTGAATGACAATTTCAACCCCTTCACGATATGTGAATTGCTGAGGATTGGCTGGAGGATAAAATTATCACCTACGCAACACGTCCATAAGATGATAAAATACTAGCATTCAATCTATTCACCGTGAGAATTTAAGGAGCTATCATGCAAGGACTAGTTTTGGGATGGAATCTTAGAGATTGCATTACACACTTCAAGGTACGGTCTAAGCTACGATATAGTGCAGGCCAGCCAGCCAACCAACATTCCCAGTAAAAGAGATACGACAACAACATATGAATCTAGGTCGGTAATTGGTCCTCGATTATCCCTAGATTAGAACAGAAGATACAAGAAAGCGATAGTCAATAAAATGCCAAGTCGATGTGTCAATTGTAGTAAGCCTACTTGGAAATCTGTATTTTAGGTCGATCACATATCAGCTATCTGCAAGAGTACACGATGAGGAGCCAAACAAGGCGTGAATTACCATCTCACTCTATGTTTTATACGATTAATATTTGCATTTCACTCCAACACCCTGCATATACTAAAGGACGACCTAGGCATTTGTTGGCGTAGCTGGCTGGCTATGAAGATCTCTAGATCTAGCGGTGTAAGAAGGGAGGGAACCGGGTCACTGAGCAGCCAAATTTGCATAATTTCCGTGATGATCCTGGCACAAGAGATGCGTTTTTGTTGCAGCTAGATCGAAGCCTCCTAAATCTGCTCACTCCACTAGTTCACGTCATTACGAGGGTTATTGTTTTTTTAATGTGACGGTGCTAAATTCGCCCTATTTTGGCGCAATTATAGAAATGCTATTGGGCTACAGAGGGAGAGGGAAAAAGGAAGGAGAAATCGTCAGGACAGTCCCCAGATGGTCTGATCTCCAACAAATGCTATCTACCATTGTAAACTGTTTAGCTACAATAAGATGTTTTATACCAAAGAAAAATGACGTTCATCTCATATTAACGGTTCAAAGAACAAAACCTGGGTTCCAAACAATGCGAAAAATAGCTACACGCCCCGAAATTATGTACACACATTCAAAGTAATAGTCTAGTCCTTGCTATAGAAGGAGTAACACCATATCAAGGTTTGACATGTGACTTCAAGAATGCAAACCCATCTTGAACTGCCTGCACTGCCTCCTGGTTCTCTTCCATATCCGGGTATGTATCAAACAAATGCACTGCATCGAGTACTCTGATCTCAGAATCAACACCAGCATCGGAAAGCGCATTATATGTTCGCTGCGCCTGGGCAATGGGAATCAGATCATCACGGGTACCATGGATGATAAAAGTGGGAGACTGGTATTTGCGGGTTCGGATCTGGGCCAAAGGACTGATTGATTGGATAGCCTCAACGCTAGGTGGTTCCAATTCGGGTGTTTGATTCCTCTGATTAGGACCTTGCTTGTTTAGCAGGACAGGAACCGTCTGACCGGTCCAGTTCATGTGTAATGCTATACGACTGCGAGCATCACTAGGATTCATCCAGCCACCCAACGAGGATGGAGGATTGTATGAAGTGATGGTTTTGTCTTGAATGCCTTCCCGCCAGTCGTATGCGTCGGTTGACACAGCAGAATGACCAAATGGCAAGTTTGGGTGACTCCAGAAGGGATCCTCATAGTCCGTGGGACAGTAGAACGAAAGAATTGCCTCCGGAGGACGAACGCCAATCATAGCAGAGGTCCAAGCAAGCGTCATGGCAAGGTGGCCACCAGTTGACCACCCAACACTCACCACGTGATCCCCGTCGGGCTTTACATCGGGGCGTTTCAGCGCTAGCCCTGGCAGAACCTGACGAGCCCACTCCAGGGCATCCCGACAATCCTCCATGGGTCCTTTCAAGAGGGAGACCTCCGGGCAAAGCCTGTAATCAATGCTTACTGGCAAGAACCCTGCGGCAAGTAACATTTTCGTTTGCTTGGGGCGGATATCCTTGCGAGAAAGCATGACATGACCACCACCATGAATCATAAGGGCTATGGAAAATGTCAGTCCTCGTTCGTCATTGAGATATGTTTGAGTTCTGCTTCACGTACCAATAGGCCGGGATCGGCTCGATGTCTCAACCTCTGTGGGGTAATAAATGTCCGCCAGTAGTTCAACCCCATTCTTCTCCGCGAAAGTCACCGACTCTTCCGTGACCAGGGTACTTTCTTGAGAGCCGACGTCTGCAGGGGATGCCACAATCAACCGTAATATCTCAGATTCCTTTGAGGTGTTACTACTCCAGTCGACCCACCGATAGCCGGCCTGGCGAAGGGCCTTATCCCAAGCGTATTCGCTAGCAAGAGCGTGCTGTCGACCATCGCCGAACAACCACCAGCCCTCGAGTAGTCCAAAGACCAGGTCGAACCAGAACAAGTTGCGGGTCAGCTCAATCAGACAAAGAATTCCGTCAGGCCGTAAAAGGCTATTGATATTCTTGGTTGATCTCATGATGCTGGGAGTGGCATGAACACAGTTTGAGGAAATGATCACGTCATATTGTCCTAACATTGCTTCGGGGGGGTCCTGGTCAATGTTGAGAGTTGTATAGCACATGAAGTTGTACTTTTGGAACCTCTTTCGCGCAAGTGCAATTAGCGAGGATGAAATATCTGTAAAGGTGTATTCGAAGCGTAGCCCAGAGACATCCGCGAGTTGACCAAGGAGGAAGCCGGTGGTACCACCAGTGCCAGCACCAATCTCGAGGATCTTGATCTCTCTACCAGGTTCAGCCTTGCTGAGGACGTCTCGGAGAAATTGCGTCAAATGCATTGTCGCAGAAAGGAACATTGGCGCATGGGTATATACATTTCCAATTAGCTCGCGTGCCTTCTTATCCTGGAATAGAAGGGCCAGAGGATCAGTCGAACCAGTCAAGCACTTGGCCAATTGAGAGCCAGTGGTGTGAAGAAGATTGTGCTCTAACTCATGGCGAGGGTATTTTCGGACGATTTGTTGGTGTAGGGAAAGGGAAGGCGTGGTTGGAATGAGGTTCGCTGTTCTTATAATACCGTCTCCTTGCCTTTGGACCAATTTGGAGAATTCCAATATGGAATAGAGCTGATCCTTCACCTGCTGATGTTGAGGCAGTACTGGAAGCTGTGGGATGACCTGTCCAGGCCCGAAGGAGTCAAGCGGAATCCCCATATCTTCGAATGCCTCGACAACATATGCTGTCACAAGAGCCATCTGTTGGGGATAGACGTCATCACAAAAGCCAGTCCACTGGGCTTTCTGACTGTATAGGCTAGTTGTCCTGAGATTGGCAAACACGTCGCTTGATAACGCAGCCAGAGAGTCACTCGGGGTAGGGACTAAATTGATGTGACTAACTTGCCTCGACATCTGCTTCGCCGGGGTTTTAATAATGGTTTCCACTGGAGCGGAGATATCTGAGGCTTCAAAGGAAGCATCTGGGAATAATGTGTTGGCCAGGCTTTGAATATCAGAAATCTCCAGCAAGGCAGTGACAGACAAGTTAAAGCCAAAGCGGTTCTTGATCTCAGCCAAGACCTCAGTCCTCATGAGCGAATCTACTCCAATATCCTCAAGGCCCGACGATGGAAGCAACTCTTTCAACGGAATGCCTAGGAGAGTGTGGAACATCTCTCGGACAGCTTCTACGTGTCCACCCCTGTCACTCATTGCTTTCGGAGATTCCTGCGAGTTTGGCATCGAAGTCGCTTGGGTCTCAAGCAGGGGATCTCTCTCAATCGATTGAGGGACCGACGTAGGAGCGTCTTTGTTCAGTCTGCTGAGAGCGCGAGATAAATTCGACATCAGAACACTGGTAAAGGTCGCAGACATGATGGCAAGAAGCAATTTGCCGCTCTCGGAATCGAACACGAAGATGTCGCTCATGAATTGCTTCTTGGAAGGTCGATCATAGCTGGTGTATGTTGTAGTAGTTCTGGTGGACTTCGTATCTCTCGTGATAAAGGCGTCACTCAAAAATATGTCCCCGATAGCACTACAAACAAAGACCTCGTCCTCGCGAGTCTCAGACAAGCAGTTTGTATGGATACCAGCCACCTGAAGGAAATTGTCGAGGAGAACGGGGTCACAAATTCCATTCGCACTTGGGGAATCCTGCAAGGACACGAGACCAGTAGCTTCATGCCCATTGGAAAACACGTTCTTCACTCCTCTGAAGTAGTCTGCATATTCAACCACTCGATTGAAAGTCTGGTAAACAGGTAGCCCCACCAAGCCACTGGCACTTGTTGAATTTGCAATGGTACGAGAATGAGATGGAGATATGAGCCGATCCAGGGACCGGAAACGCGAGGAAGCCTGGGATGCTCCGCTCCCGTTGTACAGTCCGATCTCACCTGTGGCATGCGTCTCCCGGCCTGATATCCCCTGCTGGGTGAAGAGAGAGAATGACCATTCGAGCTGGGTGTCAGTTTGCGATAGTTGAAGACAGACCTCTCCTTCGGACTCGAGAAGCAACGGGGTACAGATGCTAAGATTGTGAATATGTGGCATAAGTCCAGAGAGCCCCTCTGACGTTGTCTTGCTTGCTGCCTCCAAAATTATCTCAATGTACAGAGACGCAGGACACAGATGTTGGCCAACAACGGAGTGTCCTTGTGCACATAATCGGTATACTGGATGAGAAACATTGACCGAAAAAACGGTGCCCTTGGAGTTTCGTTCAACCACTTTGACCATTCCACTGGAAGTATCAGGCACCGATGGGGATGTTACGGGAAGGAATGCCAATGGATCAAATGGAATCCAATGCTTGGTCTTCGCAAATTGATAAGGGGGTAGATTCATTGACTTGTAAGAGGGCGCCTGGTGATGACTGAAGGCCCAAAACTGCACTTTGACGCCGCTTGACCAAAGTTTCGAGGTGGCTTTGGCAATGTTTCGCTCTGCTTGTGGGTCTTGGAGATTTATCGGCTGGAGGACGTGCCTTTCTGGCGATTCAGAAGATTGGATAATCTGTCGAATCATCGGGATCACAGGAGATCCTGATCCGGCCTCAAGCCAGATGGCTTGACCGGAAGCCTTCTCTGCGGCCCTCTTCACAGCCGATTCAAAGTAAACAGGCATACGGCTGTGCTGAACTATATTCGTGGGAGTCACAGAGGTCCAATCTTCCAACTCAGAGCAGGCCTCTATTGGAATCCGTGGCTCATGGTACACAAGTGATTCAGCAACTTCGGTGAGGCCAGGAACAATACTGTCAACTAATCGAGAGTGGAAGGCATGAGTGCTGCGCAGTCGCTTTGTTTGAATAAACATGGATCTGCCTACAGCGATAGCTTCGATATTTGCGATGGAGGCCTCCTCCCCGGCAACAACGAGGTCGCGCGGGCCGTTGTAGCACGCGATATCCACAGTGTTATTGCAAGTCTTCAGCAGGTCAAGGATATCTTCCGGTGTTCCTTTAATCGACAGCATGCTGCCATATTCTAGGCCCCAACTGCTGCTGATCAGCCTGGCTCGCTGGGATATGAGCGTTATTGCGTCGGACAGACTCAAGCCACCCGCAACGCAAAGTCCAGTCAGTTGGCCAAAGCTGTGTCCAATGATACGGTCCACCTTCAGCCCTGAGTCTATCCAAGCCTTGGCAGACGCATACTGGATGGAGAAAAGCATGCAATGGAGGGATACTAGGTCTTTGATTGGACTGCTTTGGAAGATCGTCGGGAACAGACTTGGCAGGCCCAGGGCGTTGCAAGCGTTTTCACATTCCATCTGAATTTGTTGGGTTAGAACCACGCAAGATACTCACATTCGGGACGAAAGAACTTACCAAGTGAAATCGTAAGTGTCCACAAGAGTTGTAAAGATCTTCTGAAATACTAGCTGTGTTGCCAGTCTGACCGCCAAAGCAGAGGATCACAGGAAGTGGATTTGCAGGCTTCTTTCGCGAGTGAGCATTGGTTGAGATGACCTGAGTGAGCTCGTTCAGGAAGCTCTTAGTATCGCTCGAACTCGTTGAGAAAGTGGCTATGTAGTCCATTTCCCTGTTCTGTTTGATGGCAAGATTGTACGCGACGTCTTGCAGCAGACTTTCGTTGGGCGAAAGCGATCTGTCATTGACGAAACTGTGAAGGGCCTCACAATAAGCAAGAAGGGACTCTTGGGACTTTGCTGAAATGAAAATTGGGACTTCTGATGCGCATGCTCCGACGTAGTCTGAAGTAAATGATGGACTCGCGTGTTGCTTTACCAAAAGAGCCGCATTACTTCCAGCAGCGCCATAATTTGTCACCATCGCCGCAGGATATGTGGATTCCCAGCTGACAGACTTGTCCGGAATTGAGATATTCTCTTTTTCAGCAGAAGGGATTTTGGGATTCAGGCGAGAGAAGTTGGCCTGCTTGGGGATTCTCCCCTTTTGAATCATCAACACTGTCTTTAACAGCCCTGCAACTCCGGAGGATGTCTCTGTGTGCCCAATATTATCCTTGATAGATCCAATCCAAAGCATTTCAGCTCGACTTCGTCCACCGAAAACCTGGCGAATGCTGTCAAACTCGATTGGATCTCCCACTTGCGTTCCTATTATGAATTTAGTATGAGGGCCTAATGATAGAGCAGCGTGTAAATTTAAACACATACCAGTTCCATGGGCCTCAATATAGCTCACTTCATATGGAGAAGTTGCTCCAGCAACGAGGGCTTTACGATATAGAGACTGTTGAGATTCCGAGACAGGGACTGTGATCGGAGAACAGTTGGAGCCTTGGTTAACTGCTGATCCCGCGATGACAGCCAACACTGTGTCATGATCACGAAGGGCATCTTCCAATGGTCGCAGAACCACCAGTCCTGCCCCTTCACCACGACAATAGCCATTTGCATCCGCATCAAATGCTCTGGAGGCTCCAGTCGGAGACAGGAAAGAGGCAGCGGCGAGGTTCTGAGTAACCTTGGGACTGGTCATGACGTTCACTCCTCCAGCCATTGCAATGGAGCATTCCTTTGCCTGTAGGGCCTTGCAGGCCAGATGAATTGCCACGGCAGCTGAAGAGCAAGCGGTGTCAACTATCAATGATGGACCACTCCACCCAAAGTAGTGGCTGATGCGTCCGCTGTTAAAGGCCTGAAGAGTTCCTGTGGCGGAAAATGCATTGGCGTCCCGGGATCCAACATTATCTGTGTAGTCGTCCGAGCCAACACCGATATAGCAGCCGATGTCTGAGGTCAATGAAGAAGCAGAGATCCCACAATAGCCGGCCGACTCCATGGCATTATATGCGACCTGCAATAGGAGTCGCTGCTGGGGATCCATAGCCTCTGCCTCGCGGGCAGAGATACCAAAGAACCGATGATCAAAAGCCTCGGGATCATCCAGGTAATTCCCAAAAAAGGGACCATTTGGCTGTCGTAAGAGCTTTTTCATTTTGAATCTATCATTCGGCATCTCGCTGACAGCACATCGTCCCAACTCAAGCATCTCCCATAACGCCTCAACAGAATCGGCCTGGGGATATCGACCAGCCATTCCGACAATTGCAATCGGAGTTACTGGGTCGCCACGATGACCGTTGAGGGTGAAATTTGGCATAGCTTCAGCTCTATTCACTCCATTCGTAGATGCGTGGCCATTTTTCAGCCCATTAGGGTACCCATTGCTGTCTTGACCCAGGCCGTTCTGCTGTCCTGACTGAATGCTCACACTCCGGGGTATGATGGAACTCTCGCCAACTGTCAGCAAGCGAGCACCATTGTTGGCTTGTCGCATGTCGTGAAATGCGTCTGCAACAGTTGGAAACCACTTGCATTGCATGACCAAAATGGATTCTAATGCAATGGCGAGCAAACCCCCTTGGCGAATAACGTTCCCGTCCACGTTGGATCGGATAGGCAGGAGAAGCTCGCTTCCATTTGGTAATAGGAAACGCTTGTCATGCTCAAAGTACTTGAAAATACGTTGCACAGCTTCTTTGTGTGCCTCATGGTGGAATCTGCCCCTCAGCGCAATCGGCTTCGCTGATAAATTGTGACTTGTGAGATCTTTGACCAACGCTTCTATACCTTCCTCTGGTACCGTTACCGTCATACTATTGGTATCCAACTCGCATGATGCATAGGCCTGAATAGCAACGTTAGCATTATTGTTTACTACGGATGGATAGGGAGGTGTTTACCTTTGGGTGGGATGCGATGACTTGTTGAAATGTCTTGCAACCAGCGAGGTCCTTCCACTTTACAGCAACAGACCGAAAGTTACCATGTACCAACTCATCCAAGTCAACCAGAGCCCCAATGCAAACGGCTAGTCGGACAATTGTCGCTGCGAGTGACCGAAACTCGCCACCCCCCTTAGAGCAAGCGACCGCGACCGCAGACAAGAACCCTACGCAGAACCCTTGAGTGTCGATGATCCTTTGCTCCACATCCGACTCCTTCAGCTTGATGAACTCCAAGATCTGGCTAATTACAGTGAGTGGAGTCAGGATCATACTAGTAGGCTCTGCGGTGTGTGGTGATGGCGAGCCATGTAACTGTTGTACCAATGCGATGATCTGCTCGCCCCCCGAAACTTGACGGAGAGGCGGAAAGGCCTTGGTAATATCGGTCCATAGGGAAGGCAGGTCCTGCAGAATTTCATAGATGAATTGTACAGATGAATCTTCGGCCAAAGTCCTGCTTATTTGAGCCGAGACCGCATCGAAATTGCTGCATTGTGGCCCAAATAGAAGGCAGACTGGACGTCCGACGCTATCTGTTGAAGTTTGCATCGGGCAATGGATGTTTGAGAGACGGAAACGCGAGAATGCAGAGTAGTAATGGTCAGTTTGAGCTCACTTAGATCCAAGGACAAACCTTGTCTATTAAAGGGAGACCGTATCAAGTTTTCCAAATGCAAAACACGCCTGATATACCTCGCAGTTTATCCCATGAAGATCATACTACTCTTGCAGCTACTCTCCGACGTCCTTGCGTATACTGTCTACTGATACCAATAATGATTATTGATTAATTTCTAGTATAAAGCTCTCACCCTTTCTGTATTTAATTGAATGTATTCGTTTGAAAGAATACTGTACTGGATATTGGTGGCGTGCATGCGTTAGAACGAGATCTCTGCCCAGCCTGCATGACAGTTGTGTCGATTTTATCGCCCCCTGCAGGCCAAGGTATTCGAAGACTCAGCTACAACCTAACACGCCACAGTTGCTTACAAGCAATTTGTGTAAATTCTTTCTCCAGTTGATCCTGTCTTTGATCGGCGGGAGCATTTCGGTACAGGAAAGACACAATCAAAGGATATGTTAGTGGCTAGCTGCCTACTGTGCTGTTGTTTTCCTTTTTCCCTTTTTTCATATCTTTCTTTTCTCTTTTTTTTTTCTTTCTCAGATTACTCGAGTTCTGTGGACTATATATTGCATGTTTATCTTGAGCCTCAAGATAGATCTGTTTTCTGATTAGTGTATTTTACATAGTTTAGATTCAGGCGGGAGGTAACATGCATATGCATGCATACCAGCATCATTGTTCCCAAGTCTTTCGTTGTTATTTTTCAGCATACCACAATCTTTCACCCTTGCATATGGCATCTACCGAGCTACCCGCATTTACTGTGGCTAGCTGTACTCTATATTTTCTATCCGTTCATCTGCACGATGAGATCAATTGACAGTCTTGCTACTCTACACACCGCAACTTGCAGATCCCAACCAACCTGCAACACCCATTGCTCTGTTGTTCAAGTTATCCAGTGCGATAAAATCTGATAGATAGACCCACCACATATTATATAGTTCCTGGAGCACTTATTATTACAATTTTTCGTAACCGTCCTCTTTGTTTTCGGTTTCCCCCCTCCCTTCAACATCTCACACGTTCTGCCCATCATGCACCCAGACTCTCAGCTCAAAGACGCGGTCACTAAGGGATTCGACCCCAAACTCTTGTATGATCCTAACCTGGATCATGTTGATGAACCAGTTCGATCTATTCTTGAGGTATATAGTAATATCCCCGCGGACAAGATCTTAGAGCACGTTCGTCAACTGGTTAGTACCCCCAGTCAGAGGCCTCATTTCCTGAGTTCAGGATACTGACTGTGATTAGAGAGATCGAGCATTCGCCATCGTACGTTTCATTTTTCTCACTTTACGTTATGGTCAAGCTCACCCTATCTAGTTCCCTTATGCCTGCGTCGGAAAGTTTTCCTTTCTCCACCTGAGCATCGCATCTTCGCCCGTCTACCCCGAGATTCTCCGCCGGGTGAAAGCGGGAGACAAGTTGTTGGACCTAGGGTGTGCTTTTGGGCAGGAACTTCGCCGCTTGGTGCGTTTTCAATTGGGAACCTTCTTATGGAAGTCAGCTAAGAACTACAGATATATGACGGCGCACCATGTTCAAACCTTTATGGGACTGACCTCCGCCCTGAATTCCTTGAGCTTGGCTGTGACTTGTTCCTTGACCATGATAAGATGAACGAACAACTTATCGCCGCCGACATCCTGGACGAAAACTCTGATCTAGTGGGGCGGCTAATGGGGCAGCTTGACATAGTGTACATCTCCCTGTTCCTTCACGTATTCGACTGGGAGAAGCAGGTTGAGGTGGCTAAGCGAGTGCTTGACTTGCTTGCTGCGAAGCCAAATTCCCTCATCGTTTGCCGCGTCATGGCATGTCGGGACCAGAGCCTGGTCAATTCCAACCTGGCTCGCATGCCATACTACTATCACGATTTATCCAGCTGGAAAAGTCTGTGGGAGAGGGTTCAGAGTGACACAGGCCTCCAACTTGATATGCAAAGTTGGGAGCAGCCGGATGAGTTGGCAGCAAAGCATCCCGTCGAGGGAGTCTATGTTCTTGGGTCCTCTATTAGAAAGGTTTAACTGCCCAGTTTGTAAATGTTTTCCGGTGCATCTATTCGTAATCAATGGCATGGTCCAGTTCCTCAAAAATATCTGTATGCGCCATACAACATTGAAGGAGCACATACGAACCCCGTACAGCACAATCCTACTAATAAAATCCCAAATATGGGCTTAAGATGTTGTACGGTACAAAATGCGGAATGACCAGTCACGAGTTATGTTTTCTTTTGTACAGATCTCCATTTGCCACGAGTGACGGGGCAGGAAGCCATAGTCTCGTGAACAAGAACGAGTAACTGATGATATACCTGGCAAGGACCCTGCCATGCCGGTCCAGCCGAGAAGGTCCCCTAATTCATTGGGATTACTGGCAAAAAAGAAGGCAAAAGTGGCGTGTATGCATATGCACTGTATTAGGGGACTCTCCACCGGACTGGCATGACGGGGTACTACAACATAGGTCACCATAAAACATTGGCGCTTGATGCATGTGCTGTATACATTCCCACACGGTGTATATGATACATAGCATACTTAGGTCAACCCGCAGATGCATGTCGCGAGTGAGGAGACTAAGCAAAATTCATATTCGAATAACATAAAACGATCAACAGTGGTATGCATAGGGCCAAAACTTGAGATTTAAAGTTCCAGGAGGTCGCAAGATGTACCTGCAATCTATCGATGCATTTGCATACATCGTGTGGTCATGATAACCCCAGTACCTAGTACCCACGACGCCCCAGTGTTTCAATCAAGGAGCTCTATGAAAATACCTAACACAGCCACCAAGTTATATTGTTCTCATACCAATATCCTCTTTTTTGAGCCACTTTTTTCAAACCCATCTTCAATCTGCCAATATGAACTTCCTATTTGGCTCGCGACGGGCCCAACCGGCCACTGTGCCCTCAGACAAGATAGTCCCCCTTCGTTCCTGGGATACAGCCCTGTCCATGCGTGGAACAGTCCTAGATACTGCACTAATTTTCCATGATGTCCTGGATATTTTCAGGCTTCACACTGCTTTGGACCAGCTGTTTTCCATGGGGAATTGGAGCCAGCTAGGAGCTCGGCTACGCCTGAATGTAAGCCATCCCCTCTTCTAGTCCAGTAGTTCCTACATGGCAAAATGACTCCCTCTAATCACAGATTTTTCTTAGGGCAACAACGGTTTAGAGTACCACATCCCGCAATGCTATGACGATATCCGACCAGCCTTTATCTTTACCAATGTCAAACATGAGCTGCCCCTCCACTCTCATCCATTGACATCACAACTTCCCGAGGCTTCAGATAAGGCTAAGCTCTTTGCCTCCCCAGAAGATTTCACTCCGATTTTGCGAAGCAAGGCTACTCCCCGAAAGTTAGATGAATGGATTTATTCCGATAATCCGCAGCTTTTTATCCACGCTGTGGGTTTTGATGATGCGACCATCCTGACTGTCACATTCCCACACACTCTGGCTGATGTCATGGGAATTGGAATCTTCATGAGTGCGTGGGCCGCCGTGGTTCGGGGCGATTTGGGTGCTGTGCCGACTCTGGAGAGCTTTGAATCAAATCCTCTGACAGAGCTTGGTCAGCGAACACCAGCAGAGAAATACGTATACTTCGACCGGGTGCTCAACAAAGGCCAATTGATTATGTTTGTTGCTCGGCGCATGACCGATTCGCTTTGGTATCGCCAGGAGGAAAGACGCACAATTTTCCTCCCGGCCAGGTGCGTCAAGAAGATGCGTGAAAAGGCCGTTGAGGAGCTTGCAAGGTCCAGTGGCCATGCTTGTGCGGATGCAAAGCCTTTTGTCAGCGAGAGCGATATCATACTGGCGTGGTGGACACGCACACTCTATATTGCACTCGGTCTGCTACCAAGCCAACGGATTCTACTCAACAACGCGTTCAACCTGCGTACATCGTTGCATGATTCTTTTGCGTCTCCTGAAAACGCTTACTTGGGAAATTGTGTATGTATGTCACCTACTTTTCTGCAGGGACGCCACCTCCAAGATGAACCATTGAGCAAAATCGCCTGGAGAATCCGACAGTCAGTATCCCTGCAGCAGACGGCCGAACAGGTTGAGGCTGTTACGGCTCTATTGAAACAAACCATGGAAAATTCAGGCTACCTTGCATTGATCGGTGAGCCGGGTATGCTGCTTCTCTCTTCTTCGAATTGGCATAAGGCCGGAATGTACGGTTTAGACTTTTCTTCGGCGGTGACTACACCTGGAAAAGACCTACACAGCCGGATAAACGATCTTGGAAAGCCATCGCATGTCAATGGAGTTCTACATTCGGATCTATCCTTCAGGAACACTTTCGCTGTTACGGGAAGGGATGCTGGTGGTAACTGGTGGCTCAATGGCGTGTTGCGGACTGATGCATGGGCGAAGGTAAAAGGTGAGCTTGAGAAAATAGACGATTGAGATCTAGTAAAATTCAATTGTCACCGGTTATGTCCACTCATAATTAAGCACCAATCTATACTGTGTTGTTTGTTGGAAGACAATGTAGAAAATTTGTGTGATAGAACTTCGAATGAGAACCAAGAAAACATATACATGTTTGTTTGTTTGTTCATCCTTTTATTGCTTTATATCTCATATATATATATATATTATCGCAACATTTGCGGTAACCACATAGATGCCGCGGATAACCATGCCACAAAGGATTGCAACGATTTCTACTTTTGATGATTTGTAATGGTCTGTTCAACTTGTGAGAAATCATCGAGCATCACGGCTTCTAATGCTGATGCAAATTGAGAGACCTGAAGTGGATCCTTATCTTAGATCCAGGAGCCATTCCAACCAAGCCATAAGAGATTCATCTTCTCCTCAAGCGATATTATATAGTTTAACCCCTTACCAGGTTATACGTGTAATAGCTAGTCAGATTTGGCTCGGAGATGTCTTGTTCAAACTTCTATATATAAGTTGGATACATCTCTATTGCTCTTATACTACATAGATGCTCTTTGGCAGACAAGCGTGTATTATAGAACCGGGATCCCTGGTCATAATTCTCTGAGATAAGTCTTTCCAGAGCAAGTTACCGCGGAGAGATAGGGGATATGCCTTGAAAGTTTGACGCAGCGCAGGAATGTCTAGAAATTCACCGAGTGTCGATCGGAGTATATTTTCAAACGTCAAGGTATGTCCCTCCTAGGCACTACCTTGGTTGTTGTTCTGGTCTAGTAATAAAATACGCTGTATTTATTCCCGCATATATCCCTACAAGAGAAAGGAATTTGGCTACAGTCTTCATGTACGCTTTCCAAAATATAAAATAAATCCAAATGCCGGTTTCATTGTGCCTTTTATCGTTGACTTGCGGTCAGTATCTGGTGGTGTCTACGAACGAATCAAAACACACTCCGCAATGAACAACACTGTGACCAATATCATTCATGCCCGCTTCGGGTTGTAGATCAGTATGTTACGGGACGGCAAAGCTATTAGGGTGATCGCCGAAGAAACTTTAGTATCTTCTGGGCATATGCTGTATTATTTTTGTCGCTTAGATGTCATCAAAATCTAGGTCCTGTTTCAATGGTTCCGTACTATTTGAGGTAAGATATTTGGTCGAACTCAATATCTCTTTCGTCCTAAATATTGTTTTTTTTTTGGTTTTATTTCATTTATATATCTTGCATGTTTATAGCTCTACTGAGACCCACTGTATCTCCTTTTTCTTTTTTCTTCTTTTTTTCGATGTATTAGTTTTGACTTGGTGGCGGTGAGAACCACTATGTCTCGATTGGCGTAAGGAAGCCACGTCATGCATTCGTTGCATGGTTTCGACCGAGCTCGATCTTCGTTTCTAGATTAATAATAGACGAAAGATAATTGTGCTAAAGCTAGTAGACCCACCTTTCAGCTCACCAAGCACTGGATCTGCGTCATTGAAAGAAGCACATATTGGTGACATGTTTAGATCACACTTCCAATCGGATCAGATATTGTAGTGCTCAGGCTTCACATGCTGGGAACTCGTACAATATTCCTACTTCACCAAAGATGTGGGCTACCTGCTTATTTCAATTTCTAGGGGTGCTTTTATGTTCTCCACACTGTTGCAACAATGTGAAGTAGCAAAGAAAACTAAGGAGGTTTAGTAATGGATCAGTTTATTTCATATTACTACGTCATTGTGCTCTATTTCACACGCAGACTGGGTGAAGGGGTCAATGTCAATTGGCAGTGAAACTTTCGATTTTCATTGCATGGTTGTACACCATCGCCGAAGAGAGCTACCTGCATTGCAGAACATGTTTAGACTATCTCAATGGATACCAAGGAATAAAGCGCTTACAGGGGTTGCTACGTGGACCCTCTAGACAATCATCATGGATGCCTAACCAGAGGGTACTCATGCCTCTCTACTTTGCCCGATTTCCACGCATTAGCGGCTGTATGGTGGGTGCTGCTGGAATTATATAAAGACATCCTTGCCCCCGCTAGAAACTCTTTTGTAGAAGAGCTTCACAAGGAAAGCAATTGATCAAGTCGTTCAAATGGCACCTCCTAACAAGAAGAACATCCAGGGAGACATCTGGTGAGCTGATACCCTACTCGATGTTCTAGTTGAGAACTTTATCCTAATAATATCAGGCCCCGTCTGCCGAAGAAACACGAGCTTTTTGTCTTCTTCCGCATCACTGATCCACAGCGGTTCAAGACACACCTGGCTGGCCTTGTACCCTTGCTCACGACTGCCCGTGATGCTGAGAGGTTCAGATCTGACATCTACAAGAAAAAGGCTGCAGGTACCCTCAAAGGACTTGTTCAACTCTCCGCCATCAATGTTGCGTTCTCCGCCAAGGGTCTGGCAAAAGTAAGTCATGGAACTAACTTGTGGTCATATGAGTCATGCTAAACATGCCAGCTTGGGGCCGAGACATTCACCGATGATATATTTAACAACGGCATGTGGGAGGATTTAACATACCCCATGGAGGGAGATGACAAGACAAAGCACAACGGTCTTGATGACCAGCATGATTGGTATCACCAGTTTACCCCACGTAATGGACACATCGATGGCGTCTTCATTATTACTGGTGATAGTGAAACGACTTTGACTGAGACTTTCCTTATGATCAAGAATACATTTGGAATTGATCTTACAGGCGAGCCAGTAAATGGTATTCCTAAGCTCGACAAGCCAAGTATTCAACTTATCTTCCAGCAGCAGGGGCATGTCCTGGATGATGACAGAGAACAGTGAGGCACTTGAGCTTTACCACATAGATGCGGCCTAGCTAATGTCTATGATTTAGCTTCGGATGGGTTGATGGGATCTCTCAGCCCGCTGTCATTGGTCTGGACACCGATAAAAAGATCGAAGAAGCCCGAAAGGGCTTAAAGCCAATCCAGGCTGGGTATGCTACAGGCCCTCCGCACCAGATGGGGAATATAATCGCTGACACCCTTGCTAGTACTATTCTTGTCGGAAGTGAAGGGGATGAAGGGAATCACCCAGCCTGGGCCAAGGAGGGAAGCTTCATGGTATTCCGCACGTATGAACAGAGAACACCCGAGTTTGTCGCGTAAGTGTTTCCTTTTGATTTTGCTGTGGTGCAATATTATTAACAACGCTGTCAGCTGGTGTGGCCGCAACACCAAAAGAATGGCCGAGGGTATGACTCCACTAGCTGCGGCAGAGCTTCGCAAATTCTCCTCCCGTGTGGTCGGGCGATGGCCCGATGGTAAGACTTTCTTTCTGATCTGTATTAATTTACTTACAGCATTTACTTACAAAATATCTATAGGAGCTCCGCTTGAACTTTACCCAAACGAAGATCCCGCACAAATACGGGTCCCCGATCCAATCGCGAACAAGCAGATTTTGTTCAAAGAATGGAAAGATAAGGGATTAGACCCCGAGGTTGAGTATAAGAAGATGGAAGACATAAACCACACGGATGCCTTCACGTACGACCCCGAGGATCAAACTAAATGTCCTTACGCTGCCCATATCCGGAAGTGCGGGCCTCGAGATGACTTCCCCAACTATGAGAAGCACCTGATGCTGCGACGGGGAATTCCCTACGGGCCCTTGACACTGAACAATGAGAAGGGCGGGGGTGTGTCACAACATGACCGTGGCCTCCTGTTCGTTTCTTACCAAAGCAGCATTACCAACGGATTCCGATTTGTCCAGAAAGGTCCGTACCCTAGTCACATTGCAAGCAACATTAACAATTAACAAATCCACAGTATGGGCGAACGAAGATGACAAACCCGTTGATTTCACCTCCAAGATGGGAAATCATGGGCCCCAGGGTATCGACGCTATCATCGGCCAGATGCCTCCCGATTACCGCAAAGAGGAGGATGTTACAAAATACGAAGACCCAGCTCCCGTTGTAAACCTTCCCGATGTTCAGAAGCCCGTACCGTCCTGCAACGAGCACTTCATTCCCATCGAGCGCTGGGTTATCCCTCGGGGTGGTGAGTACTTCTTCGCTCCTTCCATTTCCGGAATGAAGGACACCCTTTGCAAGGAGTGAGCTTATGCCGTCACATATTTATCAACTGATAAATCTATGCTTTGGCTTGTTCGTTCTGTGTCTTTTGCTGGTAGATGGTCTGGGGCCCTATGCCTTTCTCGGTAGTAGCAAACATGAATTACGTCTTCGACTCTCCAACTCCAACGCTAAGATATACGACACATACTAGTATTTATTATGGATTGATTCGAGCGTGTTGTGAGCTGCGGTTATATGACTTATGTTGTTAGTGACCTAGTGGAATTAGAAAACAGATCAAAAAACACTAGCGTGCCACCTGCTTGCACAGAACCTTCGGCGGTAGAACTGTATAACATACTCACCCAAATTAGCCGGGTGGCGTGTGACGCTAAAGCCGCTCTTGCTTACTTCTAATTCGGGCGATGCCCACAACACTATGTGGATGTTTATATGTTATTCAGATTTTAGTGACACTAAATACATACGACCATAGGGTGTGGAAAACAGGGCTTCCCGTCCGCTCAGCCGTACTTAAGCCACACGCCGGTGAGTTAGTAGTTGGGTGGGTGACCACCAGCGAATCCTCACTGTTGTATGTTTTTTCTAATTTTTCTTTTTTTGTCACTTATACATCTGGCGGACAAGTCGGAGAAAACCATGAGGAATCCTCTGACTAACAATCGTGCTGTGCAAGATTTCTTGAAATTCCATCTACATATGAACCCGCATACTCCAATTTCCGTACTCGTAGCCACGTTGAAATTACCGAGCACGGTTGTATTCTCTCAAGGCTTCCAGATTGGTCTAGTTGAATGAGGATTGCAATTGCAAGAGTGGAGATAAACTAGCTTTTGGATGACTCACTGTGAAGACAGTACGGGGAACATGACGATATCCCTGTTTCCAAATATTTGCTCTTCATATGGCACCTCGGACAGGCTATGGTTCGGCAGAAGCACGATCAACCATAAATTGATTGCATTGAGACCCGAGTTGTATGTGCCTCGTTCTGTAATCGCCAAGAGGGAATCCCGTCTTTGGGTTGTGGTGCGGTTCTTCTGATTCGGACATACTGAATCATTAGATGAATATCCGATTGTTGGGTTCAGTTCAACTTCTGTGGTCCCGTTGTGGCAACTGCACATAGTTGACCATTTAACTCGTCTAATTTTATGAGTGAAACGTACGATCCAACCCAAGTATAAAGCTGATTCAGAGCTGTGACATTGTTAAGCCGGGGGTTTGACGATGGATTATAGTTCGTATCACCTTCAGCCAGCACAGTTGATGCCAAAATCAAAAGGTTAATCCACGAGGCCCATCCCCGGATATTACGCATTTTGGGCAAATTAAAGTGAGGAAAAAGTAATCTAAATAAAAACGGAGCATATGAGGGCATAAGAGTGTATTTAGGGGGGCAGAAAGAAAGATTTAGTTTCCCCTGACAAGGTAGAACTTCCAAAGTTCCAAAACTTGCCTTGTACATTTTAGGCTGAGTTATACAAGAAAAAGAGGTCAGTACCTATTAAGACCTCGCTCGGGAAGGAAGACATGTCGCCTCAGACCCTTAAATATTCCAAGGTTCTTTCTTGGCAATGCGTTGCGGTCTTAGTTAGAGCAGTGCCACATCCAAGATGAAGAAAACAAAAAATCATTGGACTTGCAGGGAATCGAACCCTGGACCACTCCCATGCTAAGGGAGTATTATACCACTAAACCACAAGCCCGCTTGGGAAAAATGTCGGCTTAGACCTTTAAATTTCCAAGTCTCTAGGCAAGGCGTTTTGGCCTTGGCAGTTGCCACATCCGAGAAAAAGGAAAAGAAAATCACAGATATCTGGCGTACGAACAATATATGGTATGGATGGCCAATACTGAAGACTCTCTCTAACTAACTAAAATGACAAAAAAATCCACTTTCTCAACAATCTCTACGGATGCCGGGTTCCAATGGTCACATGATTTTATGGGTAAAAATACCCTGTTCCAACCATGTAATCAATCCGACAGAATACAAAAAAAGATCTGGACTTGCAGGGAATCGAACCCTGGACCACTCCCATGCTAAGGGAGTATTATACCACTAAACCACAAGCCCAGTTGATTGGTAGTTCGATGGTATTAGTGCATCAAGAGCAAATTGCTAGCAATCAAAATAAATATCCATGTATTCTTCTGAGAACATCTCACCTTCCTTTCCTAGAACAAGGTTTCGCTTTTTTTTTCAAGTTTAATTTGCTGTTATTCCTATTATTATTCAGAATATAGTATAATTAGCTTAGTTTAAATTTATGTTAGGGATATTCATGTTCTTATGCACCAGATCATGTGGTGATATATATTGTCCCATGTTCATGAAAAAAAAACATTAAAAACCTCCCTCATGCCTCAGTCCCGGAATAATAGGCGTCCCAAGAAAACCAATCAAACATGTTTGCGGGAATGGTTTTATTATCACCAAGATGAGAAGACGCCACTTCCGGTCGATTGACACCAAATAGAGGCCATGTGGAGCCCATATCTGCAGGTAACCATTCGAGATAGTTAGCGACGTTTAATTCTCCATAATTAACATCCATCAAATCGTTAGGAAGCTGGCCACAGCCGTCTATGGACAGTGAAGGCGGTGGTTGAAATGACGTAGCAGGCTTTTCACTAGCCTGGGTCAAGGCACAACGAGAAACATGCATCTGAGCTATTTGGAGGAAAACAGACGCAGTATGCTGCAGCCTGGAGCATACAGTGGCTAGCAAGCGCATCTGTGATCTCATCGCTGCAAAATAGTTTACGGTGGCAGACAAAAAGTTCAGATCTTGCTCGATCGTAGGCACCTGGGCGCTCTCGCTGCGGATGATGTTGCCGAATATCACGAAGAAAGGGGTAAACGGACAATATAGAAGTTGCCTTACCGACCTGTGTTAGTAACAGAAGTTCTAAAAGGGGAGTTAAGATATGTGTGCATACCATACTACCCCATTGTAAACGGAACTCCAATTTGACACCATGGAGCTCAGGGTAGAGATAGCCTCGCGGGCGCATGAAAGGCGTAGAACCGACGAAGAATCATCACCCCCGAGTAGAAGAACGAGGGAATGTAAATACTGAAACTTCATAGTGCTGATTCCCAAGGTCATTTCTCGGATTTGGCTGGCATTTGCCGAGGCACTTTCGACATGCATGATGGTTGTGAGGGACTGTTCTCTATTAGAAATACCAGACTCTTTATATTTTAAAAATGGGCAACATACCTGATTGGTGTTCAAGTACCAATCTTCCAGGCTCGATCGAATATCTTGCTTTCGATATACCGAGCCATCCGTGGTGAGAAGATCCACAACCGACCCTCCTAGTTTTGCCCACTGGATAGAGCGGGTGATAATCTCCGCACCAAAGCGCGAGCCGTATGAAGATCCCTGCCCATCCCCAAATCCTGCACGCTCGTGCGGTATGAATTTGAGTAAGAAAGACTGGTCTGGCAACGGAACATTCTTATACAATGCCGTGGGAAGAAAAGCCGGTCTTCCAAACGAGAGTGAGCAAGATTTGTCTATTAAGAAGAGGAGCCAAAAGACACAAAGCCGTTGCTGCCGTGAGTCGACGTCATGGTGAGCCGGTGAATGTAATCCTAGAGCTTCGGCCTGCCTGCACGCATGTCCTAATAGCATCCAAGATAGATTTGGCGCGGCGTAATCCTCGCCATGCATTGCTAGAAAGCACAAAGCCTGCACGTTGGCGTAGCGTGGTTCGAGGAAGATACGGCTGTCGTTCAGCGCGACTTGCACGTTACGCCGGAAATTCTTCGTTTCGTCGTTTTCTCCGCTCTCGTTCTCCGCAATGGAAAGCATCATATAATTGAAGTAGGCGATCCATGCCCTTTCCCGGACTTTGTGGGGTTCAAATACCACCTGTCTTATGACGTCGTCTGGTGGAAAGGAGAAGAAAGGCTCGCCGAGCTCACCGTACTCCAAGAATCCTAATTTGAAGTTGAGAAGTTAGTGGTAATCAAAGTCCTCGAAGAAACGAAATATTACTGCTGATCAGGCGGTAGCCGATTGCCCTAGAAGGTATATAGAAAGTGGTCGAATCATTTGCAACAGACTGTTCAACTTCTGTGGCAGTCAATCGACCGGAGAGATATTGAAGCTCCGAGTGTGCGTTCTGACCAGTAGCATGGCCCGAAGATTGACGGATTGCATCAATGTTGGCCGATGCCTCCTTTAGGAAGGAGAAAGAATGAGAGGGGCCAACATAGAGCCCTGACTTGAAACCTGACTTTTCTGTGGCGATAGGGTGACCAGTCCGACTCGATATTCTGGTATTTGTCTGAGGCGGTGTAGGAGTGATAGTTTGTAGTGCTTGATTGACAGAGTCTGTCAACTGTTGGACTGTGTCCTCCAGTCGCTTCAGTCTACTTTCGATGGCGTCCTTCACTGCCAATTCTTTTGGCCTGGGGTCGTCAGTCTCAGCTTTGTGTACGAATTCGTTTATGCTATAAAATCTCACATGCGATTGGGAGTTGGAGTTGGCTGGGCGGAGGTCGATTTGTCTCGCGAGTATTCACAGTCACTGGGCCACGGCTTGCAGTTACTGCATTTTGGAAGATCCCGTGAGCACCTTCAATAATTTAGCAATGCCACCTAAGAGAAATTTGATTCGTGGGCGTGTAATACTTGAGTTTCTTCTGTCGGCAAAAGGCACACTGTGCAAGTCAGTTGCGAGCGAGGTGTAGGTGATATGGTGGAGCCTACTGCAAATCGAGCGACTTTAACCTCCATAATGGTAGATCACCGAATTATTCCGATTGTTATTTCAACAAGATTTTAGACTTGCTCAAGATAGAAAGAAAGGGATCCAGAATGTCGTCCGAAAGCAAAGTCGTTGATTGGCTGAGCTAGAAGGTTCCCGCTCCCGACCAATCACAATGGCCTTTTTCGGAATTTAGTCCGGTGTGCGACCCAATGCTATGATAGGCAAGACCTCATCAGTTTGTTTGTGAGCAAAAAGAATGTCTATAAAATCTCTACTGAGAATTCCCTGCTTTATCCATTCGTTGCTTCGTGGTCCGGAGATGCTTTCGCGCAAGGGTGTCCGTGCGAATGTACGCTTGAACAACATCTCGAGAGCCGCGACAAAGGCGCCGGCGATTATAAGAAGACCTCTGTCTCACGGTGCATCGATGTCTTTAGGGATTTCTCCTATCCCACCATTCCATCACGCCCTATATTTATCCCGCAAATATACGACGAACACAGGAATGGAAACACCTCCATCAATCGCAATTATCGGCGGCGGACCAAGCGGGCTGGTGCTTGCTCGACTACTGGAAGTCAACGGTATCACAGACTACGTCGTCTTTGAGCGAGATAAGTCCTCTACACCAGGTCCGAATGAACAAGGTGGAACTCTGGATCTGCATGGAGACTCTGGTCAAGAAGCCCTCAAGCGAGCCGGCTTGTTTCACAAGTTCAGCAACGAGCTTGCGCGCTGGGACGCTGCGTGTTTCCGTCTACTTGACTCGGCCGGGGAGACAATTGCCAACTTCAGTGAGGTGGGGAATCGTCCTGAGATTGATCGTTTGCAACTTCGTCGTCTTTTGCTCGAGTCGATTCCTCAGAACAAGATTCGATGGGGACATGGTGTTAAATCCGTTGAAAGAAGAGGGAGTGAGGGGAGGACTGTTGATGATAATGGATGCGTTATCCATTTTGCCAATGGTTCCTCTGCTACTGGCTTCCGACTTGTTATAGGCGCTGATGGCGTATGGAGCAAAGTTCGTCCTCTGGTGAGCCTGCATCCGAGAATTTATATTATTTCAATCCCTAACTTAATTCTTTAAAGCTCACACCTGCAAAACCAAAATACTCTGGTAAGATCTACATCGAGGGCAAAATCTCGCACAACAACCCGAGCTACTCCGTCGCCCATGACCTGGTCGGACCGGGGAATATGCTTGTGCTGGGAGACCAGAAGATGATAGCGGTGCAGCAGCTATCCGATGGACATTATCGCGTTTATTTCGGGCTGGTCGCACCTGAAGACTTCTATCAACGCAATACCTCCATTGACGCTGATCCCATTGAAGCCACCGAGGGAATCCGTACTCGCCTTGAATCCTCGAATGAGTTCTTCGCGAATTGGACACCGCGTGTGAAGGCATTTGTCGAAAACGCGGAAGGTCCATTCCGTCCCTGGCCTTTGTATTTCATTGACCCCGAAACAGTTGGCTGGGAGCGCTCCATGGCCTCCGGTGTGACATTGTTGGGGGATGCTGCTCATGCTTCTACTCCCTTTGTTGGCGAGGGTGTTAATTGCAGCATGTATGATGCGGTTATGTTGGCAGAGTGTCTTGTTAGCCATTGCGGCACAAACACTACGTTGGCCAATGTGGAGGAGGTAAAGCTGGAGGCTGCATTGACTGCGTACGAGAAGGATATGTTCACACGTGGTCAAGATTTGATTCGGCGCAGCCATGAGAGCGGGAGAATGCTATTTTCGGATAATGCTGGTTCACTTACTCTCCAGATGCTCAATGATGAAGCCGAGGATGAGACAGTCAAGTCTTAGATTCACGAGAAGCAATAGCAAGGCGGGAATATCACGATAGTGCGACAGTGCGGGTCTCAACAGCGGTGGTCATGTAGTATATCAGATTGAAATTTTAGTTGTTTCTTTGTATCTGTGGAGCTAACTCTAGAATGTAAAAGAGGATGCGATATAAGTCATCATGAAAGAATGGAACAATACCAAAGAGGATATAGAGAAGGGAAAGAGAGAAAACCCGGAGAGAGAGGGAGAGAAGGAAGGTCCTGCCCAGCCACAAACAAGCCTCATCATAAAAATAAAAATAGAGAAATACTTACTAGGCTGACAGTCACATGAGATACCTAGCCCTGGAGAGGCAACTTGCCCGTTAGTCTGAGTTAGGCTGTGAAGATGTATTTCCTCGTGCTCAGCTACAACTACAACTAGCTGGACCAGAAATTAGGATCCCATTGAACTGACTTGCTAGAAAAAAGAGAATAGTGGCGATGATTTATTTGACACATGACTCGTGCCTTGGCAATTTGGTTGGGACAGCCAATCGCCAAGAAATTGGATGAATTCCACCCACTAAGCATTTGATGCGACCTCGGGACATTGGCTCTACTTATCGTGCACCTTTTAGGCGATTGGTTTGTTTTGCTCAAATCCGGCAATCCCCCGGGAATGTCGGGGTTATCCCCCACGAGGCGTGATAAGCTTTGACTTGGTACTTTTGACCAGCGCGTGGAGCTTGAAACATAAAGTTCCTGGATAACCGTTCATTCTTTACATGTTTCGCCACAATCGCGTTGCAAAATAGTCATGTCCGAGCCAAAAGCAGAATCGCCGTTTACGATCGGGGCCTTGGGGAGCAGGGCCACTGGATTATCCTGGCTCTCCAACTCTGGAATTATCAAGCTCAACTTGATGCTTGTGCTTCTACAAATCTCGAGTTACGCAACAGGTTATGATGGATCGATGATGAATGGGCTGCAGTCTCTCACCACCTGGCAAACCTCCTTCAATAACCCTGGACCTTCTGAGCTGGGTCTGTACGTGACAATCGATCCCGGTGTGCTTGAACAGTCCGGCCGGTTATACCCGGTTATTACGCACGGATATTGGAACTGACATTATGTTTCGCAGTCTAAATGCAATCCAAAACGTTGGTCAGCTCATTACAATGCCTATTTGCGCCATCAGTTGCGACAAATTTGGCCGTCGTCCGGTCCTATTCGCTGGCGCCTTCGTTCTTCTAGTTGGAGTTGCCCTACAAGCTGGGGCACAGAATGTCGGAATGTTCATTGCAGCCCGCGGAATTATTGGAATGGGCCTCGTTTTAAACATCACTGCGGCGCCGCTCCTCCTCCTCGAGTTGGCCTTTCCCAGACAACAGGGACCGCAGGTAGCCATATACAACAGCTTGTGGAACCTGGGTGCTTTGGTTGCTGCGTGGATCACCTACGGCTCATTTCGAATCGGAAGCACCTGGGCCTGGCGACTTCCTTCGCTCCTTCAAGGCGTGTCCAGCGTGCTCCAGATTGGTCTCTGCTTCTTGATTGAGGAGTCACCTAGATGGCTTATCAGTAAACAGCGCGACGATGAGGCGCGGAAACTGATTTGTAAGTATCACGCTAACGGCGACAATTCCGATCAGTTAGTCACATTGGAGATGGAGGAGATTCGCACTGCCCTTCAACTTGAGAACGAGGCGAGACGCACCACCTCGTACTTAACCTTTTTCCAAAGTAAAGGTAATATCAGACGGTTTTTTATTATTCTGTCTGTGGGGTTCTTCTCACAGTGGAGCGGTAATGGTCTTATCTCATACTATCTCACATTGATTCTCAACTCGATTGGCTACACAGCGGAAAGTACCCAAACCCTCATCAATGCACTTCTTACACTGTGGTCAATGATTTGGAGCTTGGTGTTTTCCGCTGTGATGAATCAATTTGGTCGACGCACTCTCTTCCTTATCTCTACCGCAGGTATCCTGGCAGTCTATATTGTCTGGACAGCCCTCGAGGCTACATATGAGAAGCGGTCAGCGGACGGAACTGGAGGCGACGGCTACGCAAAGGGCGTGTTGGCCATGATTTTCCTGTACAACTTCTTTTACTCTGTCGGCTGGACACCTCTGCAAGTTACCTATTGCATCGAGATATTACCGTTTGACTTGCGCGCCCGAGGTCTCGTTCTGTATAATCTCTTCGTCGCAATTGCTGGTATTTTTAACCAGTACGTGAACCCGATCGGCGTGACCAACAGCACGTGGAAGTTCTATATCACCTACGACGTGTGGCTTGCCTTTGAGCTTGTTGTGGTCTACTTTCTGTTTGTGGAAACCGGCAGTCTCAGTCTGGAAGAAACTGCCGTCATCTTGGATGGAGAAGAGTACGGGAACAAATTGGTTGGAGTCGCGGTATCTATAGCCGAGCAGAAAACTATTGAGAGAGCCAAAGTGCAGGCAATGGCCAACGGTGAGATAGTGTCGGAGAAATTATAGACACGGAGAAATATGCGGGTTTACAGGATCGCGGGGTAATTTTATCACCTGTGATTGATTTTATTTGTTCTCAGGTACAATATGTATCAGGACTGAATTTTTTTCATCTTATAATCAGCCATGGTGTGTACTAATTCATGAAGTAACATGGATATACATAGTCCTTGGACCGGCACAAGAAGAATTATAGTGAACCGATTGGTCGATAATGTTAACCACAGTGATATCCTCCAGCTTTGATTCTACATCTATGCCTCGGACATATTACCGGTCATGTCACCGGCTAAGTGCGCCAAATTCTCCGGAGAAATGCCGATAAGCCAGATTATCTAGTATGGGGCATCGTAACAATACCCGAGGATAACTTGACCTCCGCATTCAAAATGGGCTAGTCTTGATATCCATGAGACTCTAGTTCGGGCCATTGGAAATGCATTACTCCCTAGCCTTCTTAATTTCTATCTCCATTGAGCAAACATGAGATTGAATGGCATCGCTGGTTATGCAATCGCCAGCGTGATTCTGACGATTGGTGCCTCGGCCGCCCAGATCACAAAAGGCTTGACCAAAAGTATGTCACAGCCGGGATTCTCTCTGTATAGCGTTGTTTGTTAATGGACCTGCTTTTCAGATGCGAAAGATCTTTTCGACTGGTCCATGTATGTGAATGACCATCGCTGGGATGATTCGTACAAATATATCTCGTATCCCGACAAGGGTCCCTGGTCAACCCGCTTTACGGCTTGGTATGCTGTAGGACTTTTGTATAGGAATAAGGGACGAGATGTGTCAAATGCCAAAGCTGCTATTGAAAATATGTGAGGTTACTTGAGTATTCGGCTATTTGGGGACACAACTGGTTTGGACTGACCACTCTATCAACAGTCTCACATGTCAGATGACTGAGAGCTATGAGTCGGCTTGGTATGGCACCTTCAAGCTTTCTCCAGACGAACCGTATCCAACACCAGACTCAGAGCTCTACCCGCCAGAGATATACGTAAGTGTTCTTGCATCCCGTACGCGGAAACGTCAACAGACGTGATAGTCCAGCTCACGTAAGAGTTTCCAGACAACCTATGACCCAAATTGGAGAGAATTTATTGGAACCCAGCTTGTGCAAATTGTTGAAGAGTTTTCCCATTTGCTAGGAAAAGACCTGGTGTCCCGTATCGAGGACAGCTTGGAAATCGCAGCTGTCGGCTCTATGCGGCGCAATGGTACATACCCGCAGAGCGACAATCTGACGCCGGCATATACCAACCCGGCCGTCATGCGCGCGTGGTACGTGTCTTGGATCGGCGAGCGCCGCAACAACCATGTACGTCTCTATTACTGTATTTACTCTACATTGTCAACGAGACGTTAAACCAGAGAATCCAGGCTTTTATCGACTACGCCAACACCCAGGGTGACCTCATTCTGGAGCTATTCAAGTCCACTGGCGATAACGTGGTTTCTGAGTACAATGCCCCGACTTACTACGGAATGGATACCTGGGCACTTGCGGGTGCCATGAAATATGGCTCACCCAAAGCCAGAATGACCAAGAACGCCAAGGTCATCTTGAAAGACATGTGGGCAGATATCGCGGCTCACTATAACCCATATCTTGCAAACATGGTGGGACCAGTAGGAACACCTTCCTGAGTTTCAAGGCGCCGTCACCTAACAGTTGTGCACTAAATAGTACGATCGAGCCTACACACGAGATTTGGTTAGCAATTCGGCTGTTATTGACTACTTCTGGTGGGGTCTATACGGCTACGGGGTCGGACCACAGCCTAACAAGCTCGAGGGAGACTTATTGTTCGATGTCGCACAGGGCGCAGCATTGGCGCTTATCATGGACGTGGTTGCGGAGCACATCTCTAAAGAGGATTCAGCGTGGCTTCGGAGTCAGAATCACTGGGATGGAGAGCACATGATTACCAAGAAAATACCTGATGCGCTCGGTGCCGATGCTGAGGTCCGAGTCGTCACATCGTGGATGAGTGCTCCACTTATGATCGGCGCACAACAAGTTAATGAGACCGCCAACCGAGGTCAGCAGTATGTCCCAGCTATCGTTCAATGGGCTGGAGATAAGAACCATGCGCCGCACCCCTACATGACATTCTTCACTCTCTACCCGACGGCATCGACTATCCATGCTGTGGCGGGACCGAATAGTCTGGAGATCTCGTACCCAAACACTACTCAATATGGCACAGATATCTTCACATTTATCCTTACGCAGTTACCGCCAAGTTGGACACTTATCAAGAAAAAGGTTGTTAGTGGCCTTGAACACCTGCCTTGCCTAGATGTCACTGTCACTGCGGAGGGTTTGGAAAAGCAACCGGTCGTCTATGGTTCATCTCTTATAGACAATCGTGTCTATAACATATCTTACGTTGTCCCTTTTGGTTTCACCGGCGTGCCCAAGGTTTCATTCAAATTTGACTACGCATGTTGATGAGGGTGTTAGACAAGTGCTATTTCATTAGTTGCAATCTCGGAGATTTGGATTGGCGTGATGGCCCCAAAAGACTGCGATAGTTCATCCAAGAAGACATGTAGAAAGACATCTACGTATAACATCCCTTATATCACCTTGATGATAGACCAGATTATTGAACTGCGTCGTCAATGATAGAGGCCATAAAATCGAATGAAATTGACAACTTCCATTTCAATCTAATTATTCCACCATCACCGAACGTCATTTGAATATTTGCAAGTCAAATCTCTCATATAGATCGCCGTTTTCTCCGACCCTTGCTTGACATAAGTCCAGTATGGCATATTAACCGGTCGCCGTATTTATCCATAATGCCTGTTGGATTCCTACCAATAGACCACCAATATTATATCTTGGCGCATAATGCCGGAAAAATATCCTTGACATTACCCAATTTTGCTGCGAAACTACCTTAGTGGCTTGCACTATCTCAGCCCCGCAATTGCTCAGGCATATCTGGTCACCCATCTACAAATCTCCCTGGTTCTCAAGCAGTCACATTTGGGGCTCTCTGGAGATAACCTTTAAAGTCATGTCTTTTCCTAAGGCGCAACCGGATTGGAACAACCTCAAAGTGATCCACAAGAACACCCTTCCACCACGGGCGCACTTCTATACCTACGCTTCAGAGGAACGGGCCCTCACCTTCAGCCGCGACAAGAGTGAGTATGTTTCCCTCAATGGCACATGGAAATTCCGGCATGATGAATCTCCTTTTGAGGCACCCGAGTGGTCTACCGCGGAGCCCTTGAGCTGGGATGACGTTCAAGTCCCAGGAATGTGGCAGCTCCAGGGTTATTCCCATCCGACTTACACCAACGTCAATTATCCATTCCACGTGAATCCTCCTAATGTGCCACTTCTAAACGAGACTGGATCTTACTGGAGGCAGTTTGTGACTCCTTCCACGTGGAACGAACAACAGATTCGCATCCGCTTTGAAGGAGTTGATAGTGCTTTTCATCTCTGGATTAACGGAGAAGAAGTCGGGTACTCGCAAGGTTCACGCAATCCCAGTGAATTTGACATTACCTCCCTGCTCAAACCAACCGGATCTGCAAACACCCTCGCGGTGCGCGTGTACGAGTTTTGTGATGGCTCGTATATCGAGCGCCAAGATCAGTGGCTTCTCAGTGGCATCTTCCGAGATGTTGGCTTGCTGGCATTCCCGCTCGATTCGGTGGTTGACTTCGACGCCGTTCCAACGCTCAGCGAAGATCTGTCTACAGGCCAGCTTCTCACCAACGTCAAAATACAGGGACAAGAAGCCGATGTCCAGGCCAATTTATATCAACCAGATGGTTCGCTACTTAAGCAATTGACATTCTCTTCTAAAGAATCCGGAATTATCACTGTATCTGGTGATGATTTGAGGCTTTGGTCTGCCGAAGATCCTGTTCTCTATACCTTGACTCTCACCTTCAACAACCGTACAATTCCCCAACGCATTGGATTCCGACGCATCGAACAAAAAGGCGCAAACTTCTTGGTCAACGGCAAGCCCATCATTTTATATGGCATGAACCGCCACGAGCATCATCACCTTCACGGTCGCGCCGTGCCTTATAAAAATATGCGTGCGGACCTCATCCTTATGAAGAAACACAACATTAACGCTCTGCGGTGCTGTCATCAACCCAATGATCCCAGACTATACGAAGTCTGCGACGAACTTGGTCTGTACGTCATGGCCGAGGCAGATCTTGAGACTCATGGCTTCGACCCCGTGGAACGCTCCAACATTCCGAACCAGCACCTTATGACCGAGTACGAGATTCAAGAGACCTCCTACAAAATGGCTACCAAGTGGACGTCCGACAATCTGGAATGGAAGGATGCTTATCTTGACCGTGCTGTTGAGCTTGTTCAGCGCTTCAAGAACTTCTCTTGTATCATCATGTGGTCCCTTGGAAACGAGGCGTTCTACGGCCAGAACCATGCGAGCATGTACAAGTGGATTAAAAAGGCTGACCCCACTCGTCTCGTTCACTATGAGGGTGACCGAGAGGCTATCAGCGCTGATTTGTACTCCACCATGTACTGGAGTATTGACGACCTGAAAAAGCACATCAGCGAGAAGCCTGACAGACCTCTGATTCAGTGCGAGTACGGACATGCCAGTAAGTTTGAAATTCCTCCTTGACGAAACTTCTGTAATGCCTTCTAACCTCTATTTCGTGCACAGTGGGCAATGGCCCAGGTGGACTGAAAGAATACATCGAGGCCTACCGCACCGAAAGGCTCCTCCAAGGCGGTTTTATCTGGGAATGGTGTAACCATGGCCTTCTCAAAAGAGACGGTGATACTTCGTACTATGCATACGGCGGCGACTTTGGCGACGAGCCCAACGATGCAGACTTTATCCTTGACGGAATGGTATTTTCAGATCACACACCCACACCAGGCCTAACAGAATACAAAAAGGTGATTGAACCAGTCACGGTGACACTCAAAGGGGACAGCCTGGAAGTGGTAAATCACTATGACTTCAATACCCTCGATCACCTAGCTATCTCATGGCACCTTGTCAAGGAAACAGGAAACACCGAGCCAGTACCATGGGAAATTTCTCAAATCAAGCCAGGAGAATCTAAGGTGATCGATCTACCTGAGGGCGTGACTTTGGGCTCTGATACAAGCTGGCTCACCGTCAACTTCCGACTACGCAAAGCCACATCATGGGCATCCCAGGGACACGAGATTGCATGGGCGCAGATCCCCTTGTTCGATGACCAGAAACTCGCAATATCTCCAACTATATTCCCGCCACAGTCGACCATGTCTATCCAGGAGGGACCAGGCCGGCTATACATCAAGTCAAACAGCTTCAGCTCCCACTTCACATACGATCTGATCCGAGGCGATCTGTCGTGGTCAACCGATACAGGCAAAATCTTCAATAGTGGACCACAGCTCGGAATATACCGCGCCCTGACACAGAACGATGTCGGATTCGTGGGGCCTCATATTGAATGGGAGCGCTTCCGCGTGAAAAGCAGTCGCATGCTCGTCGAATCCGCAAACTGGCATCTCCACGACGACGGAAGCGTACTAATCACCACCAAAGTGCGTGTAGGACCGACCGTGCTAGAATGGGCCTTCGAAGCTATTCTCACATACACTATTACGGAAAGATCAGTGGCTCTTCATGTTAAGGGCGACTTCACAGGCACGCACCCAAAATATATCCCGAGGATTGGTCTCACACTCCGTCTTCCCCGACAATACGATGCCACCACATGGTTTGGTAGGGGCCCTGGCGAATCCTATCGTGACACGAAGGCTTCTGCGCGGGTCGGAATGTACACGGCCTCTATTGAGAGCGGTCTCCAGACGCCGTATGAGTGGCCCCAGGAGAACGGCAATCGAATCGATACGCGCTGGGTGAACATTCACTCCTCACCTGCAGATACGTCCTATGCTGCTTCTGCTGGAGTAATTGTGCCTATCCCAGAGATCAAGGCCTCCATGGATGCACCGTTTAACTTCTCGCTTCGCAAGTATTCGACCATGGAGCTTGACCGTGCGAAGCATCCGCATGAGCTTTCGGAACTGAATAATGAGACAGAGTTGAATATTGACTATGCACATCATGGAATAGGAACAGCGAGCTGTGGGCCTGGTGCTTTTGAGGGCAATAGGCTAGAGGCTGGGGCATTTGAGTTTACTACCAGCTTTAGTCTTGTTGGTTCCTGAAAGGAGCGAGAAGCCACCAGATAGAGCCGTCATACGGGCCTAGATGGCAACCATCAATCAATACTGAATATCCGTCATTTAGTCGCACGCTTACCTTCAATTGGGCCATCTGAACATTTTGAATGTAAAGCAAATAATATGGATAAAAGGACAAGAAATAAAGACCATGATACAAGCATGGGTTGCCGTGATGGACATAACAACATACTTTATTACTGCTTTTCTAGATGTATATAAAAAATTATATTGGAAGTTGGTCGTGAGAAAGAAGATGCCGGTTTATATCGAGGGTATCGCCCCGTTTAATGAAACGATCTTATCGACATAGAAAAAGTTCCACCTTGGCTACTAACGTATCTAAGTGTGTCCGTTTAACTCCCTCAGTCTCTTTACCGTGCATAGAAGAAGTGTCCTGTTAGGTCTGCAGTTCAAGGACTTGCAGATCTCCCTCCAGAAGGATCCCCGTGGAGGCCCACCCGTCCCTATGATCTAACTTACTCTAGAAGGGACTAAGAAGTTTCTCGGCCCCTCAAATTGTACGGTAAGCGTAATTTCTGTCTCTCCCTCCTAATTCCCCTTTCACCTCCGGATATATAATATCTCTTAAGATCCTTATTATCTCCGGAATGTCTGAGTAGGGTGATGCAGCTAACCTATCAATAGAACTACTTTTACCATTCCCGAGATCGTTTATGGCCCGTCTTTAGTGATATGCCCGAGCACATTGCTTTTTAGCATCCGGTTTCACGCGTGGGCGTTCCGGAATCAGGGGCCGACTTCGAAGGCTTCACTACGGAAACTTTTCATCAGTAAAGGCTGTGAGCAGCTCCTAGTGCCTTTAGATCCGAAAAAGTCTGAATGGTATATCTTTTATAAAACGAAGTTAGTTAAAGGCGTTCTAACCATTTAACCGACTATATAGATGCCTAAGTCTATGATGTCCACCTTGTCACATTTAGCGAGATTCGCGGGTGCTGTTCCTATGGCGCGGTGTGTGGCTTTTTTCTTTCTTTTGCTAGCCTGTCTACGGCGGATGATAGCGGAAACAGGGAAAAAGTAGACATCGGAGTGATTTGTTTATACAGTGCACAAAAGAAAAAGAAACCGTGGGATCGTGCTGGTTCACATTTCCTAGTAAACAAGTGATTCCTTACCAATGCGGGGCTCTCAGAGCACCACGTAATTACCGCAGCCGGGGCCAAATTTGACAATGCTTATTGTCAAATACCGGAGCCATATACCCCGGTCAGTTACAGTACTAAAACCCCCGAATTGGATACAAGGTAATTTTACCTTGGATCTTCACAAAACGTCGGTCCCAAATATCCCGACCAAAGTGCATTACTGCCTAGTGATTTGGTCCATTTATACTCGCGCGTTCATCTTGTTTTATTCCTAGTTAGAGAGTTCCAATATACTCAGTTCATACCATACATTTCCATACAGTCAGATTTCTGTCACTTATTAATACATATATAATACCGTATTTTGACAGTCTGACTGTAAAAAATGTACTGTATGAACTTTAGCGAGGCTCGCGTACGTGGTTATTAATGCCGGTGGAGGGCTTCTTCGCGGAGGAGAGGGAAGTGCTTTAATTGCTTCCACCGGCTCAGTAATCAATTGAGAAGCTGTTTTGTTGGGTTCAGTGCCCTTGCCCCACATCGATCCATCCATGGTTGGAAGCAAGGGATCTACGTCAGCCTAGATGTATATTAATTAGGGTTCGGGAAGTGTGCGTGCTAGGTCACTTCCCTTCGCGGCAGCTAATATTTTTCTTTCATGGCTAGATACAGCGTGCCACTTCAGCGTGCCACTTCCTGAAAATGAACGTAGAGCTCCGTCGGGGCGTGTCGTTGGTGGTAGGCGCTAACGAATATTCCTCGCAGAACGGGCCACTGGCAGCCTCTCCTTGACTCCGGTCGAATCAGGTCTCAAGAAATTGAAGGATCTGGTCGAAGCCTTCAGGCTCTTTGATCCAGTGACCGTCGCCCTCCGCCCCAGAGAACTCGTGCCATTCGACGTGAACCATGATTGTCCGTAGAATTCGAGATGCCTGCCGTCCGAGTTCCACTGATACCCACTCATCGTCTGCTCCATGGCTCAAGAACACAGGAGTAGATAAGACAGAGCTATCCACAGGTTGGTTAGCCTGCGATATCTCATGACCGGCAATTTCATCAAAGAAGAATGTAGATATTAGGTGCTGTGCCTGATGGATGCTAGGACCACTAAGGGTTGGTTCGTATAGCAAGCCCTCTAGCTGCTTTGCAAAAGGTAACCAGCCACAAAAGCCTAGCAGACCCCCTAGTGGTCCTTGAACCCGCCCCATCCCTATCCCGGCGACTAAGGCCCATATGGCGGTTGCCATCCCCTGGCTAATACCTCCAAGATAGATATGAGCAAGCTGCCCATCTAGCAGCCTAGCCTCCTCCTCGAGAATATCAAGAATGTGCAAAACTGACTCTCTTATTCCGTCCTTCTGCAATTCCTCTCTTTTCTGGATATCGCTTAGGGAGTAGGCATCAAACCAGGAGCACATCTCTTCTTGGAACGTAGTGCTCCATCGGTCACGTGAGGTTGGGAAGACCCAACGATAGGCAGGTAGGCAGGAGGCTAGGCTCTTGCCCTTAGAAGTTGTGGATGAGAAAAGCTCTTCGGCGAACTCGAGGCCATTGCTGCCGCGACCATGAAGCAGAATAATCGTATGGGTGTGAGATGTTTGGGAATGGTGGATGTGTGGTGCTGGAAATTCCATGATATCCGTCTGAATTATCTTGATCTAGGAAGTGTGAATTGTTTTGAGAATTATATAAAGACACGTCGGCCACCGGCGTCTTTGATCAACCCACATCGCCTCGCACAAAGAAATAGAACATTCATTATCACACCGATATCTCACCGCCTTATTTGTAGCTAGTCACATATTCTCGTTAGCGCTTACGGGGCAGTGGAGAGTTCATGAGCGTTCCACAGTGCCAATCGTAATGACCAAGGCATCTTGTGCCGAGCACGCCTTGTCCAACCAGATTCCTATTTTTGAACTCAGCAGCTGAAAATATCCCTTCAAGAACGGCAAACAGCCCTAGCACTGGCGATAGTCAGTAGGAATTAATTTCCGTCTTTGCCGCGAGATGGGAGCTAAATTCGGCATTTAGTGAAACTAGAGACACTATCAAATTACACGAGCTGAATATATCCTTGGGTCCATTCATTTAGCGCTGGCGGTGAATTTGTTTGTACAGGAGTGGGAGTGTCTAGTCAAAGTCTCCGCTATACTAACGGTGCCACAGTTGATCGGCTCTTCCTCCTACAGTGGACGGGCGAGTCGCCAGCTTGAAACCCCATTAAAATAGAATGAAAAGGAACCAAGCACGTGCAATCAAGACTATTTAAGGACCATGTCATAACTGGGAATGGAATTCTAACTACTCGTATCACTCCAACAAAACATTCCAAGCCGATAGGCATCTCAGACTACAGACAGAATTCTCAATAGCGATTTTCAGTGACCTATACCTCCCGTTTTAGTCACCTTGATTTGTTGCAAAATTGTTTGTTATGCCCAACGACGTCTTGAGTCCTTCCATTATCGACCCGACCGTCAAAAGTTCTGAGAATCTGTAATTTGGTGTGTGTTGGGGTTGCTATCTATCACCCAGCCAACGCGCGTGACCCTTGTCATTGGGCGCTCTAGTTGCAATCTGCCGACCATAAATCGGTAATTTTGCAGGTTGGTGATGAAAAGGACGGCCGGGGTTACTTCGTGGAGGAGCCCATTTTCAAGGAACCTATGGCATCAGCGAGGCTTAAAGAGATCGTTCCTTGCGGAACCATTCCCACCAGCAGACACAATCAAATTGTCTCGATGGTCCAGTCCAAACCCATTGGACAATCAGAGCTTGACTTGGAACTGTCAGACGTGGGTCATGGAAAACCTGAACCATTTGGTAAACCTTCATTTACGACAACTTACCCCGGAAACCAAAGCGAAACTAGAATCTAAGAGGCAAAACTGGCAGTGATTAATCTCCGCTAAGTTTGGACGGTCGGTGTAAATGTTGAACTGCGATGGCCTTTATATCTTCCTTTGTCTTCCACCTGAGAGAACCTTTGCCCTATTGTCATGTCTTGGATTGTCTTGTTTCCTCAATGTTTTTTCAGACGTAGATAGCAACTCAGCCGTGCCATGTGCTTAGCATCAAGTCAACCGCATGCTCTTTAGGCCATAAACATATTTTCCGTGGCAGATAGGCCCACCAGTCATCCATACCGCTCCCGGGAGTAATCGTATTCATGGCCTTTACGTATTCCCAGTATTCCGAGTACCAGCCACACATTTCCCAATCAAGAATCGCAGTGATGGTAACTCGAGTAGTTGATTGATTTACGATGCCGTTTGTGCTGCAGAGTGACTATATGGGCAGAAAATCATCCGCAACCGGGTCATCCAGGTGAGTGACTACCATGATGTTTCGTGGATGAAAATCACCATGGGCCAAAAATACTTTATGATCATCCTTCAGATAGGACTCAATCATAGAGATGTTGCCAGTTCGGGATTGGTGAGGGCTGGAGGTGAGAAATCCATTAAATTCGCGCTCGTTGCTGATGCACCTTTGAGCAACACGGATTTGTCGTCGTGCGTCTCTGCATCGGCCAGGACTACCGCCACCAAGCACAGCCTGGGTCTCATCGGAGGCTGGAGTAGGCAAAGACCGAAAGTCACTAACAATCGTATCTAATTGCTCTCTAATTGCGGCGTTCTTGTTCTCGCCTAAGAACCTTCACTTTGAATCATATCCAACAACCTTAACAGACTACAGGCTGCAAAAGGAGTAGCATTCGACTCATACCATATATGACAATAAACATACTGAATAGCTCCCAGGGCCCTGCATTGACCTATTCAAGAACTTGAGGGGTGGGCAAAATTGCCGCGAGGAAAGTGCATCTTCTAGCTGAATGGCAATACCATGAATGGCTAAATGTAACCAAAGATACCTGCGGTGCTCCATTTATGCTCCAGTCGCTGCTATATATCCTATGACAACGATGCTGTCTTGACCAGATATATCTCCCCCTCTGTGGGTTAAGCTTGAATACATATCTGCTTTTTTCTTTGCTTCGTCAGGTCTATTGAAGCTGACGTAATCAAACATTTACTGGAAAACATCCCGAACGCCCACGGGTGGATCAGTGATCAGCTGATGTCAGCAAAGTGGGTCAAACGCCAATCGCACTCAGGTACGTCATTAGCTGTTCTAAGCTCCATTCCTTCCCCTTCCGACAACCCGATGGCCGAAATTCGTTCTTCAGACAACAGATCGCTCTTCGCACGGAAAAAAACAAAGCAGAAGGAGGCGGACAGAAAACAAGAGCGGGTAGAAGCCAGTCGAGAGCGGGCAGAAGCTCATCAAGAGCGGGCAGAAGCTCATCAAGAGCGGGCAGAAGCTTGTCAAGAGCGGGCAGAAGCTTGTCAGGAGCGGGTAGAAGCTAGTCAAGAGCGGGAAGAAGCCAGTCGAGAGCGGGAAGAAGCCAGTCGAGAGCGAGCAGAAGCTAGTCGCGAACGGACAGAAGCCAGTCAAAAGCAGGCGGATGAAGAGAAACAGGACCGGGAACACACTCGACTAACGAATTTTGGAGACTTTTTGCGCCATTGCCATACTTACCATCCCGACCGGTGAGAGTCAAACCACCCTCTCGTTTGACCACATGTACGATACCCCTACGCAGTAGAAAATACTTACGATGTGACTGAACGACTTAAATTATAGATGGATTCCCCAGGTCCACAGAGGGATGTCCCACTATGATGAACACCCCCGGATTAACAGTATATCCACAATCTCCGCAATATCCGCGTGCTCCGCATGCTCCGTATGCTGAGCACATATCCATCTGGGACCACATTCCCAGTTTTGGGATATGTGAATAATTAAACTTCCGACTGAGTTGAATGTTCCAAGGTTTTCCTCTCTTCACGACAGACACGGCTCCACGATCGAGTGTTTTGAAAGCTGCATTCAGGGCACCCTCACGCTCCTACCTCTCATCATTCGTCATGCCCATCGATGAGCAGACATTACCTCACTACAACATCGAACAGTTCTACCCCGTACATATTGGAGATGTATTCAATGACAGATATTGGGTGATAGGCAAGCTTGGCTTCGGTGCCTACTCAATAAGTTGGCTATGTTGGGATCCTTGGTATGTGGCTATGTATTGATACCTAGGTAAAAGTTACTTTGCTTATTATGGTCTATTTAATACATACTCCATAGTGAATGATCCCTTGGCTACCCCGTACCCCGGCCTCGCTCCACCGTGTTTAATTAAAGACATGTGCGTGTGGCCACAAAAGCCCAATACGACTTGGCGTTCTGGCCCTGGGTCCGCACTAAACCATCTTTGTACAAGCTTTGCAACCCTGTCTCGTTCGATGATTGAATTTCATTCGTTCAGATTATCGCAAGACCAACAGGAACACGGTATACACTAGTCGAAATAGCAGAGTAAGAGAACCGAGCCGACTGTACTTTTGGGAAAGAAATCAAAATATCTTATGTGACCAATAATATGAGATGAATGATGTTCTAATAACCGGTTAATTCCGCTGGCCTGAGGTAGAGCCTGGATTGAAAACTAAATCATATAAATCTAGTCTCGTGCACACATTCAGATTTCGCTGTTCTGGTCGCGTTAAATGCCCTCCACGCCAGACCGACTCCAGGCTATCCATCTATTTGATTATACACCTAGTTAAGATGCGCCTTACTGCTGCTATTGCTGTGCTCGCCGTTGGTGGCATCGCTAGAGCTCAACTCTCCAATATCCCCCAATGCTCTGTATGCCCTGTCCGCTCAATATCTCTGCTCAGTGTCTCGTTTCCGGCTAACGCGTGATTGTTTCTTCTTTCTCTCCCAGCTTACCTGTTTCACGTCGACCCTTGGCGGGGACGGCTGCTCTGAGCTTACGGATTTCGCGTGCCATTGCCAAAAGCCTGGCCTCGCAGCGGAGATTGTGCCCTGCATCAATAAAGCCTGTGATGTCACGGACCGACTAGGTATGAGAAGATACGTTCCCTTTCGTGTGAGCCGGTCTAACTAGGCCCTATAGCCGTATCCAGCCTCGTTGGATCCTTGTGTTCCGGTGTTGGCCATCCGGTCTCTATCCCCGCGGTGGACACATCGGCTCCTACAACGACTGGCGCAGGAGGCATCTCATCCACAGCAAGGAACTCCAATGCTACCACGGTCAGTGGTGTCGGGCCAAGCTCCTATTCTACCACGGTCGGTGGTTTGGGGTCAAGCTCCAAGGCTTCGTCCACGATCACCGCAGCTTTGTCCCAGAGCACCCCCCAGTTTAATGGTGCTTCTGGCATTGCACCCGGGGCTGTTAAAATGGTTGGTAGTGCTATCCTGTTAGCCAGCATGATCTTCTTTGTTTGAAAACCTGTGTGGAGAGATACCAGAATGGCTTTTGACTCCTATCAACTATATTTAATTTGGCGCTGGTACCTCCTTCCATGTTCATTACCTCTACCAAGGCATCTCAAGCTACACTCATTCAATAAATTGCTATTCTAGAATAGAGTATTTAAACATCGAATGCTGGGAGTTTGAATTCCAAGGCGCATGTCTTCACTAGATATATTCATAGTCTCAGGTGTGACTACCGTCTCCAGGTTTTAGGTGACTATGTAAAAAATACCAAATAGGTAGGACCGCTACAGACATCAATACACCATCGTACAAGCATCCCACTATCCCACCCTCCTACAACCGGGTGTGGGCAAAATTAGATGCCACGTCGGCAATGGCGAACTAGGAGAAATGAAAAAAAAGCAGGAAAGCGGGATTAAGTTTTTCGTCCGAAGCCACTAGATTAGTGTCGTTTAACTTCATTTCGATTCCGTCCCTAGTGATAGCTGATTTCTGCTCGATTCTGATAAGTAAAGCACGCACGCTCCTTATCCAAACGGTGTAGTCGATCATGGTCCTTGTCATTTCCTAGAGGGCTAAGCTAGCCAGATGCGACATAATCAGCTCCTTCCAACGGATAGCTAGCAGAAATAAGACCGAAGGGCCGGGCATTCTGGCGAAGTTTAAAAATCTCATTTGGCACACCCCGCAAGCCCTAATCAATTAGACTTTCAAGCATATGATCCCACTCAAGTCTAGAGGTTTGAGAACTTTGAGAACCTCGGTCTATGAATCTCTTGCAAGAATTTGGTAGCAAAACATGTGAAAATATGAGCAATTTTGTAGATCGTCAACTTTTCCACGGCAATAGATTAATTCGTTATGCGTCAAAGTACGCTAGACAAAGCCTAGCCAACGCCACCAACCACCCGCCGACCACAATTTACGCCAGAAAACGATAGGACAGAACGAGAAAGAGAAGTTGGAGAATATTTTTTTGGAACGGTATGCTGAAAGGGATCCTTGTCTTCCTTGCCTTCCTTTTCTTCGTTCTGTTCGTTTTATTCGTTCTGTTCGTTCTATTCGTTCTGTTCGTTTTATTCAATCTGTTCGTTTTATTCGTTCTGTTCGTTTTATTCGTTCTGTAATTTTTAGTTTGTACAGTACCATAGATTACATTCTTTCCGCGCCTACGTACGCATCTTAGAAGTGGTGTGGAATTTACCTTTGGGCCCATTGAGAATCAAACATGAAAGTCCGCATAAATGTTACAGTAGAGAATGAAATCAAAATCCTGCGCATGTACCCAGCTCTGCTAGAAGGTCTCCCGCCGTGACGTCGATGCCGCCAGCGTCTGAATCCTCCCTGCCAAAAGCTAAGAACAGTGTGTCATCAATGAACCCATGGTACTTTTGGCCGTGGCTTTTCCAACTGATGCTAGTCATGTAGAGCATCTCGGAGGTATCTTCCAGTAATCCCGTGGAAGGATCTTCATCTGACTTTGCTGCTCTAATGCTGCGACCAAATATCCAAGCTGGTTTTGACGAGACAGCATAGATCTCAAATGGCATTGAACGCCGCATCAGCACCACATAGGGCTCATACACGGGGTGAAGACCTCGTAAGGTCTTTTGTTGGATGATGAAGAGCACAAAGGTATTGGTCGCATGGGGTTGGCAAGAGCGGTCAGATCGGGCACATAGAGTGATAGCTAGCGAGTTTGTCGCTTGATGAATCTTTCCCGTCTCAGGCAAGAATCTCTTGAGACATTTTTGGTCAGAAGCGGAGGTGGTCAGCGCCAAGTTTGGTCCAACAGAGCCATCTAGCCCCAGTTTCGAAAACACACGCGCCGGTGCAATTTCATGATGTAGGAACATTTGTCCTGAATCATCCCAGAAAATGAACCAGTTCTTTTCAACAGCATTCCAAGGCATTGGCCGTTGAAGCTCACGATACTGCCGGAATTCATGCTCATTTATGGTGTCGATCCCCCAATCCACCAAGATTCGAAAGTCAGATATCCATTGTCCGAAACACGTAAAGAACGAATTGGAGCCGTAAATGGTATACGGAATCTCGGGCCCGTAGAACACTCTTGCATCATGAGGCCCAACATTGAGACTAAAGTACGAAAGGTCGTCGAGACACTTGCTGGAGTCACCAAAGGTCGCTGGGATGGGCAATTGCAGTGGTGGCTCCAGACAGCCCAAGACTCGGTTGTCGTCCGAAAATACGGCATTGCAGACGAGCTCGGCGAACCAAACTGAGGTAGTTCGAATAGAAGGAGGCTTGTAAAGTTGTGCAGTGATGATCCAGGTGTCAAGCAGCTCAGGATGGGGGATTATACTGGGATTCAGGACGGATCTTGTTCCAAAATCGATCCTAAAATACTTTCGATCGGGATTTGATACCGAGTGTATTATGTGGTGTGTCTGAGACATGTCCTTGTCCAGTCCAGGATATCTTCGGTCCTCGTTTGCAACTTGTTCATCCTGGCAGTGGGACGAAATTTCGCTGCCATTAACGCCTGAACAAGCTATGTTAGATTGTCCAGCATCAATGTGTGATTGCCTATATGGACCGCCCGAGGAATAGTCCGTAAATAGAAATCTTGATTGCAATCCAAGATAGTTGGATTGAAATTTGGCGATAAGGATGACCGCGGACAATAGCCCTGCAATAAGTAACAGGTGTGTGCCTATTCTTTTAGCCATGTTCACCTTGGCGAGTGTAGATGGGATGTAACAGTAAGAAGTTATAAATCTTATTTCAAGGAAAGCCTAGCCGAGATTGGTCGTTGACACTAACTAAAAAAGGGGGCTTACGGGCGATACTTAGTTTGTTTGCCACTATAGCGATCAGTGCGATCATCCACAACTCTTAACATTACCACCATGATCACGAGACCTGGCTTAGTGACCCGGATACCTCTGTAAAACTATAGGAAAGCTGCTTCCAGCAGAGAATTTTGAATATTGCAAATAGTACTGCCAAATCAAAGGTGAATCTCGCGAATGCCATTACAAGGATATTATGAACTGGTATCCTGAGCTCCAGGCTCCGGGCTAGCAGTAACTTCCGGTTGCAAGATTCTTATTATACAGCGATTTATCATTTAGAAAATCCCTTTGCATTAAATACACAAAAGCTAACTAGGCAGATCATGGACACATGCGGAAGATTGTCAGGGTTTGTCAACCAGTGCCCTTTGGTAAATCCACCGAGAGAAATTCACCGCCGGCTCATCAACTAGTTTAGTCGTGACCTCTGCCAGCCAGATAGTCAAGGGTAACAGGATTAGATTCGCGACGAGGAAGTTGACTTCAAGCCCAAGGGGACCAACATTGGGCAAGGGGAGGCGATTAATCCACCAGGGACAAGTCCCATGGTGTGAATCGCGTACGAAACCCACTGCAGCATAGATCCTGTCACCCAAAGTCCACAGAACCGGTCCGTGAACCAGATAGAACGCAAATGAAATACGGCCCAAGTACAGGTTGAATGGGGTGGTAAAGAACGTCTTGAGCCACTGAAGGTGAGATGTGCATGCGACGAGAAATACAGCGGCCCAGAACAGGTAGAACCACTTGTAATCGAACACTGCCTGTGGCTTTAGGAAGGATAAGAGGTACCACCCTGGCGAGTCACGTAATTGTTGCAAATTGTCCGTATGTGAGGGGACCCCTCCAAGATAAAGGCTTGCATAGAAGAGAACAGTCAAGATGGCTACCTTGAAGGGAGCGAGTCTGAGAAAGAAGCGGGGCATGTCATTTCGTATGGCGAGGAGATCGAGATCTTTTAGAAGCATCCCAGCAATAAACATAGCATAGTGTGATCCATCCGCAATGTACAAAAAGTACACAACCAACGCGACTTCGGCTAGGAGCCGGGCATTGCGGCGAAATCTTGACAAGGCGAGAACGGCGGTGTAGACAGCTAGAGAGCCTCGAGTTTCGACGGGTATAGACCAAGCATGGAAGTTGTATGTAAACCAGGGTTCGCCACCTGTTCGGAGAGGGAAACTGAAATTTTTGAACTCCGCGTACCAATTCCATAGCTCCGCCCGGTAGCTTCCTTGAAGCTCTGGGACAGCGGTAATATTAAACAAGTGCAAAAATGTAACGTAGAATAATGTTGTGCAAATCACAGGAATGTATAGGCGAAACCATCGGCGAAATACGGCTGAGGAAAGGCATTTACCTAGTCCAACGTAATCGCCATCCTGGATGCTTACTAGTGGCCTCATTGAAAGAACGTACCCAGAGAGCACGAAAAAGACGCTGACGGCAAAATGCCCGCCCGAAAAGAACGTTCGAATACCAGGAAGGCATGCGAAATAGTACTTGTTGTCGTAACCGTAGGCCAGCTCGAAGGCATTTCCCACCCCTCCGCCATCGTGGGCCCAAATTTCATGATGTCCCCAGTAGACTAGTAGGGCCGCAAAACCTCGCAATCCATCTAGGTATGCGGTGGGCCTGCTAGATAGCCGTTGCTTTTCATTCGCATTGTTGTCGCTATTCGTCCGCCTAGTAAGGAATGTGGGCAGGAATGGAACCATGCAAGATGAGAGTGACATCCCATGCCGAGAGCGTGTCATATGGGCAAACTGTGGTTTCCACTGTCCATCCTCGAGGGATCGCTCTAGGTTTGTCTTCAACAACTGTGAAGATTTTTCGATTGGGGGGTGTAGCATAGGCATCGGGCGAGTGAAGCTAAGAGAGTCCTTTTAAAATTTCAAGAAAGTATCAATAAAAACCCAAATACACCGCTTGAGAATTACACTCTCAGTACAACCCCAAACCTAGCGCATACAGTGAGTAGTCCTTGTGGGTGAGCCCGACTAGTCACCGATAAAGACCGGCTAGCGTTTCCCCCACAAGTCAGGATCTGAGCGCAGACCTCGGGAGTATACAAAATGTGGGGGCACATGTGAGATAGCATCCCGTCCGGATAACACCTAGGGAATTCTAAGTGGCGTTTTGAACTAAATCCTTAATTAACTCCCTAGTCTCTACTATTGGCCCCCTCACCCGAACGGCTGGGGGTGTTTCACTGCTCTGGGAATGATCCAATCAGTTAAGCTTTAATCAGTGATTATTTCCGTGCCAGCGACAGGTTTTATTGCGTTTGCGAATGTACCGATAATACAGCTTAGCCAACAAGGAACATGCGAAGAGGAGTAACGTGACCCGAGGCAATGCACTTGTAGACTTAATACCACTTAATTACGATGACATGTACTGTATGTAATCGAATTATTGAAATAAGGCCTTGCCTTCCTGTACTAACAATCTTTCTCCTCTGTCGACTTTGATGCTTCTGAACTAAATCACATCACAGGTCCAGTCATGCGGGAGAAGAATTCCGTGTTGCCCAGTCTCTTTCCAAAGAAGGCACGCAGATTCACCCATGGGGGCCTAGTGGCTTTGTGTCTGTTCATCTACTTTTGTGTCACCAGAACGTCGCACGATTTTGGCGAGAATCAATCACACTCTACTCAGCTGACGAGCACTATTGGCGAACAATTTCCCAGGAAAATCTGGCAGATCTGGAAAGTGAATCCATTGGAATTCGACGGGCGTGATATCGAGGTAGCGCGCAGCTGGATATCTAAAAACCCGGGCTATAGGTACGAGGTTCTGACCGACCAGAATGACCTTGACTATGTCGAAACAAACTTCGGAGCCCTTGGGCTGAATCGACCAGATATCGTTGAAACGTACCGATCCTTAACAGCCCCGATCATCAAGGCCGACCTACTTCGGTATCTTGTTTTGTACATAGAGGGAGGTGTCTATGCTGATATAGACGTGGAGGCATTGAGACCAGTTCATCGATTCATTCCAAGCACCCACGATGAGAGCGAGATCGACATGGTTATTGGCATCGAAATCGATGAGCCACACTTCCGTGACCATCCTATACTGGGTCAAAAATCTCAATCCTTCTGTCAATGGACATTCATGTGCAAGCCTCGACAGCCCGTGATGATGCGACTAGTAGAGAATATCCTCCACTGGCTCAATCAGCTCTCCATCGAGCAAGGAAGGCCAATCTCAGAGCTTCAGCTGGACTTCGATGATGTGATCACAGGCACCGGGCCTTCTGCCTTTACAGGCGCAATATTATCTGAAATGAGCCGTACAACGGGCAAGGATATCACATGGGATATGTTCCATGACATACCAGAGTCCAAAGTTGTTGGGCGGTTTCTGATTCTCACGGTGGAAGCCTTCGCCGCTGGGCAAGGTCATTCGGACTCGGGCAGCCATAATTCGCGCATGGCGTTGGTCAAGCACCATTACCATGCATCCGCGTGGCCAAACCGCCACCCGCGATTCTATCACCCGATATTTGCAGAGGTCGAGAGGTGCAATTGGAATGTGGACTGTGTGAGGAAGTGGGACGAAGAAACAAGTACTTTTGCTGCTCTGCCTCAGGAAGAACAGGAACGACAGATTGCCACATTCCAGGCAATAGGGAAAGCACTAAAAGATATGGAACCACCCCCTAACCAGGGAATGTTTTGATTTTTTTTTCTGGAAATATGATTATGTGTTCAAGATGTAAGCGGTACGCCCTCGCACTCACTAGAGCCAAGGCACCAACTCAGTCGCCCCAACATAATTCAGATAGTTTAAATGGCAAGCCATGGCAGCAGATTAATGCAAAGAACAAACGAAAGTTGCGCGGCCTACAGAGACAAAATTCGATTCTGAGATAAGTGGAGCCTCATTTCGCGGACATTGATATGGCTCTACTGCGACAGGGTTGGGTGCAATTGAAGACTCAGAGATGCACTAGATCTCCGACCAATGAAAAGGGCAACTGAATCATTTCTTTTTCAAATTAAGATGTTGTGCTTAAATTCAATGATTGAATTTGATCCTTCGATGGGCATCCTCCCATACTTTTTCTTTTGAACAAAAAGAGACTTAGTTAACTAAAGCTGCTAATTATGTAGTTATAGATAATAACCACTTCTAAACAGAAGCCAAATCAAAAAAGAAATCAAAAAACATACAACAGTGAGGATTCGCTGGTGGTCACCCACCCAACTACTAACTCACCGGCGTGTGGCTTAAGTACGGCTGAGCGGACGGGAAGCCCTGTTTTCCACACCCTATGGTCGTATGTACAAGAATATGTATAAGAATAAAAAATGTAGTAAAAGTTACTGATTGCAGATATGAAAGTGAGAAATGGGTGAGCGCCGCTTTACGGTCGCGCGACCGGGGGTGACAAGGGTGAGTGCGCTATAGACAGGGTGAGATTCTAGGTGAGAATCACCCAAGTCGCGCGAAGACTGCATTAACCCCTTCAGCTAAACAACAGCAGAACATCATTGGATCGTACCGTTTCCCCTAAAACGCTCAGCATCTTGGCATCTGCACATAACTCCAACTGGAAGCATCATAACACCAGGTTTCTGTCTATGGCGTTATTGATTATTCTAGAGATCTTGACAGGCCATGATATGACTAAGAAATTGTCGAAACGCTTGGGGATAAAGGACACTCGTTCATCTACTTACAGTAGATTTCGAACACGATTTCCAGACCGCTCACAGATTTGTGTTTGTTTCTCGGCAATCGCCAGTGCTTGTATGATCCAGTGCGTGATCGGAGATGCAAGGCTCATACCGCCGAGCTGTTACATTTCCGTGTCGCCCTTTGGCGAATTGCTGCCAAGCTGCGCTCTGGAACGCCGGAGGAGATATTATGGTTGATCTGTGAGATCCAAACATCTACCAACAGATCAAGATGCAATCAATTATCTTGTTGAAGGATGCTCATTGTATGAAAATCTGGAAATTCATTGAAATACCCACTGGTTGCAGATCAAGTGACGTCCAACATGGAGGAAAAGGACGTATTGCAGTTCAAAACTTGTTCAATGTTATCTAGTTGTATCAATGTATTAGACATCATTGTCAATCACTTATAGAGCATCGAGAAATGTGTGCTAAAGGAGCGATATGGTCCACCTCGACGCAGACGAATGGTCGACCGATACTCCCTTGTGTGACAAAGCAACTTCAAGTAATTGTTCTCTTCTAACGAAGAGCTCAAACCATGAATGGAATACTTTACCTATTCAAGCCAGCGTTCTCTAGTTCAATGCGTAAGGATTAAATGAAGATACGTACCGTGCTGTTTCAAACCCTGAATCATACTCCTGCCTTGACCGGGAAAGGCCACATGGCTCTCGCCTCTTCTGCGGACTTCCCCCCAGCAACGCTTTCAATGTACATAGTCAACAATTCCTCATTCTGCGTCCTCTTCTCATTCACATCCAATCCTGGTGCAACCCATCCTTCCGCATCAGTGTCAAGGCATTCTTACGCAAGAGCCTGAATCTTATACCAAGCTTGATACTCAGAGAATTACCGATCGTGCGTATCGACCTGCTCCTGCGTAAAAGATAAAGGGCATTCTCCAGAAAATCCAAGGTCCGACCAATTCTGAAAGAGTTCTATCAAGCACGCACGAAGCGGGAGAACGCCAATTTCGGAGACTTCCCCGCATCGAAGGAATAACTCTCGGAAGACACGGGGTACGTTCATAGCCCTATGCGCTGGTTTATCCTCAAGCAAGGTTGGGATCTCATCGGCCTTTGCCAACTTTGCTTGGGACCACTCGCGCATTGCATGTATCTTGTTATCCTCATCGAGGGTATCGAAATCATCGCGCAGTTTCACCTCAAATATCCCCTTCTTGTAATCGTAGTTCTGCGGGGGTTTGAGAAAGACTGGCCATCGGGCCTGGAGAAATGCAGGGAGAACGGAAATAGATTGAAGGTCGATGAGGGATACTATTCTTGAACAGTACTCAAATTCATCAGTCAGCCAATGACCAATTATCCCCAAAATAGGAAGATGATTCTGGCTTGTCCGGATATCCAGCGATAAGACAATAGTTTTGCAAGTCAAAGCCAGCTCATTCTTTAGGTTAGTGCGCTGTATGGCGAACTCTTGCATGATTCGATCCCGCAAGGTGTGGCGAGAAGTGAAAGAAGGCTCAATCCCAGGAATGTCTCGGAACATTTGCTGAAACTCTGGAGACTCGACAGTGGTGAAGGCTTTCATATCAGTCACGATCCAGCGAATGGCATTCCTTTCCAAGACCTCTTGATGGGTGAGACTCTGTTTACCACCCATAAAACTCCGAATGTCTGGTCCCTTCTTCGCTGGCTGTATACTGAGGGTCGGGCGGTAAATTCCATGCTTTGCCAAGTGGGTTTTCATGTTGCTGGTTGTATTTTGCCTCTGGGAATCTGACGTATGCCAGTCACAGCGTGTTCCCGTTTTCTCGTCTACATGCAACATGCATACAGCAAATCTTTCGGTCGACCAGCCGCCTCTTGTTGGTCCTCTTGATAACCCATGGACAATCAACAGCTGTAGTCTCGAAGTACCCCCAGATCCACTCTGTAGCAGGCGCTGGCCGGTTGGAGCATCGAGAGGATACGTGGCTTGTGATTGAAGAACCAGCATCTGTTGAGCCTTCTTGGGATACTAGCACTTGCGACACAGACTCAGAAGGTAGGAGCTCACAATCTGGTATGTTGGCGAGGATCACCGCGTCTTCTTGACAGGTTAGGATAGTACGTGTGAGATTACTCAGCGACTCGCTTAATTCACTTGATTGGTAGGTTTGACCCTCGGACAAAGACTCTCCATCGCTCTCGTCATTCAGAACTCGGTAGTCGAGGCATTTCTGCCGGGTACGCATTTTGTTTGGGACACACCGGGTCACTGGTGCAGTACGGATGAATACGACTTGCTGATTACAGCTCACTGTCGATATGGGGTTCAGTAGAACGAGGGTTGAAGAGTCATATGTGGAGTTGGTTATTTTCTGGAAGAATGGGTCACTGTCAACGAAGAAGAGGTCGGGGCACGCGTCCCAGTCTCTCAGACGCATCGCGTCTAAATAGAGTTGAACCATAAAATGGCGTTGAACCATGATCTCTGGATATTCTGCCATATAGCATAACGGAAGAAGGAAGCCATAGCCATAAAATAAAACAGGTAATATGATAGTATGTTTGCAGATAAAAGCCACTGAAGTAAATATATATATACGTATGCGCAGAGGGATGGAAGCAACTTAAAAAGGATTAGACATGTACTTTGCAGTAGCAGAGTTAGTTGATAAATATATAAATATCCAGCCACATAGTACGGCAACAACACAACGTAGGACTACATAATGGAAGTGGATTGCCATAATTAACGAGTATCTAAGCTTACATTCTCTTTGCAGTAAAGTTTTGTATATCTAGGACCAGGAGCTATTCTCTTATTGTCCAATTACCGGTGACGATATCTCGCCGACGATAATATGATTTGCCGATACGATATCGGCAGGCTTCGAAGCTGACGGTGCCGATTGACGATATGAGAAACCAGTGCTGATATCGTATCGTTTACAGCTCTACAATTTAGCCCCCAACCTTGAAAGTCTAGGCTGCCATCATCCAAGGTTCCTAGCGGCGCGCAAGCTTCGATAAAGCGGGGCCGAAGGCTGGTGTCCGGGCCTCGGAGACAACCCGGGCGTATTTAGTCAGTCACAATTCCAAAATTTCAACCAATGTTCTTTCTAGGGACTGGGGTAGTGTGGGGCTATGGGTCGGAATACCTGTGTCCTTCCCCATTTAGGTATGGCGCAGGCAGATCACGAGTCATCCTTTGTTCCACACCGACGATCTATAAATATGACTAGTTTCGCATTTCATCGTTTCTCCTTTACCCCCCTGCTAGCGTCATGTTACAAGCGTATAACAAGCTCATTAGTCAGTTAAACCCACGGGTTCAAAGGGCCTCTAGCAAAGATCGTAGAGGCGTTTCGCTGCATGCCACTTTTGGCCCCCTGTTAAAAAGGCACCCCTCCCCCCCTGCCCCTCTGACTTTTTTTGGGAACTATCCCCCCTCAAAAATTTTCATACTGTTTCTCTTCTATCTTACGTCCCCACATAAATAATGGTCGAAATTCAGGACTACACCAAGGCCTTGGAGGTCCTTAAGGAGTATTCCTCCGGAGATGGTCTCCATGTCGATACCCTTCTCGACTCTGACAACCACGGAGCCTTGACCTACAATGACTTCCTCATCCTGCCAGGCTCTATCAGTAAGATACTGACCCTCATTCACGCCAGCCATGTATTCTAATCTCGCCCAAAGCTTTCTCGGCAGCGGACGTTTCCTTGGAGACCAAGGTCACCCGGCGGTTCTCCATTAAGGCCCCTCTCCTGTCCTCCCCTATGGATACAGTGACCGAACATAACATGGCTATCCACATGGCTCTTCTGGGTGGTCTGGGAGTTATTCACAACAACTGCTCGCCCGATGACCAGGCTGAGATGGTCAGGAAGGTGAAGCGCTATGAGAACGGCTTCATCCTCGACCCCGTCGTTCTGTCTCCTAGCACAACCGTAGCGGAGGCAAAGGAATTGAAGACCAAATGGAGTTTTGGCGGATTCCCAGTGACTGGTAAGACACATCTATTTGCTATCATTCGGGTTATTGACGGGTTCTGACTGGTTTCGCTTCTAGAAAAGGGCACTCTCCACTCCAAGCTTCTCGGAATCGTCACTAGCAGAGATATACAGTTCCACAAGACGCCCGAGGATCCAGTCACAGCCGTTATGGCAACTGACCTCGTCACCGCACCTGCGGGCACCACCCTGGCTGAAGCCAATGAAGTCCTTCGCAGCTCCAAGAAGGGCAAGCTCCCCATTGTGGACAAGGATGGATTGTTGGTCTCCCTCCTCTCCCGCAGTGACCTGATGAAGAACATCCACTACCCTCTCGCGTCGAAGCTTCCATCTAAGCAACTGCTTTGCGCCGCGGCCATCAGCACCCACAATGCTGACAAGGTCCGCCTTCAGAAGCTTGTCGACGCTGGTCTAGACATTGTCGTCGTCGACAGCAGCCAGGGAAACAGTATGTACCAGATTGCCATGATCAAGTGGATCAAGTCCACCTTCCCGGACATTGATATCATCGCCGGTAACATCGTTACCCGCGAGCAAGCCGCCGCACTCATCGCTGCCGGCGCCGACGGTCTGCGTATCGGTATGGGCAGTGGCTCCGCATGCATTACCCAAGAAGTCATGGCCGTCGGTCGCCCTCAGGCTGCTTCCGTCCGCAGTGTTTCTGCCTTCGCCGCCCGTTTCGGCGTTCCCACTATCGCCGACGGTGGTGTCCAGAACCTGGGACACATCGTAAAGGGCCTTGCACTCGGTGCTTCCGCAGTTATGATGGGAAGCTTGCTTGCCGGTACTACCGAGTCTCCTGGCGAGTACTACGTTAGCAGTGAAGGCCAGCTGGTCAAGGCCTTCCGGGGTATGGGCAGTATCGCGGTTATGGAGGACAAGGGCAAGAGTGGCGGCGGTAAGAACGCTGGCGCTTCCCGTTACTTCTCTGAGAACGACAAGGTCAAGGTTGCGCAAGGTGTTGCGGGCTCTGTTATCGACCGCGGTTCCATCACTCAATACGTGCCTTACCTTGTTGCTGGTATCCAGCACTCTCTCCAGGATATCGGTGTTCAGGATCTTGATGCCCTGCACAACGGTGTGAACAATGGACAGGTTCGCTTTGAGATGAGAAGTGCTAGCGCGCAGACCGAGGGTAATGTTCACGGTCTTCATAGCCACGAGAAGAAGTTGTACTCTTCTTAAAAGGGTGGTATTGTGTTCGTCGTACAATGATGCAAAGTTATGTCTATCCCAGTTATCTGGGAAACCAAAAGTTACTTTACACTAGAAAATACATATTCTGAAGCGCCTGCCAAATATTCAATTGTCCTGGTGATACTTACCTGACGTAGAATTATCTTCATAGGTGTAAATGGGAATCCGGTCAACCCCATGACCGGACAATTTTATTAGTCAGGAGAGAAAAGTCCCAATGTCCTTGGCAAATCAATTGAGATGAACGTATCACAAAATTTTCAAACTGACACATTACGCCAACCAAAATTTGCAATAATTGTGACTAAGCTCTCGACCCACAGCTGGTTTCATTAATGGGATAAGACCGCGCGATGGGGACGGCGAGAGGTTCATACACTCCGGCGTTCATGGGTGTGAGGGCGATGAGGTCGAGGACGGAAGACGTGATGGAGCACGCGTCGTAGTGCCACCCTGGCCTTCTGATCTCCGATCCGGCGATAGAACTCCCAACAGTTATGTTTCACAGTGGCGATGGGCTGCTCCTATGTACAGTGGCAAAAAAATCCGTAGTAGTGTTCGTGTTTTGGAGCACAAAAACTCTCACAAATGACTGATATAGCGCAGCAGAGGACGCGATAAATCACTCACATTACCAGAAAGCATGGACGTCCTAAGCTTCCATGCAGTGAAGCTCGCAATCGGATATTTGCACCTTTGTTTGGCCGCTTGTTTGATTCACATACCCCACCTGGGGTATGCTACGTAATTTGGAGCGACGGGGCCAAGAATAGTGTGTAGGCCATGGCTTTGTATTGGGCACTAGCGGGATGCTGTTTCCTTCGGGCCCTGGTGCGATGTCAATGGCTCACTGTCACTCATTAGCTTGTAGATCAGCGAAGTAATCTATTACTCACATGTTCTGGTGGCAAGACTAGGGACACAGAGACGGCAAAGAGCTGTGGTCCCTGCGCTCGTGCATTGTGGTCGATGTCCTCGGTTTTATTTAAATCGCATCGTCTTCAGGATCAGTAGAATTCAGACAATGTCAGGCTAAGATTCACATACCTGCGACGCAGATATTCGTGCTTTCTGTTGGGAATACACACAGAGCCTGCACAGTAGATCAGCTCAGTCGGCTGATATAGCCGAGACATCTTTGCATAGACACCTTGAGCAGCTAACCCAAAAGGCGTTTCATTGATCGACTGACGTGAATGGCAGTACATCTGGTGGGAATCATACCTTTATCTCCCACAGGCACTGTCTGACTTGCTGGTCTACAATGTATTCTAAAAACGTAAGTGCAGTGGAAATTTCAGTACTGGGTCAATGGAAGAACCTATCAAGTGGCTCATACACCAACCTGCTCGACTTTGCGTAGTCAAGAGAATAAATTGTAGAGCAAATTTCTGGGGGTAGAGGGCGTATTTATAGGCTTCTCGGCTTCTTCTGTTCCGTAAGTGCTCTGCTTGGTAGAACGCAAAGAGGGACAACTCTCTTAATTGAGGCCTGTTAAAAAGGTGTCTTCTTTTTACCGTAACTATTTTCAGGGACATTTTGATGCCTTTAGATCCTCAGCCAGAGATAAGAGTCGATTGGTGATGAGAAAAAGGATGCTGAGTCGGTCAAGAAACGTTGGCTGACTGTTGAATCCTTCACGGTTCGCTGAAATTGAGGCACTGGTTTGCTATTCAATCCGCAATGACAGGCTCATATTTTTTGTTATGATACCTCACCTGTGGGTGACTCACGTTGGATCACCGAAAAGCGCCTACAATTTCATAGTCGGAATCATGGACTTTTTTTCCTAGCCTCGCTTTAGTGTGGTGGTGGTTATGTTGAGCTGTGGTTTGTCCGGCCAGACTGCGGAAAGCGAGGTCACAGTAGGATGTGCTCGACCCGTTAACCCGTTGAAGCTTAGCCCAGCGTTGTTAACACTCAATTTCCGAACTTACGACCATGAACACACATCAAGTTTTTATTTTATTTTATTTTTGAACTTCTTTTCTTGATGACTATAAGTTCTACAATATTCCATTTATTGGATTCCTGAGACGTTCAACGAAAGGGAAAGAGGTGTATGATTGAAATATATATTCTTAACAAGCGTTCATATCTGGCCCTCAACATCGTGAGGCTTGATCATTTTCCCCGACTAACTATCCCTATTGTTGAATGCACTGTCAGCAGTCCGCTGAAAAGTAAAAAACTCCAGTCAGAATTTGACTGCTTCGATTGACCGTTGTGGTGGTTGTAAACCCAGTCCATAAACATAATCTACAAGAAACACAAAGGCCTGATAGAAATGGTATTGTCCACACCCTTGACTTTCTCCTGCGGACAAAATGGACGTACAAAACAGCTCGCTAGACCAGGAAATTGAAGGAGATCAGCAGCCCAGTGAATTGCCAAACCTTAGCGAAAAAGACAAATCGCAGGAAACTTCTGATCACGTCCCTCCATTGGTAAGTGAGACGATTCGTCTTCAAATATTTTGGCTGACCATTTCAGCCCTCCCCTTCGCAGCAGGAAGCTGAAACAAGACATACCCTGGTGACCGAGCCATCAGCTCGACTTATTGGAATCTATCGACGTGTATGGGAGTCATGCGTGTCCAAACACATCGATGGCCAGAAACTAGAGCAGAACAACCTTGTTTTAAAGGAAGTTGGTGCGCAACTGAGAAAAGAGAGGGACCTTCTTCAGCTTCGCCACGACAAGCAGCTATCCCGGCTGCGAGTTTTCGAACAGGCATTGGAATTATCCCGGGAGAGGCTGAGTAGCGTAATCGATGGCTGGAATCACCCTTCGAGACTCAATCTGGCAGGGCTACCGGACATTGCAAGAGAAGGATGAAGGACTGTCTATTCGAGGCGATGTACCCTATTTTGTCAGCATAGAAATACCATAGTTGACTTTACGAATCAAGTAAAAATGCCGCTCGCAAAAGATCTTCGATTTCTAAGTACTTGCAAAATCTAGAATGTGGAATAGCTTCTGCTTCAATTTATGCTCACTGAAAAGTATTGAAAAAAACGGCATGTTCTGGACCAATCTCACGTGTAGTTACCCAAAATGTTATGCACAAAAAATCTCGGATCAAGGGATACCGTCGTGGATAGCGCGACTAGCGAAGGAAGTCTCAAGTGACCGGAATGTGGTAGGGGTTCCATACGAGGCCACAGGGACAGTCGGAAGTTAGTGCCTATTGCACCAAAATCATGCCAGGAGATCGTGTCTAGCAACTATCCGCGTACCCGAACCTAACAGAAATTCACAGGCGGTTATATGGGCCTATAAAGAGAGATAATATTTTGAGAATTCTCTGGTTCAGGAAAGACCGTGGCCTAGTTGTGAACACTATATGTCGGAGTCCACAACAAGTCTTCGTTGTTGCCTGTATCATCCAAATCTTGGGCATTGGGAATGACTTCCTCAATCCCCGTGATCTCCTTGATCCCCAATAAACCCGAGTCAATGGCCGAGACCAAGGCATCAATATGTGTATCCCACACCTCGCACTTCCCTTTCTCGTACCCCCGAATGCAAAGATATTCCAGACTATCAGGGAGAGCCCCTGGTAGCAGAAATGGTTGTCTTGGCTCGTTATTTTCCCTGACACCCATGGCAAAATATACCAAAAAGCCGATGCCCACACTCAATTGCTTCAGGGCTCTGAATTCCCTCAGTGAGCAGCTATTACTCGAGATGGACCGGAGTACTTGGCGTTCATCCTCATCCCCCTCATCATCACTTGGGAGCGCGTCTTTATCAATTTCCACGTCAACCCGACCCTGATCAAAAAAGGGTGGGCAGAAATAGACCATCTCATGCTCGGCGTCGATGTCCAGGACTTCCAATGTGTCTTTGTGCGGACAAATTGATTGGATGAAGGTCTTGGCATTGAACGGCGTGCTCCAACCTCCTAAAATGCACCGGCCACCGATGGTGTAGTGAAATTCTCGCAGTACTTTGCAGGACTGAGCGAGAGAGATAAGAAACTTGGTTGGGAGGGAAGAGTGATGGATATGGATTCTGCTAATATTGGACGATCTGGGCTCGAGTAATACGCGCGCGTAGCATTCGTCATCATCGCAGAGGGCATCGGTGCTCAGGGATTCAATAGATGGGAGGCGGTCGAAAAAGGTTGTGCATTCCAGGAAATCGATGGCCATGTAATAATGGCCATGCGAGTGTCTATCGTCGACTATCATGTACACCTTGCGAAGATTTTGAAGGTATGGAGTATTCGCCGGGTTTGCGTTGGCCCGACGGAGAAGTTCTTTGAGGGGGAAATGAACCTTATCCTCTTCTGGTATCTCGCTACCCCTGTCAAATCCAGGAAATAGACTGAAAGGTTGTGTCATCACTAGGGACTCCAGATTGGGTGACACTGAGATGAGAATCGCGGCCAACGCCTGCGCAATGAAGGTCCCATGAATGTGACCATGGCTGCTCGTCTGGTGAGCCAGGCTAAGCAACTAATAAGGGGTTGATTTTCTTACTTGGATCCATAAGCGGTTTTTGGAAATCCAACAGGATTCCTAGGAATGGTTTGGCCTGGAGGGTCCGTGCTGTTTTGCATGAGCATGTTGAGCACCGCGCTTTCTTGGGCGCCGGCAAAACCTGCGTTCTGCACAGCCGCGTGGAGCAGAGCCCTATCGCCCGCACTGAGCTTCCGCTGCTCTGCCGTCTGGACGTAGTGGCGCTCCTTGCTGGGCTGTCTAGTCTGCACGATCTCCCGTACATAGTTTCCCAGCTTAGGGCTCTTGAGGATCTCCATCACGAGGTCGAACGTCTTGTTGATGCTGTGGTCTTCCGGGCCGACACGGATCTGGTAGCACCGCTCGCGTGTTTTCATATCGCACAGGCGATGGATTGACCGGCATGACTGCCCCTGCCACAGAGCGGCCAGATCTCTAATCAATGATACACGAGGAATGACCATCCCTTGTATCCCGAGAGGGAGGGTCAGAAAAACCATATTGGAGATGTAGGATGATCCCGCGTCGATCCGCGCCCCCAAAAACCTTGGCACCTTGGCATTCATCTGCTATATATTTATGCATTGTGACCGCACCAGACTACTTTCAAGTCCCGTATGAAGGTACAAAGAACCATCCAATCACTACGGAATCATCCGATCTGCAAACCAGGCTGTGAAAAATGGTAGGCGGCAAGATCAGCTGGCTCAGAACTTGGGCATACATTGCGTGTAGATGGAAGCAGCAGGACCCATGTAACTATGAGTCTCTAGGTGGAGCTGTTCGGGGCATTTACCTAGGTCGGAATTTATTTACACAAGACTGCCTAGGTACAGAATGACAAGGATACCGAGGTATATGGCCGCCGTAGCAGCGGCCCAAGCGGAAGAGTTTCTCTTACTTGTTCCAGTCGATCAAGCTTATAGTGGTCCGATAGGTGACGCTCAATAACAAGCCCGTACAGTGGAAGAGTTCCTTCTTTTTCCAATAAGACCTTCTTTTTCCAATAAGAGACTAATTGAATTAGAAAATGATACATTGCAAAGCGTCGCCTTTTCCCTGCAAACTATGCCGTCGCTCGAGGTTCTGTCAGCATGAGAACCCAGTAGTTCTCCTTTGCAAGCTCGGAGTTGTTTGTCCTTTCCGGCAGCTTTTCATTCTGACCAATCATATAACTATCGCTGGCACGGTATACAATACCTTGACACTCCGGATGAAGAGCACATATACCCAGCATTGCGCTGACTCTGAGCGACGATCCCAATCCTCCAATGGGCTTCTTGGGCTGGTATTCCCTACAGTGGACCCGGAGCCATTCGTGGGGCCCTGCCAAATCAACTTAGTAAAGCCGCAAAACCGTGCGCATAAGTATTCCCTTTAAATGATGCTGGAACTAATTCTGAAAGCGCATGATTGGCGGTTGATAATTCAAGAATATCGCATCATTGAACTTTTCCCCAAGACAAGGAAGTAAGCTCAATGGATTTGCGCCTCTGACACGGGGTGGGTTCAACCATCCACCTTGCTCGACCTGGCATCGGACCACTCTGCCCAAATGATTTCACAAACCCAGTGATCGCAGAGCCGACGAACATTCTGTTTATATAGACTCTCAGATGCCTCGCTTTCCCATGCCCCGCTTTCTCTAAGCCAGGGTTGGCAGACATCTCATATTAGAACACGCCATAATGAAATACTCATAGCTTTACCTTCGACCGGAAACAACGAAGATTGCCACTAGATCCCATTTCGGATAGGGTCTACTCGGAAGATCTTACTGAGAAGCAACCCTTTTAATTTAGGAAGAGCAGAGAGAAGAAAGATTTGCATTCAGATAGCTACTTGATGATCAGCCATATTCTCCATACGAGACCTTACCGATTTGCTCATTGTTAATTCAACTCGGTCCTTGCGTAACGAGAAACAGAAACCTGTTACCAGAGCTTACTTGCTGCCAGTAAATACCATTGATAGATACATAGTCTGAAAAAGGGATCTTGTGAACCAAAGATCATCTACTAGTAGACGGCTCTTGGAAAGCCAAATATAGTTTTCGTAGGTCCGAATCCCTCTGCAGCAACACTTCAGGTCTATCGCACTCCACAAGTTCCCCATGCTTGAGCAGAATCACCCGGTCGAACCAATGAATATAACGATGCCGATGTACCACCGATATGATAGTTTGCTGAGAGAATTCCTTCTCGATAATGTCCTGCATGATCGCCTCCGTTTCCCAATCGACGCTAACACAAGAAAATCATTAGTTTCTACCTCAATAAAAATCCAGAGATCCATAATTTAATAGAACGATATTAGCACATACCTGCTTGTAGCCTCATCCAAGATCAACAGAGAACTTTTCTTCACAAGGGCCCGAGACAAGGCAAGCAATTGCCTCTGTCCGACCGACCAGTCCGCAGTAGAGAACTCCATGTCCAAGCCCCCTTTGGCGCGAACTCGATCCCAGAGGCCCACCTTCTCAATGGCATGGACCAGTTCCGCATCGATCACGCACTGGCGAGGATCGAGATTGAAGCGGAGGGTGCCTGGCATAAAAAATGGGTCTTGGGGGACAACGTTGATGCGCGAGCGGATTGTGCTTCTCGGAATCTCGGTGAGGTTCCTGCCGTCTATTTCGATCCGTCCGGACTGAATGTCAAGCATCTGGAGCATCGCCATGATAAGTGATGTTTTTCCACTACCGGATTGTCCGCAAATGGCGATTTTCTCCCCCGGATTGATGGTCATGGTAAGACTTTTAAGGATCGAAGTAGTTGAGTGGCTGCCTAGCTTAGCTTTTGTACATATAACAAAGATAGCCCCACCAAAGTGAGATGATACATACTCATATCCAGCCGTAACGTCTGTGAATTTTACCTCACCATGGTATGGCCAGTCATGCGGCAGTTGAGGAGCAATTGAAGATGCCACACCGCGTTCTTCCGAGGGGGTATCTTCTATAAAGCGCTGGACGCGCGTGACGGCCCCGATAGAGGTTTCAGTCATGGTCCACATCTTAAGGGCATTTGCTAAGGTTTGATTTAGTGTCAGTAAAATGTTGAGTGCAACTCCAATGGATGCTGCATTAAATCGATCTTTTAGAGATGTGACCATGGCGATCAGAATGACTGCGATCGCCCCAACAGTCAAATCCAAAACCAGAATGAGCCATTGCTGGATACTGTAAAGCATGTATACCGGTCGCTGCGATCGGTTTAATAGGGAGTGGCTTTTCTCTCGCAGCTGGAGCCCCCAGTTGAAGGCTCGGATGCTTGATATGCCGTGGATGGTCTCGAGAAAGTGTGTGTAGAGAGGTGCTTTGGCCTCGATGTCTAGCAATCGGACCTGTCGGGATGTGCGCAGATAATATGACTGAATGAAGAATAGAACCACACCCAAGAGTGGGACCGAGGCTGCCAGGTATCTACCAATGGCACAGATGATAATAATGTTGATAAAAACATGAACGACATCTGCCGAGTGTGTAAGCCCCAGCATCTTGATATCGGGGAAGGGTTAATACTAGTTACGCAGTTGACAGCATATATCGGTAGCATCATATCAATAAGTTCCAAATCTTGACTGAACCTATTTCAGATGTATCAGAAACAACGGAGGCAGAAGATTGTGAAATTATCAATACCTATTCGTTATTGAACCCGTGTCCACACTTTGGTAGAAGCTAATCGATGCCCTGCAATAGTAAATATAAGTATGACAATGTATGGATGTTGGACTATGATAGCTCACCTAAGCGCTGTTTTGAGAAGATCGGAATGCAAATTCAGCGCAGTATTGTTAAGGGCTGGAACAAAAAGCAACCTGCGATCTCCGGTCAGCTCTGAAAACAAATCGCATCTAAGACACGTACCAGCAGCCAGTTACGAGACTCAGAAATGCCAACCCAAATACCAATCCGTAAACACCGAGATACATTCCCAGCTGCTTGTTAGGTTGCTCTTCATTTGCCTCAACCCACCATTGAATCCATAATGCTAGAAGAAGTTAGTTTTTCTTTCTTCAAACCAATGTGACTCAAAACCAGACAGACTTTGAAAGCTGGAGCAGAACGCCTCAATAATAGTGAAGGCCAAAAAGGAGACCAAAATTCCGTATCCTGCGCTCCGAAAGTAGTATGTGTACACGCGCCAATTTCCGTTCCGTTTAACACGCATGGCCTTTTTATTGTCGGCTGTTTGCACAGCATCGCTGGTATGATCTTTGTTTTCGACAACCGTGAGGTGGAAGTTTGACTTCTCCACCGTTACAAGAGGAGGATTCGCCGCTGGCTTCTGAACCTTTGAGACAATCCCTGGTTTCCTAGATTGTATCTCACTGTATGACCCCGAATCTGTGATCTTTCTCTCGTTCATAGTCACAATTGTATCTGCATGGAGTAGCAACTGATCTATAAGTTGTCTTAGAGCTGGTCCTTGATCGCATCGCAACAGGGATTACCCGCCCTCAGGGCATCTCAAGACGTACCTGTACTCATAGCGAGAATAACCGATATCCCCGATTTTTTAAAGTGGCCGTCTTTGCCTAAAAGCCGGTTCGAGATAAAAGCAATACTCGTTGAGTCGAGCCCGCTGAACACATTGTCCAGGATCACAACGTCAAGCTTAGAGTAGACTGCCCGGGCTAGCGCCTAGAGATAAGAAGAGAGGACTCATCAATACGTGCAAAGATAGTTGCATGTTATGCAGAATGACTCACAATTCGCTGCTTTTGGCCTCCACTAAGTGAGATGCCGCCGCTTCCAGCTAGATGCATGTCACCTTCCACAAGAGCCCTGAGGTCCTGTTGCAGGCCACAAGCCTCGCATGTGAAGTCATACCATGCTTGGTCAAATTCCAGGAATCCGATGATATTGGCCCGGATGGTATTATTCGTGATCCACGGGATCTGTGGACAATAGGCCGCTCTTGAGAATGAGGCTGTTCTGGAACCATCTTTAACCATGTGTTGACTGAGGATGCTCTCAATCAGAGTTGACTTCCCACATCCAACAGGACCGACGATCATCGTAATGCCATGATGAATATTGAGGGTCAGATGGCGGAGCACGGGATCTTTGTCTGAGGACCATGCTATGTCCGCATCTTGGAATGAGATCAAAAATGGACAAAACTTTTCAGATGACGGGACAGGCTGAGCCTCGTCTTCGTATTTTGCGGATGAAGGGGTGCATTTCGCACAATATGCTTCAATCCGGTCAAAGCAAGCGATAGCCTGCCATAGTGCGGGCATGACTTGGCAAAATATGAGCAGGGGATTTGTGAGAAGAGAAATCAAAGCGAGGGATGTGAATGCCTGAGTAGAGAGAATTGACCCATCGTGTCGCACAACAGATATTATTGCGTAGATTGTGAACGTAGCGAAGGGAGCGAAGACAACAGGCACGTTCGCTGAATTCAACGTCAGTTCATGTCCGAGTGGCCCTCTCATGCGTTTCGGGTACTCACAGAGCGCAATCTGCCATATCAACAACTTCCGGAAAGTGACTGAAGTTTTCACTTCGATTTCACGCAGACGTGACACCAGCGGTAAAATGACATCGCCAAGCCCGAGCATTTGTACAGCCTTCATGCTGCCTAACGTGTTTGCTGTCACTTCCAGTCGCTTTTGTACTCTCTCGATCCATTGTTTTTGCGCCTGTCCAGATAGGCTTGACACTGGAACCATTCCTGCCACGGATGCTGCAGATAAAGCTTCTTAGCAATTTCTCTTGGACCAATATATCTGTCAAAATCAGATGAGGGAATTATTACCCAGTGAGGTGACAAGAGGTATAAAGCAGGCAAGCCCGATCTCGCGCTCTAATAACCAAATCGCGATCCCCACCTCTATAATAGACGCCCATGCCTCATGCAAGTTTTTCAAGTTAGCCACTATCCGTTCAACATCGGTACCCATCAATGTAATAGCTGCGGAATCAGTCAAATCAGCCGCAGTCATGTCGATAGTCTGGTCATAGATCATAGAAATAAGACCAGATCGCATCATGGTGAGTAAACGGTATGTCTGGCGCCAGTATGCGGCTTTGGATATCTTTTTGCGACCGTTAGCGAGACATGCTATATTCGCAGTGCTGAATGCATACCTACCGCCAACCCCAGATATACTAGAATATACGCACCTATGAGTCCAGTTCCGTAAAACTTAGGCTCTGACGCTGATGAGTCTCCGATATATTTCAGAGTTGCTGTAATCAGAAAAGGCTGCGTAAAGGTAAAGCAACTGTAGGCCAGGCGTGGGGGGATCGCGGAGACATAAGCCCATCCGTATGCGCGAAACACAGCTTTGACTAAGCGATAATGACCGTTTTGGCTTGCAAAGTCCCAAGACTGTCGAAGTTTACCGCCAGAGCATTGCCCTTGAAGATTCGTGTCAACTTCCGGAAAATTCTCGACTTCGAGAGCTTCTTTATACCCTTTCTGGAGGAATGGCAGTACCCAGATAAAGAAGCTTCGGCTCCAAAACCCGACCTTTCCTTCATCGGTACTGCTATAGTGGCGAGAGTTCAGAATATTAATTTTTGGAACAGACTCAAGGGCTACGACCGCCACCGTCAAAAGGAAGCTGGCTAGCGAGAGATATCGACAGACTTCAACGGATGGTATTTGCCATAGTGAGCGCAGCTGAGGCAGTCTGCAAATGCTAGACGCCGAGAAATAGAGCACGAGGAGATCCGAGGGTCTCACAGATCGCTGGTCCTCTACGAAGGAGGCGTATGACGCTGCAAATGTTGCTATGATGTTGAGTATGACTGCTAGCAAGGAAGCCCGGGTATGAAGCGCCGATTTTTGGGCTTGAAAAGCCGCAAACAGAACCTGGAGAACAAATAACACGGCGATAAGGCACTGCTTGAGATCAGCCACAGTCGGGGAAGGTATAAGGAGGGACCTTTACTAGCTTGCAGACCGCTAATCTGTATGAGGTGATTTTGACCGGTTCGTGCCGAAGAAACCAAAGCCGTATGGGTAAAAGTATTAAGAGAACTGCGGCTGGCAGAGATGTGAAAAATATGTCTTCAAATAAGAGCGTAAAGTCAAAGGCACGACAATCGATGCTGACGCGAGGGCCGAGGCGATTGTCGGACAAGCACAAGCTGGTTTCCATTAATACTTTGCGAGGTATATTGTGTGTCCGAGTAAATTTGATTGCATTCGAGGAAGATTACTTAATTCCATGGGATACAGCGCCGACTTATATATAGCTACCTCAAGGACTGACTCGGAGCAACCGCAATCAATTGCCTATTTAGGAAAGATCTGTTGTTGAACTCCGAAAAATGCAAACCCTCTTTATTCCGATCAAACACTTTTATCGATGTAATAACTTAGCCTTAGACATAAGGTCTTTTGAGTCTAGACCTCGCCAAAAGGTCGCTTACATAGCACCTTTCCTGTCTGCAGGTTTTGTCAAGGCCTATATTCAGCGACTATGTTTTCTCCGAGATTTCTTGTATTTACTATGCACGCTAAATCGGGAGGCCCACAGCATGATTGTGTCAGAGAAGTTGGCGATGTCGATATTCACAGCGGCCCTTCCACCATATACAGCTATGTACACAATGATCAAGGAGTTCGGAAAAAGGCACGCATTATATACAGGATTAATTCCCCACAAAATCCGCATGAATAGTAATGCTCACCGCGCGGCGAAAGAGATCAGAGAATAAATTATAGAAAATTTTCAGCCTCCCAATTCTTACGAGGTCTGCCCTTGCTCGTGATGATGTTCGTGCTCATGTCCATCTTTGACTTCATTAATTCCTGAACTCATCATCACGGGCACCTCCAAAAGCTGTTTGTGAAACATCGTCGGGTTCATAACCAGTCGCCTGCAATGCCGCGCATGAGCGACACTATCGAACCTCCGTTCCATTACCACCCCCGTTTCCCTCATTCGTATATACTTTTCCCAGTAGAACATGCAGTGTGCAATATGCCAGTCTCTCAGGCTCCAGAAGCTACCTTTGCTGTCTCCAAGAAGTGCAATCTGTGCCTTTCCAATCGGGATGGTCCCATTTGCATCTGCATAGTAGGGCCATGACCCATCGGAGTTCGGACCCGATCGGTCGAACTCCACCGTCAGTTCGTCGTCCCGGCAGTGAGGGGGTAACCAAGCTGTAGCCAGTGAATCGTACACACAATGCTTAGAAAGAGCTTCTTGGACGCTGCTCCCACAGTCACACAGGTTCATTATAGGTCCCAGGGTTTCGGGTCTGTATACGTCGGCTTTGGGTGAAGGCAGTCCAATCAGGTGAAAAACTTGAAGGCAGATGGACATGAATCCCCAAGAAGCTAGGAGAACTGTTGTAATTCGGGTTGCCGCACTCAAGCATCGGCTGTGGCGTCGGTCGGAATGGTACAGCGGCAGTTGATCGGTAGGATTGATACATTCTTCGTCACCAGTGATGTTGGCAGAGGGAGGTCTGCCCTTAGGAAGAAAAGGCATCTCCATCAAGTCCATCTGAAATGGTACGGGGCACAACGTGTTTATAACCGCGAGAAGGCGATTGGATCGCTGTGGTTACATCAAGTTCTGTCCCAAGGATAGACTATTATCAAGGGCAACAGCAAGCAAGGTTTCGAAGCCAAAAAACAAACAAACAGAAAAACACTTTGGTTTTGTGCAAGAGTTCTGAATATAGTGGCAATCAGCAATGAGCGCGATAATGCGTCGTTCTTAAGGGTTCTCACTGCTCAAAGCTTCTGTGGCACACTCACCTAGGAATGCTTCTCTTTCACTGGGATCAGGCTTGGAATCTTGACCAGAATAACGTAATGGGAAGGGGCGTTGTGCAGGTCAATTTTATCACTACTGATAAAGTGATGAGGGGAATACTTTGGCTAGCAGCTCGCTCTGTGTATGCAATATGGCAAAGCATGGACCCACCCTCTTTCCAAACAGACACAGTAGCGCCCTAGTGGATCTAAGGGACTACCCTTGCAAATCGTGAGATCTTAAGTTAGCGCGAGATAAGGGGGTATGAGCAAGGTTTTACTGATGGCGAGCCTTCAAGTAAACCGTAAGCTTATATCTCTCTCAGATGAAAAGGTACTACTTCCCTAAGCCCGGTGTGTGTATCCTGTTTTAAAAAGAACCTGTGATATACCCATGCAGCTGACTGCAGGAGACATCTGTAAGCATTAGACCCGAATTATCCTAGTGTGGATGTCCACTGCATGCACATGCAGATAATCGCAGATAAGCACTATGCCGGAAGAGTGACCTTAGTTCGATCCGAAAGCCAGCAAGTCAGTCCATTGTTTCTTTTTCAGGAATAACTCTCAGGTGATGAAGAGACGAATGGAATAGATTTGATGTACTCCGCAGCCAGAAATGGCAAATTCGGGATTTACTGCGCTTACAGCAGCATGCATTTGATGAAAAATTTGGAGCAGGGTGCTTTGGTGGAATTGAGTATCTACATAGTGCTTCTTGCCAGACCGTTTTAGATATGGCCAACAATTTTCACCACTGGCATAAGGCTTTATTATGCGCCAACAGCTCAGCATTTACTCGACCATAGAATACAGAAATTCGGGAGTTGTGATGACACGACTTACAAAAGAAAATAGACGAGTGGGAGTTTCTTGACAAAAGGAAAAAAAACCTCTTTACTAGATCTCTGAGAGTGGGCAGGAAGTATCAACTTGACGACACGATAGGAAATTCATTCTGGCTAGACCTGGCTGTGACCCTCCGCCCGCCCCTCATGATGGGAGGGTCGGACCTCTACGAGCCTGGGCCTGACTGTGACTCTCTGCGGTTCGTTGAGGGTCCCCCATTATGACCGACAGCAAGCCGCATATACAACGCCTTACCTATTCAGGACAACGCTTTAGTTATTGTAGACACTAATCAATCTGGAGCAAAAGAATCACGTGGAAAAGTGATGCTTTTTACCTATTTGTCTTTTTTATGGACTCTCAGTGTCACCAAAGGGTCACAGCCAGGTCTAGGGAGGCGGCTCGCTTGGATGACCCGCTCGCTTTTGAATTACGTTGACTTGTATCATAAATCTCAACAGAGTTATCAGTGTCGGATATCTTAGATTCAAAGTTCTCGAACGATAGTTTTAGGTAGTCTAGTGAGAATGTCCACCATTCCCGACCTCCAGAGTATGATCACCTAAAGCGATTCCAATTGTGTCCGCCTTCTCTCCGGTATAAGGGTCGCCTAAATCAGGAAATTAGCATTTTCAGCACCCAGAGTCATGCCTCATAAGTATTCTTACCGTAAATAGGATGCACGAGTAGGCCTTGCTCGAAGGCGTCGAAAGAATGTTCTGCCATCCAGTGCTCGAGGGGCTCCCATTTGACACATTGATGTTTTGCTTTATCAACCGCCAAAGGGTGTTTTTGTCTTATTTGAAATATTAGCATCGGCGGCATAGGGTGACCTGTGATAATGTCTTACCCAGCTCCCCAGTAGAAGGGGATGACTGTAGTATCGGCGTTGCATTGTACATATTGCCTCAACCAATCAACACAGTGTTCTGAGTTTGAATCGGTAAGCATCAACTCCTCGAGAACAATGCTCAGTTTTAGCTGCTCCGGCCTCACTCACCAGTATGGTACAAAAGGCGCGCGTCATCTTCTTCAGTCATGTTAGGGTAGTAAGAATCCCGATGAATGTAGTGATGGAATCTCTTCAGGCAATGCAGCCCATGAAACACCGCTAACGTAGCAAAATAACCAGATCCATCGGCAAGTTGGATGACGTTGTCATCATGGGCGAATGGGCCAAGTTCATCTCTCTGAAGACGAATATTTTGGTCTACAAAGATAGTTAGCGGAGCTGGGCTTCTCGAGAGGTCATCAAAGGATTGACAGCGTCCGTACGTTGCATGATGCTCTTCCAATCTTCGGCAAGCTGGGGTGTCGGCTTTCCGTTGAAGTGTCCTGGTTTTTCAGGATTCAAGGTTCCATTGGGCAGATACACAGGTAGCAAATCTAGTTGTTGCCCCTCATATCTGATAACATCGCGAGCAGGCGCTGTTGGGTAGGTGTTAGCTCTGTGTTAGATAAAGTCACGACTTCCCTCTCAAGAACACTCACTCTCTTCGAAAAATGGGTAATGGGAGTATTGAAGATTAAGCCAGGTGTAAAACAAGAAACCTAATATCACGTTCAGCGATAATAAGAGAGCGTTCACGCAGATAGCGATTTTGTGTCGCTCGAGCCAGGAACCATTGCGGTGCTTGAAAGTGAAGCTGTCTAAGCCATCGTCTTCCAAGCGAGTTTCATCACCGCCGTGAAGCAAAGATTCCACGGAGGCATTATTCTCAGGATTCAGACTCGAATACTTCTCCATTGAGACCTAGGTCGAGTGGTGCTAGCAGCTTGACTTCCATTCAATGATATAAGAAGTGAATAAATCAAAAATGGAATCCAAAAGTTGTTACGATTGTCAATAATCTCATGGCCATAATAATCATACTGGTGGGTAATATAGGACCGAAGCTCTGATCAGGCCAATGGAATGCTATTCGTAAGCTTACGTGCAGGGAAAGGCATAATACACTCGCTGACATGCGCTATAGACAGGGGACAGCGGGCTCTGGGCTAGCGAAGGCTACATGTGACTGAGCAATTTCAGCTAAGTTAATTGGTGCATCAATGGCACTTGTATAATGCCCCACATTGTATGGGCGAATAAGAAATGAGAAAGTAAGCATGCATAGAAGCACGAAATAGGTATGCGCAATACCCTAAATATGCATCCAAGCTCGGTGTCTGGATCGAGTCCATGAGAGGGTAAACCCTGGCGCGAGATACTGGACATCTACACCATGAAAATCCTGTCATCACCTGCCTTTTCCTGGTGTTCACGGTTTTAATAATAATATAGGGCTGGGAAAAAGGGCCAGAGACAGAAATATAAAAGCTGGCAATGTTGCCCATTTGTTACATCCACACATCAGCTTTGACAAACATCTTGTTTCAACATATCAGTTCCAAATCCTGAAGTCCTTCGCCAACCTGATTTTGAATCAAGATCACTCTCTAAGATGCATCTTGCCAGCACTATCTACATCGCCTGTGCTTGGGCTATTGGAGCACAGGGGCTCGTTGTACACTCTCGTGGGGAAGCCGATGAAGCATGGAACATCAACAAGCGCGCCGAGGCTGACGAGGCCTGGAATATCAACAAGCGCGCCGAGGCCGATGAGGCCTGGAATATCAACAAGCGCGCCGAGGCCGATGAGGCCTGGAATATCAACAAGCGCGCCGAGGCCGATGAGGCCTGGAATATCAACAAGCGCGCCGAAGCTGACGAGGCTTGGAATATCAACAAGCGCGCCGAGGCCGATGAGGCCTGGAATATCAACAAGCGCGCCGAGGCCGATGAGGCCTGGAATATCAACAAGCGCGCCGAAGCTGACGAGGCCTGGAATATCAACAAGCGCGCGGAGGCCGATGAGGCTTGGAATATCAACAAGCGCATCGAAGCTGATGAGGCCTGGAATATCAGTCAGTATATCTACTCAATCCCTTGATCCAAGAATGTGCTAACCTTTGTAACTAGGTAAATGAGCACACAGTCAAGCAGCAAACTTTGATTGTGACATGTTTTGGGCGAACATGGATGATGATCAGAGTTTTCGAAGGGTTATGAAGCATCACTGTTGATACCTGAGCACATGAAGGCGGGTTTGATGTCGGTACTGCGAATATTGTTGGTGCTGTTGAAGAGTTCATATAGCCTTATGAATGCATATTGAACTGAATATCTCTTGATACCTTTCGTTAGCTGATGCGATGAGTCGTTCCTAATTTGCTTATTCGGTCGAAAATATTAGGGTACATGTAAAAACAATTCATTGCATGAAACCTCGAAAGCGATCGAGGGTTCTGTTCTGTAGAAGCAGTGCCTTGTTGCTGTTGTTGTAGGAAGCCTAATTCTGATGTGCGTTTCAATACCCATCTTTTGAACAAGATCAGATCTTGCTTAGAGATGGTATATACTGGACTAAAGATGGTTGTTGTGTAGAAGTCAGGTGAAATTTAACAAAGGGTCCTGAGTCCAGTGGATATTGTCAAACCACGCTATGAAATCAAAATTACCGTCCAAATCACAACCGTCGTACCAATCTTTACATAAATTAATATCCGGAGTCAAGGGAGCCGGCTGGGGATATTCGGGGGAAAGAATTCGATCGAGTGGCCGTGGACACTTCCTAGTGCCCATGGACGGGCGATGTCGCAGTCTAGTCCCAGGCTAGCATGATTCTGCTTAGTATTTCCTATTTCGGCTGCATAATACTGCTGACTGTGCAGATAAAATACTGTTATTTATATATGTATCGGTGTCGTCACTTTTATTATTAAATAATATAGCATCATATAGTATAAGGGAAGTTAATATATTATTCAAGTCTTTATTATAAAATCATATGTTAAGGAACCACTTAGAATATAGAAGTGTGGTGGCTTATAGATGAAGGAAATGTGAAGGGTCGAAGTTAAATTGATTCAATACTAACTAGGAATGAAACAAGCGGGACAGTAATAGAGGTGACAGGCAAGGCGGTGGCAGAACGGAAGCGTGCAAGAGTGGAAGGCTATATGGCAGGGCCATATAGTAGGAAGCGGGTCTAACCCGTTACAATAATATGATATACTATTTTTAGCCGAAAGTCGTTCTAAGATAATTCTCTGACTATAAGTAGAATACCTATAACGCATTAAATTTCCTATTTTGGGGAAATCCAACCGGAACTCCGATTGGACAGTGAAACAACACCGCTAGTGCCAGCGGTCATGGATGTGGCCAACGGCCTTCGCTAAGCCCTGCCTCAGCACTGCAACATCATTGGAAGGATCAAATTAGCACTTCACGAATCAATTTCCACTACGGTAGCCTTGACAGCTAGTCTCGTATTCATCTTGTGCATTCCCTTGCGTCGAATTAGTGCCACACCCTAAATGTGACGGGAGCAGAGTCCCGATGAAGAAGTGCATTTGTACAAGGGGAACTAAACTGAGGACAGCAAGAGGGAAAGAAAGAGACATGAAGCTCGAGGAAGGTCAAGAAAAATTCCATCCTTCGCCACATGCTTTCATGCCAGTTCTATCGTTCCTTATCCTGTCACAAAATATGGCTGACGTGGCACCGAAAAGAGACCTGCAGTTAGATCGGCACCAATGGAGTAATTCATTGAGGGGTTCTTAACAAACACAGGAGGTGAGATAGCGGGCTCAGGCTCTAGTCTTGTCAGGAGCTACTACTAACGAGCTATTGGCCTCCTGGTAAGAAGTACCTTTTACCCCTGTATGACGCTTAGATCAGGCTGGATGGCGGGCCGTCCCTCCTTGGGGTCCGTGTGCGATGAGGCGCGACCGGGTGGATTATTCCGTCCAATAGAGTACTGTCGACATAGCCTGTCTAGCGCCATCAAAGGATTAGAATGGCAAAGTCAAGGTTACATCAATTATAGGTCTCCTGCAAGTCTCTGGACCAGGAAGCAAACAAGATACCTAGGTACTGATAAATCACTCGCAGACCACAGCGATATCGGTGTTACATGCACCCTCTTCTTTAGGCCATACAGTGAGTGAGCCATTATGGTTACAATCATGGACTATCACACACGAAGAAGACTCCAAAATCGCATGGCGCAACAAAAGTTTCGTATGTAATATGCATTCTACAATTGGTTTGGAAACTAAATGAAAGATTTAGGGGAGCGGAGTAAGAAACAGAAGCATTCCCAGGCAATTCAACATCAGGACCACAGCTCTCCACCCGTTTTGAACTATTCCCCGAGTGATCAGATCGGCCATTATGGCGAGATTGCTACCACAGAGACCTGGACAGAAACCGCCGTACCGTCCTTGATTCCAGGGCCCCCGAGCTCTCATTTCTTCTCACACCAAAGCTCGACGCTCAATACCATTCCAGGGGAACTGTATACACCCCAACAATATCCCGAGCTCTCGGGCCTGAATAATGATCAGCCAAATTTCTCTAATCCCCCTGAAATGTTATTCTATCCAGAAACCCAGGTTCGCTCGTTTCCGACGTCCACATGTACACTGTTTTGTAGGAAAGAAATAACTAACGTTGGCGTTTGCAGGGCACGAATGGACTGTTAGAGCTCGACTTGACCCTTGCGGGACTAGCGACGGGTGGCTGTGGACAGAGAAAAGAACCGCCATCTGAACAAGAAACATCAAATCTAGTGTCAGCTGCGTTATTGCATACGCCGGAAATAGTATTGGATGGCAACCAGGACAGCATTTATTCCCCGCTTGACGATGATGGATGTGTAAATCTTCCCCTTTCTGTTTCACAAGGTCACCTTTACCTAAAACATTGGCTAATACATTTTGCAGCAGACTCCCGAGGATAGGATAAAAGATAATGCGCTGTTAGTACTGCAGATCCAGAAGGTTCACTTCGGGAAACAAGCACAGGAGCAGATGCGCAGGTTGATCTCAACATATGATCTAGGGGTTTTTCTCCAGATATTTCCCTCCGATCCTCATCTGAAGAAGGTGCTTGAGACCGCCAATGATATATTCTCTTCAACATGGAAGTAAATTGGGGATTTCATCAGCATCATAAGGCGTCATGCAATATAACAGGTCGCGGAAGCTAAACATCAGGCTCAGCGGACAGCCTAAATCATAGCACCATAAAGCAATACTATATACGTACAACATACCCCATATAATGGATCGCTTTGCGGAACTTCCAGTTTTGTATCTAGCAACCGAGATTGTAAGATGATGTCCAGCCGCTCTAACAAATTGATCCATTCGCGTCTTATTATTAAATCAGACTTTGTTTAGGTTTCGTATAGGAGAATTGTGAGAATTCTGTGGAATTGGATGACCCTGAAGCCCCAAAGTTCTTGCGACAGGATGCTGAATGCACTACGCACGAGAGTAGGGATCAATGTTCAATGTAATGATATTGGTGGTGATTATGGTTGAGTTGTTGATTGGTTGGAGAGAGAGAGCTAGCTACTGAGGGTGACAGATGGTGCATCAGGTGATGCAAACCCATCAAACAAGAGAATGGGCCATGACTGCTCATCACTGGGTGAAATCCACGGGATGGAGCTCCCTGCCACAGGACATAGTGGGCTCCCAGCCATCACAAACTCGTGTTGAAGCGCTTGGATGTTGGTCGAGGAAATGAATGGACAAATATCAGCACTAGGCCGATAAAAGAGGTTCCTGCTCCTCGTCGTTGTTTCCCCGAGCCGGCGGTCCAAGCTGAATTTGACAGATGGCAGCGACGGCCATGACGAAGAAGAGTGATGCCTGTAGAAACGGCAGTCCCATCCAGGCATTTCCGAGATGCATACCCAGCCGAAACAGATTGGTGAACAGTGGACCTGCGACAAGCACACCGACTGACTGTGCGATGGCTGACAGAATACAAAGTGCCGACATGGTCGGGTAGTACAATTGCTGTGGCCAGACTGCGAGTAGTTATCCGGAATGATGAGCCAATTGACAGGATAATCTGGCCGCCAACTAAGATGGCTGGTGTCGGGGCGAGGAAGATGGCCCCGAAACCGATGATTGAAAAGTTTCTCGCTTCCACTTTAACATAAAGCTAGTAAAGTGACTATAAGCCGAATTTTAAGACGGAACTTTTTATATGATTCAATATAAAACCCTACGAAAAGTTTTAGAAGCTCGGGAGTCGGAATAGGTAGGTTAGGAAAATCCGGGTCTATAGACTCATTACGAGAAATCCTCTATCTACTAATAATTAGGAACTAAGATCGGTGAAATATAAGTTAAACTTATAGAGCCTAATTGCTAACTATATAGTAATTGAGTATCGACTGTGCAGAGTAATGGGCTCAAGTACGGCCGAGCGGACGGGAAGCCCTGTTTTCCACACCCTGTGGTCGTATGTACTGTGTTATGTGTATATGGGGATCATACAATGTATGTGGATAGTGTGATGGAATAAGTGCACTATATAACGTATTTCACCACCCAGTGGTCCCTCTCAAAACACATGGTAAAAGCGATAAATTACAACATGATATTGCAACAATGGTTATCTATATAAGCTTTCTCTTATAGCCTAATGCTCTTTATATGGTGCCTAGCCACTTATTAGAGTTTAGGGGAACTTAGTAAATTAGTGACTGAGATATATATATTTCTGGAGTTCAGCGATGTGTTTTCGATACCATAATAATGCAAGTTCTCAATTTATTCAACATTGATACATGATACTAAAAATGCCTATCAATTGCCGTTGGCGAGTAATTAAATCAAATAGGAGCGTTGGTTAGTGAGATAGAAATGAGGAATTCATCGTTTTTACTATGTGTTTCAGGGTGGACCACTCGGTGAACTACGTTAATATTGTCTTCTTTATCGCATTTAACATCATGCACCTATTTTCCTAGTAATATCGTACTATTTTGAAGGGATGCAACTGTCCCCTACTATGCCTTTATAATAACATGCAATTTCTTGATTAAATCATTGTGTTACTTCTTGCCATTACTCCCCCTATAGAGATTCCATTGCTTCTTTATAATTCCTAGGGATGCGGATTTGCTAGGATTTCAACCCCTTAGGGTGTAGGGGATAGTAATTCATATCACTAGCAGGGCATATCTTCTCCTATCGCATTAAATAGCGTCGAATCTCTCTGATAAATTCCTCTGTGTGCTAGAGGTTGTTAGTGGTAGTGGGAGGGGCGTAACCAGAAAATCCGTAGATGACGAAGCAGTTAGTGATGGTGTTGGCATATATCCTCTTGGGATAGCTGAATTATTTGTGTATTTAGGAGTAGCAATTTCATAAGATCTTTGATGTAAAAAGTATTAAATACCGGGACGATAAAGGCCTAGACAATTATGGTGATGATTCCGCAAATTAGGAACCCAAGGCCTCCGAGAAGCCATATCGATATAAACTAGAGAGCTACGCAGCCACGGTCTATTTCGCCACTTAGTCCTAGAGAACGTTCCAATAATGCCAAACAGTCCTTGTGATAGGACTGATTGTTTAGAACATCAATTCAAATCACATTGTGTCTTATCAAGCACATAAAATGGAGTTTTCATGATCTCTAGAAAGTGCGCTGATGGTGTTTGAGTTGGCTAGAAGATTCTATCCGATTTCCTCTACAACTTGGCTGCAGGTTCCAGTAAATGCCTCATCTCAGAGTTTGGGTACTCCACATTTTGGGACGAGTCAGGTCGCTGTCGATCCCATGCCCACTTTCCCATCAATTCTGGTGCCAATTCCCCCTCAAGCATCTGTGTGATGTACTTGCCAAGCACGGGGAAAAACTTGTATCCATGGAACGAACCACAAGTGGCGATGTATAGTCCTTTGGAGGCAGAGTGAGGCGAAATGATAAAGTCCGAGGTTGTGGTGAAAGCGTCCCTTTTTTTCTCAAGTGTTAAAAAGGTCAATCGTTGCGTTATCAGGGGGTCACTAACCAGCAGATGCGGTGCTTTGTCATCTCCCATCTTGCACTTTCGGGCCCATACCACAGATTCCTCGCCTCTACGATGTCTTGCTTGAGAGGTCCAGGAACCCTCCATTGGTTGTAGTCATGCGTGGGTGGAGGTGAAGAGATGTAATGCCCCGGAAGTACCTCTCGGGTGTTTGTAAAAATCTTAGATCCCCACCACTTCAGCTCTCGGTCTTTAGTAGGGGGAAGGGTGCCAATGAAGGGCTTCCCTATGAATTGTTAGTGGCATTGCATACCAATACACCGGGAAAGCGTACCTTCAGCGGGTGTGTAGCCCTGGAAGCCAACAGGCATGTCTTTAAACTTTTTGTATTGTTCCTCGTTGAGTTGTGCCATTCCGGTCGTAATGCCAGCCGCAAGAATGCGCTCTCCAGCTCGTAGCCCAGAGTTGCCGCTCTTCACAGCACTCCACTCCAGCAACGTCGGTGTGAAAGCCCCAGCAGCGACGATAACATGCGTGGCCGACAATGTCTTTCCAGCTCGTGTCTTTACACCGGTGCAAGACCCATGGCCATCGAATTCAAGGTTAGTAACAGATGCAGTGACATATGATACACCCAATTCTAAGCACCTTTTTGTCACTGCCCGAAGAGCGTCTCCGGCGGCAGCCCAACCACTAGCCCTATTCACAAGAACCTCCTTGACACCGGTGTAGTCAGCGTTATCAAAAATTCCTCCATAAAGCTTTCTAGCTTCAGCAACAGGGAGAGCAATAATATCATCATTGCGACCAAGTTCCTTGTGGTTTGTGATGACATTTTGCGCGTAGTCGCTGCGGCAATTCCAGTAAACCCCAGTCTGGTGAAAGTGTGGCTGCCAAAGAGGGTCGGATTTAAAAATCTCTTGAGCCTCTAGAGCAAGTCTACAGTAGACCTTGTCGTCGTAATCGGCACGGATAACCTTGTTCCAATCCCATGATGCAGCCACGCGCGACTCGGCATCATATGCATCTCGATCAACCAGAGTTATCGATGCATTAGGATACTTTTGGATGAGGTGGTAGGCGGTTGATACACCAAAGACACCCGCGCCGATAATAAGGTATGAGGGATTGCTCGAGGTCATTTCGAATAAGACCTTACAAATTTCAGAACGTGATTGACAGATGTGCTATTGAAATTGAAAATTCTCTTTTTCTCTCTTCGTGCGAATGCTAATATTTATCTACGAATCGAGAGTCATCTTGATTCCGATGGACGGTCCGTATCGGGCGGGGGAGCCGATCTAGCCGATCACATGAAGTCTACTACTACCCTAGATCTAGTCACATCTACTTTAAATTGAGCAATTGGAAAGCAAATAAGATATCAAATCATGCTAAGTAATGATTAACATACTTTTACAAATTTTTTAAAAAAAAATTCAATTACGATCAAAGGTCGGCCAACAAGAGAGGTGTAGGTTTCGATGCCGGTTCACGGTCCGTCCACGGTCCGTATCGGGTTGCCACTAGAACACCTGGAGAAACCACCAATAGGTTTGCACGGTTTGCAATCCGAATGCCGCAAGTTGGTATCATATAAAGTCATAATTCTAACATCTTAATGGCGGTGTGTTGTATACATTTAGTGTTGTTACGGTTACTGGAGAAGGGGAGGAAGAAGAAGAAGAAGAAGAAGAATAATTGTAGTTCAATCTAGCAAAGAGTAGGGTAATTATACGCTGTGTCTTACAAACAAGCTGCTCAGTCTGCAAGCAGACAATGGGAGATGAGATCATCCAACAAGTGTTATAATAATAATATATATGCCAAAGAAGCAAGTTCGACTTCGATTGAAAGAAAGGTAGAGAATAAACCAAGCTTCATCTTGGACTCTGGTATCCTCTTTGATTTCTACCTACAGTAGAATTATACAAACCATCTAAGTTTCATATATACTGGATTACTTTATAGGAAGCTGACCAATTTCAAGTGTACTCAGTAAAGCCTAACTAAGATCATATGACACCAAACGTCCTCCTCGACTTTATCCTAAGAGCAAAGCAAATTTTAGGCAGTCTCAGCCTCAATTGAATATTAACACAACACCAAAATAGCCGCTCGGCTTTCTATTGTGATTCATTTGTCCTATTTTCATGCCACTATAGCCCCAAGAACCCACGCAAGCTTTTCCAAAACTGCTCAGATATCTTTCGAAATAACCCAAATCTTCATTTATCATTCGTAAACGAGAATAGTCGGGAGCTTTCCCATTCAAATTACACTGTTGAATGGATATGCGCCTTGCCGCAGACTGAGTTGGTAGCTGCTGGTACCATGTTGGACGATGAAGATCCCATTCTTCAAGGAGCTGATCTAAATGACATTAACTCTTACCTCATAGGTAGAAATGGGGATCATAGGGTGGTCGTTTCTTGTTTACCCGTAGAGTAAACATGAAACTTTTTCGCTGTTACTGTGGTAAAAGACATGGTGCGCCGCTTCCCAAATCCAGAGAAATCCACGCATGGGAGATGTTGAAATTTGCCAAGGTCCAAATCTCACTTGATTAGCCTCGCTCATGCATGGGAGATGTCGCAATTTGCCAAGGTTCAAATCTCAGTCGATTAGCCTCGCTCACGCATGGGAGATGTCGCAATTTGCCAAGGTCCAAATCTCACTCGATTATCCTGGCGCTGAATAATCATTCTTCGGTGATATTTGACCACACTCTGTTAGTTCAACAGAAAATTGTTTACAGCCGATCATCGTTAATTGACCATATCTCTTATACAAAATCCGTTGTATGGAAGCTGAGTCAGCTGATTTTGGCCAATTAAGCTGCTTTAGAAAGTACCGTTGATCTCCACCTTTTAAACGCTCGAACCACCTCTTAGCAGCGCCCGCCCGAGATCAGCGGCGACTCAAGCCGTTCCTTTCGGGCTGAAGAGTATTAAATTGCATGTAAACCAATATATACGTGTCTTGTACCTACGGAGTCCGGGGGCTTTGACTTGGCGAACAATTTACTGAACTGTACCTTCTTTTCACTTTTCGAACCAACCTTAGAGGGGTCGTATGCAAGGAGATGGGGCTGTCAGGGGCCAAAGCATAACTCCTCCTTCCGTTGACGAATGCAAGTGCTTCTCGCTATGTGGAGGTTTTGAATTTATATGATTGAAGGATTCATAAATGTAAGAAACCCTTGCAGATCTGTTATCGGCTCGGCCCTCGTCCCTCTTTCGAACGTTTTCCCGCTCCTCAAACTAGACCGTGCCAACTCCCGTGGGACTCCGCTTGCGCTGCGACAATGCCCATTAAAGTGGAGACACCTTTGGCGCTGCCAAGACATTCGTTGGCTCTTGGCAGAGGGGATACTGCCAAGAGCTAGTTAAGTACATAAAATGGCCTATATATTAATTTTGTATAATGATAGGCGATGGGCCTCTAATTTCATAACGCCCACGGGCAATGGGCAATATCGCAGTCTATCGACGATAAGCCTAGTTGGTTAATGAAATTACCTAAATAGGTAGAGATATACAGTTTTGGCATTGATTTTGAGCGCCAAGACTTTCTCATGGGAGTGGGTCCATGGGAGTTCGCAAGGTCTAAGTTGTTACGTGCCAGTTCATTCAACGAGGAAAGAGTGCATTCAAACTAGGAAAGCAAAGAGAGGGAGAAAGGAGAGAAAGAAGAATCAAGTGGTAAATCCCAGAGGATCTCATAGCAGAAGCTATCCCAGCAAGCAAATAACATGTTTCTTAATTAGGAAGTAGGCGGCTATTACCCGAATACGAATAGTAGCAAACAAAGCATGTGATCAGTGATCACGTAGATCGTGACATAGGTACTAAATAGGGTGGTTAGTCGGGGTAAGATAAACTAAATTCTTGAAGTCTACATTATATAAAAATAATATAAACCCGGATTACTAACTTTAGGATGTCGTAAAGTTAACAAAAAGCACGATAGTAAGGGGGAAGAAGAGAAGGATAAAGGGGAGATATATTGAAAAGTATTAAGCTCACTATTATAGTATAATTAGACTGTGCCAAAACCCATTTCACAGCCATTCTATGCATGAAAGTGCATAAACGTGCCAAAACCTTCATAATTAGTACTATTTATACATATTTATGTATAAGAATGGGGTTAAAATGGCTTAAAATGGCTTATTAGCTTCTTGGCAATGCCAAGGGTGGCCTGTAAAATGGCTTTTGGCGCAGTGTAAGTATAATATATAAATCCTATAACTATAAAATCAAAATGCTTACTGATCCCGGCCCCAAACTTTCGCCTTTGCGGAAGCCTATACATCGGATAAATGAATTCATCATCATCAAATTCCATATATCAGCGCTAAAACCCCGACCACAACCAAGAATGATCTCCGGAGCACGACGGTGACTAGGCTGTATGGGATGAATTCTACTTCCTTCCACTCTTTCGCTCCTGTATTACTGTCGAGCCGCGTTGGCAATCTAAAATCAACAATTTTGGACCCATATTCGAGACGTGCGTCGCGTGGTCGAATCAGCTTGAAGATACAGACGGCTCATATCCATTTTATCGCGTCAATTTCCACCATTGAAACACATCATGGAGGACCTGCGCGGCTAAGAAGAGAGGCTACCAAGAGACTTAAACAGTCGTGGTTATCATTGTTAGCTGCGACGTCCAAAAACCAAACCTTGTCGCCGAGACCTATTCCGTTGTTTGTTTCCGTAAAGATCTGCAACTACAAGGGACTAGGTACTTCCGCATCCTTTATCACTTCTACTAGGTTCTTAAAGCCCCGAATTACTGAATATCCTACATGAAACACGTGCCTTCTTGCAGAAGCTCCCTAGCTAGGACCCTGAACCATCCATCGGACTCCGACGGGCGAAGAGTCGGAATTAATCTAAAATTTAGTTGCCAAGATTCACACTCCCACCTTCTCCATTAGCCTGCCCTGTGCGTATATTAAGTGTCTAAGCGGCTAGATAAGCCCTAAGCCCCGCAATCCCCCGGGATCACTTTATATGCTGATCACCTGGAACTGGGCTTGCTATAGGCTATCGCTATACTGCAGATCTTGCGCTGGCGATGGGAGTGTTACAATCGCGGATTGCTTGGTACCTTGGCATTGCGTCGGGTTAATTAATCGAAGAAAGATCGTTTCCTAAAGCGATGGCTTGCTCCGTTTAATCCACCCATTCTCCGTCAAGGTCCGGCATGTCTTATCACCAGAGTCTGAAGATGGAGATGGAGTTGAAGCCGGAAGACCGGCGGCGATGAGACTCTTCTCCATCTCTCAATATGTTATAAAAGGGACTCTTTGCTCCCGAGTTGAGGATTCTCATTAGCATCTTCATCAGTTTCATCATCTCATCTTCATCTTTATATCTTTTCTAACCACAATCATGGGTTTCCTCAAGGTCCTCGCCACCTCTCTTGCGACTCTGGCAGTCGCAAATGCTGGTAAGCTTCTTACCGTCAATGATGCCAGCTCGGTCGTTCCTAGCTCCTACATCGTTGTCATGAATGATGGCATTAGCACCGCGGATTTCGAAAACCACCGTGTTTGGGCTGCAGGTGTCCATGCTCGTGCCACGAGCCGCAAGCGTGGCGAGTCTGGACCAGGCAAGCATTTCGAAATCCATGGCCTGAAAGGATACACCGCTAGCTTCGACGATACTACCGTTAAGAGCATTGCCAATGACCCGGCGGTATGGCGCTCCATTACCCATGTTGATATCTTAAGAACGTGTTGAAATCTGACTCGCAGTGAAAATATAGGTCAAGTACATTGAGCCCGACATGATTGTGAACGCGACCAAGGACGTGGTTCAGGCCAATGCTCCTTCCTGGGGCCTCCCTCGCATCTCTAGCAAGACGCCCGATACTACCGACTATGTCTATGACTCCACTGCTGGTGAGGGCATCGTCGTCTACGGCGTCGACACCGGCATCGAAATTGACCACACCGACTTTGGTGGCCGCGCTGAGTGGGGCACCAACACTGCTGATAGTGATGACACTGACGGCAATGGCCATGGCACTCACACTGCGTCTACAATGGTGGGCACCAAGTACGGTGTTGCAAAGAAGGCTACCATCGTTGCTGTCAAGGTCCTTGATAGCCAGGGCTCTGGAAGTAACTCGGGAGTCATCTCTGGCATGGACTGGGCTGTTAAAGACGCAAAGTCCCGCGGCGTCACTGGAAAGGCTGTTATGAACATGTCTCTGGGTGGCTCCGTTTCTCAGGCTATGAATGACGCTGCCGAGAATGTCGTTAGCTCCGGTATCTTCCTCGCTGTTGCTGCCGGAAATGAATCCGAGGATGCGAAAAACAGCTCCCCTGCTTCTGCTCCCAATGCATGCACTGTCGCCGCTTCTACCAGCTCAGATGGCAGTGCTTCCTTCTCCAACTTCGGTTCCCTTGGTGAGCAATCCCCCCCCCCCCCCCCCCCTCCTTAGTGCGAAGCGTTCTTGTTAGTCGGGGAAACGTACTGACGGTATTACTACAGTTGACCTCTATGCTCCTGGTGAGGACATCACTGCTGCCTACATTGGTGGTGGCTCAGAAACCCTGTCTGGAACCTCTATGGCTGCTCCCCATGTTGCTGGTGCTGCCGCATACCTGATGGCTCTCGAGGATGTGTCCGCTGAGGACGCTTGCGCCCGTCTTGTCGAGCTTGCTATCGACTCTATCTCCAGCGCTCCCTCTGGCACTACTGGCAAGCTTCTGTTCAACGGTATCAGCGCATAAATGGCCACATATCGTGACGGATGATTACGGTGTGGCGCTGTGAGTGGTCTATGTATATCCTCTTGGGCGAGCTTGGCAAAGCCAACCCAAGCCATGTGTATGCGTCTTCAACGCTTGTTTGATTATCCGGCTTCGCATACTTTTATTTAGGTTTGCAGAGATAGTTTATACGTAACTGCGAGTTCATGGTTATGACAGATTTCCTACGTAACTATGATTATAATTAGTGTGTAAGAGTAGAATTCGCTGTAGACCCAACGATAGAGGTTCTCCCATACATATTGTTCTAGAGTGAATAATCTTTCCATAAACACTTTTGCGCCACTCATTCCACCAACGATGGATTCGACGGATATGGGTAGGCAAGATGCAGCTAATATCGGTTGTTCGATTCTATAGCAATGGACTATGCGTGGTTCTGAAAAATATTGTAGAAAGCAGTGATTGGTGTTTTCTTTTTCAATGAAATCATTTAACAGCTGTAGGGAACCATTTTGATCATCTAAGTTTTGCAAAGAAACTATGCTAACATGGACTGAGTAAGCAACACTCCAGCTGAAGTGGCCCCGAATTGCTATGAAACATAAGAGCGTATGGCTTCTGCAAGTCAGCCACAATAAAGCACAGGTGAAGCCAGCCTCCGTTCGCAGATCAATGCCGCTGACAAACCGGGACCTGAATTGTTTTGGTCCTTTTTTCACGTGTAAGCTGAACATTTAATCATTTATAGCGCCGATTCCGCGATTGGCCAAAATTGACACAAAAAGGCGCAAGCACACGGACCTCATTTACGCCACTTCCTGTAACTAAGAACACTATGCCAATTTGAGGTGATAAAGTCTACATTTGCTAGCAATTTGTGATTGGTGTGCATATCCCTGGGCTAGATCAATGCATGTCTAATTATGTCTTCCACTAAGAATCAGACTTTTATGAGCGTACGTGATATGATATGCGCCCCTTACGAGCAAGAAGCGGGGAAGGAGGATCATTAGCTGTTTAGGTAAGTTGCTTGGTTAGTAGACACTACGAAGCGTCTCATTTCCAAAATTCGTGCAGCACAACCATGAATCCACAATTTCCCGGAGCACTCTATAATGCTATAATAATAACCGTCAATGCAACGGGGGACAAGCTGTCTTTTCAAGTTATCCACCATGGTAGAGAACCTGTCCTCTGCTACATTAGTGCCAAAGATTTGCGTATCTTGCTCTAACAGCTAAGCTCAGACTGATCGCTGCCCCATGACCTGTTAAGCCCTCCAGGGTCGTCGAGAAGCTCGGTCTTCATTCAAACATACATCATGGCGTCCAGTTCACGTTCGAAAATAATTCATTAACCGTGAATATATTCAAACAACTTTGTATATCATACTGCGTGGTGTCTCTTTGGTGGGAAAAAAGTACATTGTTCAGGAAAATGCTAAAATAACGCCAGGAACACTGTATTAAAAAGCAGAGCAACTGTAATGGTCTAGAATGGTTAGTCTTGGAAGTGATTCCTACCTCAGAACATCTTCACTATCAAATCGCATGTTCAACCGCTGAAGGTGTTTACCATCGTGGAAAGTCACGATCCTTGTAATTCTCTTTCTACCTTGGCCAAACGCACACAGAACAAAAGTTGCAATAGTCTTACCCATTCTAGTACCCAGCAGAGCATCATACTCACGCCTGTGCGTCCAGATCTCCACGTCATTATTAGGGTATTGAAGTCCTTGAGATTTATACAACTCATCACGAACACATTGTACCGTGTCAGTCTCAGAGATGTCAGTCCCAAATGCATATCTCAGGGTTTCAATGGGAAAGTCCATCTCATAGGAAGCCTTGGTAAATTCCGATATGTGTGGAGCAGTGCTTCGCCTCGATCGGCGGATCCAGTCAAGGAACACTACCCCTTGTCCAGTGCGGCCTTCCCACCCCACCGGTGGGCCACGTCTATTCCCGATATGTATGTGATTAAGCTCATCCGATAGCTCAGTAGGGTAGATAAGATGGTCCCACGTGGGATCCAACCACCCATCTTGGTGGGCGATGGAATAGTCCCGATGTTGAGGCTTATATGTCTCAGCGAATGTGGATATAGGGTATGGGCACCCTGGTTCATGGTAACGATCAATTCATTTTCGTAGGCTTCGGCCTTTTTCTTCCCATGGAGAATACCAAGGCATTGTTAGTAGGGATTGGAAAGCGAGATTAAATGGGAGGAGAGAAAAAATCTGAATTAATACTCAGCAGCTTACGAATTTGATAGAGTTCAAAAGGATGCTGTCTGGTGTCTGGATTTATATATATGCAATCTCAAATCAGGAGCCCAGCAATGTCATTGTTACAATAAAGTCTAAGTAAAGGACGAGTATAAAGACAAAGTGAACAATAAACATGGGGACAAAGAAAAAATCTCCCACAATTGAAAAAGTTGTAAATAAAACATAGCACTCGTATTTATTAGAGCGATGTAGGTATTGAATCTCATTCTGGTTCTATTAAGATGCACCTCCGGAGGAAGGCTGTTTTGTGTCGGATCTGTCACGGTCTGCTAGCTCATACTTCTCCTGTCACATGCTATCACATGCTTCTCCCAGATTGTTTGTCGTTTGCTTCCTTTGTTCCTGAGCCTAATTGGGAAAGAGGTTGTTTGCTTTCGTGGGATAGCTTTGCTATAGGATCCCCCGGGATTTACCACTTGCTCCCCTTCTTCCCTCTGTATCTTTGATATTCTAGTTGGAATGCACTCTTTCTTCATTGATCGAACTGGCACGTAACAAAATCTATTTATTTTACAAGCGAACGCATAATTTTAACTAATATGTCTACGTAGAATTTACACCCACCAATTTATACTCTATATTCCTTTCTCATGAAAATTCTTACACATACGACCATAGGGTGTGGAAAACAGGGCTTCCCGTCCGCTCAGCCGTACTTAAGCCACACGCCGGTGAGTTAGTAGTTGGGTGGGTGACCACCAGCGAATCCTCACTGTTGTATGTTTTTATTTTTTTTTTATATCTAGATAACCTCTTGCCGCCCTACTCTTGAGCCCTCTCTATTTATGCCAAATTTTTATCACACTATTTAGCATACTCACGTGGCTATAGTCAATTTCAGAACAATAAAAGTGGGACAGGGCTTATGTTTTTTCAAGAAGCAATACATGCAATTGACAAGGGCAGTCCGGAAAAACTCCCAAAATAGACCAGTGTACGTTGGTGCCGGGGCCACGCTGTCAATTAAGGAATGCCCTTGGTAGAAGCTAACCCGCAACAATGATACTAGCATCTTCAGTGCCATTATCTGCCTTAGAATGAATTACATCCCTTCAACGAAATAATTTAGTCTAGATTTCATAGTGGCCATCTTTATCCATGTTTATTGGGAGTAATTCTGTACTTAAAAGCCCACCACCTATCCCTCATTCCCCGACATCTCATCAACCATCAGCTGCTCACTATCCTTCTTCCAGTCCTCATACGTCCGATACAAGTACTCCTGCGCCGCCGGGTGGTTGCGATAGTATGTTTCATGATTGATCTCACAAACGCTGTCCTCCTTCCCTTTGTGGTCGACACAGAACGGCCGATTACACAGAAGACATAACCGGGTTGGGAGGTTGTCTTTAAGATGTGGCTTCCTCAGTCGCATTCTGTTATGGACGTGGCAGGGTCCAGGATCAGGAATTTGGTTCTGGGGACTTTGTTAGCCTACTGGAGTAAAATATAGGTTAGTGCGAGGTAGAGAAACGTACCATTGTGTAATTTTCGATGGAGATTGTGTTGAATGGGTTTGAAGGTAGGGTCTTGGAGGAGCGAACAGTGGAAGATAGAAGACAAGGGTAAAAGAGAAAAGAGGGGGCTGCTTGATATCTAATTGAGGGGCAGTGATACCAGCTGGGTAGACTAAGGATAGGTGCTGCTGGACTACATGAGCTCAGACTCGACGCGTAAATTCCAGCAGTTCCAGTCCGGTCCTGCCGTAATTCATAAAGTAGGCCATTTATTTCTGTTCTTCTATATTTCTCGCGTAAGACAATGACAAGTCCTTCAGCTCGGGGACTACGGCGTCTGCACTGCCAATCTCGAAGCCCCTCGTCTACTCCACACAAAGAATTTCAACATCGTCCCAATAGATTTCCTCTACATCGAGGTAGAAGGAAGCCAAAGGAACGTCGCACTATTTGCCCACATCGACCGCAGCGAGCAGCGCGTTGACCCCCATTCTTCATGAGCTTAAACCCAACTACCTACGCACACTACTGCTCATTCGAGGTCCACGACTTCGACACACATAAGCTGGGTCACCAATGGCTCGCAACGAGAAATTATAAGTCTGCCTGGGACGCTGGTCGACATATTATCGGTAGCCAGATCTTCGACTACTGGTGGGATCAGACCTGGCTACGACCCTCCCCGCGGGTCTAAGCCAGGTCTACGCCTAAGGTCCACCGTGGACGGGCAGTGTCACAGTCTAGGTTAGATATCTCGACCTAGACCCGGGTTATGCGGAAGACTCCTAATCAGAGCCTCAGGCTATAAGGCTGGTTCAGGCTTCACACTATTATCTTTATAGTCTAGCCGATATTAAGCATCTATATAAGTGTAAAAGTCCTTCATCGGCCTTTAAGTCCCCCTCGCCCCCCCGTAAACAAAGCAACCTATTCGCTTATATAACTTAGTGCCATCAGCATTAGCGTTATCGACTTCAGTAACCGCTATCCCAGTTCCATACGAGTTATTATATGGCTCCTCGTCGTTAATGTATAGCAGCCAGGCTTTTCTGATATCTCGCGGCCTAGGACTGTCATCGAATTCCAAGCTCACTAGTCCACTTGACACTTTGCATCTAATATCCTCGGATTCGGGGTCCCCTAGGTCAACCCGCTCCGCGACACACTTAACAGTTAACCGGGCTGATTTGATCGCACCGTTGGGCAGGTCCTCGTGAACGGGGATCACCTCACACGAAACTACTTCGAATGAACCAACTCCTTTGCAATAATTGATCTCTGTCAATGCTTGGTAATAAACGGGATGGGCACGAGAAGCCCAGGACCACAACGGTGCAACGTACGATTTGCAGGCCGACCGTGGAGAGTAGCCGCCATTAGCTTTCCAGATGAGGCCCTTGGCTATTGTCGTGGACCAGAGTCCGGCCCAGTACATACCCTGGTCAAACAGGGTCTCCCACTCTGATACAATGCCCATGAGCACAGGCATCTTGTCCGCCTGATATGTAAAGGATCTCTGCGAAAATTGCTTGACAAGCGTGACCCATTCTTCGGCCTTAGTCGCTTGAAAAATGTATTCGTTTCGCATTTTCGAATTCTTTCTCCGGCATCCTGAAGTTCACCAGAGGTTTTGGATGCTAGTAGATCTTACCACCATCTAATTGGACAATGTTTGTGGAGCATCGAAACGCAGGCTGCTGGCCATGGGAAAAGAACAGGACAAGGCGTGGGCTGAGGAGCGCCTCTTGGAAAGTCCAGCGTCGTTTAAGAATCAGACTGTGAAAGATGTCTTGGTCGGAGAAGTCGCTCCGGGTAGGCCTGTCGCAAGAAGCCTTCTGTTGCGGCTTTGGCCCCAATGACACATATTGTGCAGACGGCTCCTGGGTAAATGGAGGCCATCTTACCCAGCTCGGTAACCTTGTTCAGCCCGCTGTCTTGCACAATGCAGAAATCATCCACCCACAAATACTGATAGCCCATGCCAATGGTGACATAGATAGCGTCCAGGATTGTTTGAGGGATTGCTGCCGTGTCGATTCCGGCTTCGTATAAATGCACCCGGCTGTTTGTCGTCATGCTGGACTGTGTTCCGCCCTAGCAGTAGCTCAGGCAAACGTAGCGGATTGGGACGACCTTACTTTCCGACACCTTGACGAGGCGCACGGTCGGTGAGATTGATGCCCCAGAAATATGGGGCAGCATGGAAGGAAGGTCTGAGCCCTTATGCGGCTCGCAAATAGGGTGATTAGCCGTACAATTATTTATCAAGGCGCGGAGAGCCCGGCTACCTCGAGCTAGTTGCTCCTATCTCGAGCTAGTTGCTCTGCTAGCGAGTTCCCGTGCCGGAGATGATCGCCATTTGTCGGAGAGATATTGGCGTCCTGCTCCGGTAGCTGCGGGCTACCAAAAGACGATCCAGGGGATGTGAGTTTGGCAGGGGCAATTGTTTTATAGATCTGAAATTAATAAGCGCGATCCACATTCTCGTCGCCATCGGCAGCGACCCTCAATTCGGACCATTCCCAAGGATCCTTGACGGTAATGAAATCAGCGAGCAGCCCACCTCGTGCATTTATAAGAAGCATACAGAAGATACACCCCCGGGATGCATTTTGCAATAGCAATTCAGTGTTTTTACGAAAGAACCGCTGGAACCCGGCAAGCGCATCGCGATTTGCAGTGTATGATACTATGTCATATACCGTTTTAAAAAGACTTTGATCCTCAGACTCTCTAGCCGCACCTTTCTTCTCGTGATCAATCATGGCCAGAAGATGTTTATCCAAGACCGTTGTCTGGCACCAATCACATAAGACGGGGTTCGGCATTATTCTGAGATCAGGGCACGATGTAGTGGAGCCTAAAGTTGCTACCACGGTGATACTAGGAAATCTGGCACAGAAGGCTCCGTATATTCTGTGCTTTCGTGAAAGAGCGAGACTCATACGTGTAGTAGGATAAAAGGAGGAGAGTTTTGAAGCTGTTCAAGCGTCTGATTTATCTGATAGTGATAATGGTGATGGTAGAAGAAAGGAGAGGGGAAGAGAGAAGTAGATGGAGAGGAGAAAGTGAAACTGTCTACGGTGGCGGCTATGGACTGCCGTAAAGTCGGGTGCTGACATGACTCTGCGTACGGCAGGTTATAGATAGACTGCGATATCGCCCGTGGACGAGCACTACTCTTCGGACTTCCCAGGCACCAACCCACCTGCCACAAGGAGGTAAGACATGGCGGTGTCTAGTGTACTACAGAATTCTAGCATCGTAGACTAGACCTCGCCCTCACCCGCATGGACTCGGAACCGACCAGACCCGTAACCCGCACTCCAAATTCCTAGTTGCAGATGAGCTTTCCAAAGGATAGCTAGAATCAACACTCTCGGTGATCTTGATCTCATGAAGGAAAACCCATCCACTCCAGACGGCATTTCCGTTTAGGCGTGGCGAGAGAACTGCAGCGGTCAGCACATTGCCCAGATGGTTGCAAGATTTGAACACAAATGGAAATCCATGTCAGTCACAGACGATGCAAAGCCCCACCGTCGTGGCTATCTGTCCGAATGATCAATATAGGAAAGACCGGGACTTGAGATCCATGACCCTGATCGCCCAGTTCTTTCGACTAAGCAAGGTTGACGAGTCAACTGGATTTGACGGAAGCGAGGTTGATGAGCCAAGTGAGCGGAAGATGACATTTGAGTTACTACCATGTGATCAACATAAGATCAGATCCCACCGGGACTTGTTGGTCTTTTAGTTGTCTTATTATCAACCCCATGCCTGTTAATTCTGCGAGAGATCCCCCTTTCGCATTTGTTGCTTAATCCTATTTCAGATGTTTCAGCACCATCTTTCGTGGAGGTCTCGTCTAACAACCAGTCAGTTGGGTTCGCATCGCGAACAACGCTAGACAGGCTCGTCGAATTGGAGACGAAAAGCGAACCAACGTGGTACAGGTCACACGATCCCCTTCCTATTATTGAAGAGGAGAACATATGCCATCCAGATCAGCCATTCTGCTACAGTTTTCCTGAGTGCAAAACAGCATCACTTTATCGAAATAATTGGCTACCGCATTCTATCTCACAAATCAACATACCAAAGACCACCATCGGGAGATTCGAGCCGAGATAAAAACCTTCGGTGGGTTGGATGAATACCAGAGACAGGAGACAAGAACTTTTAATTCATCCAATGGAAGACCGGGAAAGCTGGCGAGGTAGACGGTACTATCCAGGAAATCTAGGAGATTGTTCAGAAAGTCGACTCTGAGTCATTGGAAGGATACGATTGCGAGTTTATTTGCATTGACCAGAAGTCTACAGTTGATAACGCCATCTATGTGATGTCAGATGACTTTGGCCTCAAACAGGGCGCCGCAAGTGGGCTCAACTCAAAGATTTGCCTAATCCCCGAATTCATGGAATAGCATTTGCTCGAATTCACCCAAAGGGCGTACGAATACAACTTGCAGCACTTCATACGTCCGGACTTACGACCGCATGGTCAAGTTAGATATGGATGTGACTATGTTGATGGAGATGGTAATCCTGTTCAGCTGAAGGATGATGCTAACCCAGGAGAGGAAGAGGACAGTCCTGTTGAGACAAACGAAGAAGATAATGGGTACCCGGACTTCCTTTTCGGTTAAGTCTTGGCATTTGATACGTGAGCATTGATCCAACTGCCCACATTCAAACCTCATAGCCCACCACAACTGGAACAATTTTAAACTGATTGAATATCTAAGTAGTAAATCGAGCTATTCTTAATCGATTTATTATAGGCCCTCTTCTCTAGCATCTAGCTACGTCTTTCTAGTCCCGGGGGCATATAGGAAGAGGCAAACCACTATGACCATGGACCATGTCTTACATAGAAGTTAGGGTCTAGCCAAAGCTACTGGTGAAAACTTTCCTTACGACTATCAGTGAAAGCTACCCGCAGCCCTGTCATTGGCTTGCATTCACCTGGCTTATTTTTTCAAGGCGTCCAAAGCCTTTCCGGCTTGCTGAAATAAAAATGTCTTTCATATTTCGTATGCAATGAGCTTTTCAACGCAGGCACACACCTCACTTCTGTATATCAATTATCCCCACCTGTTTGTCTAGAAGAAAAAAGAACAGCAAAAATATAACGTTGTATCATCCGACATAAAGTTCATATCGAAGACCTAGTTACGTTGTCGTCGAGGGCGTTGATATCTGGTATCTAGGTGGCTGTCTTCATCTCCTACCTACCTTATCTTGAAAAGGAGGCCAATGAGAGATTCAGCACTCTCTGATATATTTTTATGTATCAGATCGAAAGATAATTGAAGTCCATAACACGGCAATGTCTATACTCCCACACCGCCATGGCAGAATCAAGCTCGCGTCAAACCCCTTTAGGTCAAGCGCCCCAATGATTGCCAAACATCCAAACAATCCACGTAGATTGCAAGGACAGTCTTACAAGCATCCCACAATCATAATCCTATCTGTTATTCAGACCCAATCAAGGTATGTGACTACAATCCACCTATTCCTTGGAGGCTGTCCGTGCCCAAATTCGCCATCAATTGCGCCCCTTGTCCCCGCATTGCTCCGGAGTCGCGCATACCCCGTGCTATTTGGGACATGATGTCAGCCCAATGGAGTCTACGCGCGTTAAACTTTTAGTCTATCTACTCCCATACTAACAAATTTGCTGTATAGCACCCTCAAACCCTCCCAAAACCACCGCATTCAATTTATTCACAATGTCTGTCGAAGGCGCCTCTGCATCGGTATGTTGATCGCAAGTGGCACCACGGCTGCGCCACATCAATGCGCAGTTATGCCATGAAAACAATCTGCGGTACTATTGCATTATCACAAACAATACTGATAATGCTTTAGCCCATCCCCATCGAGGATCTACAGAAGATCACCGTCGAGGTACGCCACTCCCAAAATGCCCCGTGGGATTAACCCCACGCTAACGTTTCACCTTAGGCCTGCGAGAATGCCCTCGAGAAAAGCGAGGGCTATGAACACACCAAGGTCGGAACCTGGAACTCTCAGATTATCGTAAGCATCACCTAGCCGACAACTACTACCCCTACTGGGCAGGACAACACCGATCCTAACAATCTCCTGCACAGAACTCCATCCTCAAGGCCCTGATCACCGCCACCGCACCCACCGACGCCTCTAAGCCTCCTCCCTACCGGTTCACCGTCAACAGCACAATCGTGCAGCAGGGCGTGATTGACCCCTCCGTCGCTGCGGGTGGTGCACTCAGCAATGCCGGCAAGCGTGGTATGCACTCTGCCTCCGGAGCTTTCTGGGATGTCAACCGCGACGGCATGTGGACTTTCAAGTACCCCGGTGCTGAGGAGCGAGGGTTGGATGTCGTTGTTTGTGTGACGTGGTTTGCCATTGTATAAGGACGGGGCTGATTGTTTGTTGGCTTGTTCTGTCATGAGCATATCCATGGATGGCATAAATTTCCATATGCGGAGGTGGTGGCTTTGTCTATGAGATGTTCCTCGGACTTTTTATCGGATTTGCGTCACGGGCTTCATCTTTTTTTTTATGTACTTGAACATTTGTTTTTAGTGCTCTGGGTATTTTCAGATTTGTTCTTCTTCTTTTTCGTGTGATTTGATTTCAGTTCGCTCTGAGCGTGGTGTTGTGTTTTCTTTTAGTTTATGGAGACTTGCCTACGTTGTTCGAGAAATTGAATAGCCTTGTAATCATATATTTGACATGTTACCCCGACAGGAATATGTCAGATTATATATTGAGTCGTCTGCAGATTCAAGTCATTTCCCACTTTTTTCTTCGCTTAGAAAACTGAGACGGAGGAAAATTTTATAAAATGACATCCCAAAAGAATATCTGGAAAGACTACCAAAACGACAGGCCGAGGCTGTATAAGCGGCCGACTATCCTTATGTAGCGTAGGCAGAGAAAACTTGAAATAAATGCTTGATATTGTTATGGTATCTCGAATATGCAGTATCCTCTGTAGGATGAAAATAGGATGAGCAAAAAATCAATAAAATCCGAGTACAACGGCCTCCATTGACCGACCCGAAACACGCCAAATCACCAGACAAAACATGGAAACACCCATTACTTGCGCCATGCCATATGTAGTTTACCCAGAATATGATTAACGCCAATAGAGACCCATTAATTCATAAAATCAAAACGCCAGTTAGCTGGGGAATTCAACTTTGCATTCCGCCCCTAGCGAGGCTCGGAGTAGTCATTCAAAGCGACACAGACGGCACCTCGATGGTGGCCGCTGTACTGGCGGATAATGTTGCCAGTGCCGAGCTCCCACAAACGAGCGTAGTGATCACTGGAGACAGTTACGAGGTATGCGGAGTCTGCAGAGAAGGCGCAGTCCCAAACCCACCGCTGGTGATTGGCGAGTGTGGTCTCCAGGAACAGGGTGTGGTTGACTGGATCCATCGGAGGCCCGTCGGGAGATGAAGTAAATGTCTGTTGTGGTGTCTCTTGGCGAGGAGGGTTGTCCGTGATACGGAGGAGATCACGGTCTTGGGCTGGTGTGTCGAAAATGCGGAGCAGATCCCGAGACGGAGCGGGAACCTCGACAGGAACTACCGGAGCTTCGACTGGTGTTTCAACTGGAGGATTCAATGCCTCTTTTTCCTTCCATTGCTTTAATGCCAGTTTGGCAGGCGGGAATTCAGCATCGAGGTTCCAAACCTTTGCAGTATGATCCGCGGAGCAGGTTGCAAGGTGCTTGACATCGGGAGAGAGGAGAACGCGAGTGAGGTAGTCCTTGTGAGCTTGGAAGGTACAGACAGGGATAATGCGGGTGGTTTCGTCGGTTTGGACCATGCGCCACAAGTAGACATTGCCCTGTTGAGATATTAGCAAAGCATAAAATGCTCCATAAATCCAAGATCACGCACCTTCTTATTTCCAGCGCAAAGCAATGATCCATCACTGGCAACGCTGACACTGAGAACTGCAGTGTCCTCCTCCGGAATCAATTGATGAGTACAGACACTCTCGCCCAAGTCCCACACACGGACCATACCGGCGTGGTCACCACTGATGAGCTCGCCCTGGTTGGGATGAATGACCACATCATTGACCGCTGCCCGGTGGACATAATTCCGCTGCAAGCTACCGGTACGTGTATCCCAGACCTTCACAGTTCCGTCCTCGGAGCTGGTGACCATCCATTTCCCCTCGCAATGGAATGCCACGCCAGTGATGTTGTTTGTGTGGCCTTCAAAAGTAATCACGGGATTAGGATTGGTTGACTTAATATCAAAAAGCTTGACATTGTTGTGGCCCGCGGCGGCCAAGAACCTCTTATCCGGGGTAATACAGAGACGATTGACTTGCGAGTCTGGATGCTGGATTGTGCGCGAACAGATACCCGAGAGCGCTTCCCAAAAGCTAACAGAGAAATGATCAGCAAGAGTCTTGGTACAAATTGCTACTCTGTAAGTGCTGGATAGACGCTGCCGGCGGCTAGTTGAGCCTCAACTTACCGAATGGTATGGTCATACCCCGCTAAAATACGCAACCAAGGTAATTAGCTCAATGCCTGGAAGAATGCGGGGAGCTCATTGTGATGGTGGACGTACCGGTACATAGAATGACACTCATATTCGACAGGGCTGAGACCAAAGGAGTGTAGTAGGAAAAATAACCGGTCTTTGTGATATCCTCGTTTGGGGAACCACTGGAGTCCCTTGAGGCGTTTGGGGAGCTGGCAAGTCGAGACGGCCCAGGCCGAACGTCGGATGGAGTCCCATTTTCTGCCATTACAATCACGTGACTATAGGCACACGTGAGTAGAGCGGTGTCAGTGTGACGATAAGTCGATAGATGGGGGCGGTGGGAAGATAAGATAGATATAGGTATCTAAAGGGAGGCGGTGAAGCAGGTGAACATAACCACCTGGATGTAGTTGCAGGTAGTTGCTTGTCTAACAAGATACGTTCAAGATTCTGTAAGTAAAATGATAGCTTAATCTAGCAGTTTCTTTCTTTCTATTTGACGTTTATTTGACTATAATTTTAGGAAAATCCTTTCGCACTATCCAACTTGGTTAATCGAGCCTCATACTAGATTGGGCGGTACATTGAGCGGTGACATATATGTTGGGTCATGATGTATTATTGGCCAGAATAGATTTGAATGACTGGCAAAATAATTGATTGGCCGGCAGAAAAAAAACATCCCAATGTAGTCAAGTACATCTTGCGTTTGTCGTCTCTATTGATCATTATTGATCGCTATTGATCTCTATTGATGGATTTACTACAATAGCAATGTTACTTCATTTGTTTTTGTTTGCTCCCTTTGTTCCCATCTATGAGCCTTAATCCTTTCCTGGACGGTTATCACCATCCCAACTCGACGCTCTTCCTTCGATCTCTTCTTTTTTTCACACCCTCTCATCTCTTCTACAAGCTTTTCATCTCTTCTACAAGCTTTTCATCTCTTCTACAAGCTTTTCATCTCTTCTACAAGCTTTTCATCTCTTCTACAAGCTTTTCATCTCTTCTACAAGCTTTTCATCTCTTCTACAAGCTTTTCATCTCTTCTACAAGCTTTTCATCTCTTCTACAAGCTTTTCATCTCTTCTACAAGCTTTTCATCTCTTCTACAAGCTTTTCATCTCTTCTACAAGCTTTTCATCTCTTCTACAAGCTTTTCATCTCTTCTACAAGCTTTTCATCTCTTCTAAGCTTATTTGGCTCATCCAATTGTAATACACTCTGTCGATCAACATGGATCCAATTGACCATACCCACCCTGCCTTTGGGCTTAACCAACCTGCTTTCGACTCCCAGGCTTTCAATGCCTTTGCCAACCTGGATGATGGCGGGTGTTTCAATGCTGCAAGTGGCTTCACCTATGACAGCCTTGATTCTATGATCAGCTTCGACGAGTGCTATGCCAGTATTCCTGTCGATGCCTTCGATCAGTCTGGCCCTGACAACGTCCCTCTCCAGCCAGCATCCAACAATCTCCCACTGCATGCACCCCACAGACAGGTGCCCTACGACCCCTCGATCGGGATTCCATACACCCCAGAGGATACTGACGCCGACAAGATCCGGAAGTGGGAGAACCTCATCGCCCATGCCGATCTGGCCAATGCTGGCGTCCCTGCCTCTGCTTCTCAGATCATTGAAGAAGCGAGCGTTGGACAAACCCCACAGAGTGCGAACTCGCCCAACTCACTGTTTGACTGTCCTCGCTCTCCGTCCGTCGATATTGTTCAGACTCCCAGCCCCACTCCGTCAACTCCCTCCCCTTCCCAAGCTCCTGCAGCCACAATGGCACCTTCGAAGGCCGCGAACCATGTCACTGTGAGTCCCAACTGATGATTAACTCATTGATAGTATCAGGAAAATGTGCTAACTGTGTCCAACAGGCACGTGCCACTCCTCAAGCTGTGCAGCTGCCCCGTGCCTTGACAAACCGGAAGAACTATGCTCAGCATGTATCCCCCTTCGCCCCCGTCGCAACTGTTCTCCCCCCTGTCTCCTCTGTGCAGACTTCTCGGGAGCTCGAGAAGGCTCGCTCCCGGATCCAGAGCCTTGCAAGAGAACGAAACTATTACCAACGCGCCTTGCGCAAGGCGACCAGCGTCGATCCGAAGTCTGGTAAGACCAGCCTCCAGATGCTGCAGACAGAGAATGCGACCCTGCGCCGGGTCAACGCCAAGCAAGCACAAGAATTGCTGGAACTGAAGGAGCAGACCAAGCACAATTGGTCCCAGCATGCCTCACTTGGGGATCAGTACAATGCTCTAGCCAAGCAGTTGCACCGCACCCTAATTGAACTTAAGGAATTGAAGGGCGAGTGCTAGCCTTACCGAATGTACGAACCTCCGAGCTAGTTCAATGTGATTCAGACTATCTTCAACATCCATATTAAGGACTAATATTGCACACGGGCGTACGTAGTCAGGTTAACATGTCAATCTAGAGCCGCTAGCCTACGTATATGGCTTCTTGCATCCAAGTATGTTTGCTTAACTTCTGGTTCCCGCCCAGTTCAAAATGCTCATATTTCAAAGGCTGGTCTACACCAGAATGTTCCCACTCAACCAGGTAGTCATCATTTGTTCGTTGTAGACTGTAGTCGCGGTTTTCTTGACAACCCATCCAGCCTCGAGAGGCAATCGAATCATTCACTTTACTGGTGCTCTAGGTAGCCAATGGCCTATGAATATATGTATATACGTCGCTCTGTGTCTGTTCTGACATTGGTATCTTTAGGATCAACTTATTGCCGCACATCCGATGTAGCTGATATGTCTTAGTTTATATATACTAAATGCGAGTAAAAGTTGAGACGTAATGGGCACAATGTGGTTTACACAACCTTGTGAGTCTAGAACAGCTTAATTATGTTCTACTCGTTAGATTATCATAGCTGCTACGTGCAGTTAAATGACGACATATGGCACGATGGGACATTCCACACAACCCTGAAATTACCTACAATTTGTTGTATTTCCGGCACAATCGCCAGGACACTTTCATTGAGCGGGTTTGTCATATTCCTGGGCTAAGAAAAGCCAAGCGTAAAGCTTCATATCTTGCACGGGCAAACTCTACGGATGATTTTACATATTTAGTGTTGGTCAAATTAAACTTCTATAGTAGGCAGATCAAAGCGTGGCATAAAACTACCTTGCATGTTCATCAATGCGCAAACGTCCCAAAGCGGTTATAAGTGGGGCATCTTTTCCTCGAAAAGTTTGGTTCGCCTATAATGCACATTTGAGCAAAACTTTTCAATAACAAGGCCGGCTGGCCCAATGGCAAGGCGCTTGACTACGAATCAAGAGATTGCAGGTTCGATCCCTGCGTCGGTCAATCTTTTTGCTTTCCTGACTTTCTACGACCCGGTAGTCTACCTATGTCATGCCTACTACCTACCTACATAGAACACCGACTTCGGGGTCATGTGGCGACTATTTTTTTGGCATAGATAAAGGTAGTTTGAGCTTCATTTCTTCACGTGCTTTAGACTTTTGCATTTTAAACTCGACTCGGACCTTGCAGGAATCTAAAATATATGTAATATGGTTGGCATAAACTTTGAAAAAGATTAAACCTAATATCTTCCGGCCTGGAATGATTGGGCTAAAAGCAACTATAAGACTGGAATGTACAACATATCCCCTTGCTTCAATCGGCACATGATGCAGCCAATTTCAACTGAGCAGGCCACACCACAGTCTCAAACATGACGACATCAGCTTGCAGAATTTGAATACACCGGTGGAGGAACTTCGGGGATACAAAAACAAGGCACAGCATTGTTTGGTATGGTTCGTCGAAATAGAGGCATAAAAACTGGGACAAGCTCAGAGCCGTATATGTCAGCGGCGTTATTAAAGCAGAAAACCCCCTTCTTGAAATCACATCAAGTGGGTCTGGACTCGGAGTGGATGCAAGGGACACCAATAAATGTTCACCGTCCCGACCGGGTTCCCGATGTGGATGTCGGATCTTGGACTTCGGCATGCCGGTGTGCTCGGTTCGATTCGGATTTAGGTATTTACGACTTGGGAAGCCCTAGACGTTCCAGGGTTCTATTGTAATAATGTAAGGATCTATTACCGCCCGGACCATCGGTTCCGATTGTGGTTTCTAGTTTATATTCGTGCTTTGCTCGTTCTTTCCTTTTGGCAGGTTTGAAATTCTAACCCGTCGAGGAAAGGGAAGCTATAGAAGTTTGCTCGTCATGGCGGATCAAGACGAGATTCGAGGCAATTCGGTCTACCAGATCGAACAGCCTGTTACTGAAACACCCTCGCCGGTTGAGAATCCTGTTGCTGTGAAGGAACAGAAGAAGACTGGTTTGATGGCCAAGTCAGTATTCCCATACCTCATACTCCATAGCCCCTATGTTTCCTATTTACGGTGCAGGCAAGCAAATAGTACTAACACGTTCAAAGAATTGGCGGAATGCTAAACCAGGATATCCGCGAGGAAATGCCTGCATACAAAGATATTGAGGTTCACACTTGGGACGGACCCGACGACCCCGATAACCCATTCAACTGGAGCCTGAAATATAAATGGCTGCTAACGCTCACTGTATGCTTCATGTAAGCAATGCAATCTCAAACCCTACACATAGACTCAAAGCATCAACTAACAGCTGCATCAGCTCCATCTTGACCGGTCTCCCCGCAGGAACCTACGGCTCCGGCAACGACTGGATGGAGAAAGAATTCCATGTCCAGAACGACCCATTCCCAAACCTTTACTGGGCCACCACTTCCTGGAACATGGGCGCCGCCTTCTGGCCACTGATCTTCGTTCCTCTGACTGAGGCTTCCGGCCGCATGCCAGGATACTTTGTTGCATATATTATCCTTGTCATCTCGCTCTTCCCATCCGCGTTCGCAAAAAACTTTGCCACACTCGTCGTGACGAGGTTCTTTGGTGGCGGTGCTTCTTCCGTCTCGATTAACATCGTCGGTGGAAGTATCTCCGATGTGTGGCTTGGTGATCATGCTCGCAGTCTGCCGATGTCTATCTTCGGATTTACAAGTGTTATTGGTATTGCACTTGGTCCATTCATTGGCTCTGCTATTGTGCAGATTCAGAGATCGCAACCGTGGCGCTGGTAAGAACAACCCCTTTCTTCTCTTATGCATATCCCCGAGTTTTCATTAATCCAAGAACCCATCATACTAACCACCTTCTCTATAGGATCTTCTATGTCCAAATCATCTACAACGCAGCCCTAATCCCTGTCTTTTGGATCATCCTCCGCGAAACCCGCCCAGACGTGATCCTTAAGAAGCGCGCACGCAAAATCCGCAAAGAAACCAACCGCCCGGTCTACGCCGCTTCCGAAATCGACGCACCAAGCAAAATGCGTCTCCTGAAAATCTCCTTCCAACGCCCGACAAACATGCTCCTCACCGAGCCGGTCGTAATCTTCTTCACTCTATGGATCAGTTTCGCCTGGGGAATCCTATACCTCTTCTTCTCCAGCGTGGTGCAAACCTACTCAACAAATTACGGCTGGGGCACGCTATCAACAGGTCTAGTCCAGCTTGCTATCTCTGTGGGCGCGATCATCGGAACAGCCATCAACCCGCTGCAGGATTGGTTCTATCTCCGGTCTGAGCGACGCAACACAGAGAGGCCCGGTAAACCCATTCCCGAGGCCAGACTCTACACGTCTATCCCGGGTAGCTTACTCTTTGCGGGCGGTTTGTTCTGGTATGGCTGGGCCAGTCAGCCTGATATCCACTGGATCGTGCCGACTATTGGCATCACGGCCGCGGGTATTGGAATTTATTCGATTTATATGGCTGTTGTCAATTACCTTACTGATGCTTATGAGCGTTATGCGGCGTCGGCTTTGTCGGCTGCTTCGCTTGGCAGGAATGCTTTTGGTGCGTTTTTGCCGCTTGCTTCGCCGCAGTTGTTTAGCAATCTTGGATTTGGCTGGGCTGGAACTTTGCTTGGGTTTATTGGAGTTGCGTTGTCTGTTGTTCCTGTTGTTCTGGTGTGGAAGGGAAAGCAGATTCGGGAGAGGAGTACGTTTATGAGGGAGGCTATGTGGGAGCCTGAGGAGAAGGTTGAGATTGATCGGACTGGGAAGGGGGATATGGGGCATAATGAGGGAATTGTGTGAGATTAAATATATTAGGGGGTTCCTTTTGCATTGTATTGCATGGTTATTTATTTTGTTCTACTTGTTTTGTACTTTCATGTATATAAAATTGCAGGCGGTGTCAAAAGACTAAGCATCGCTTGTTCATTTGAGATAGATTGAGCTCCAAGTTACTGATTCTTATAGCCAATAAATACATCGTGTTAATCCGTATACCGCGACGATGACTGCGAGGGATCTCCGTCGTTCTACAATCCTTGATTATGGACATTGGGCTTTGCACGTGTCAACAGTAGGACTGGATTAAAACACGCCTATACTCTGTCACAACGCTCATAATCCTAAGCTATGAACTAGCATGATCCTAGGTTATACATGGAAAAGCGCTTTCATGAACCAAGTCTCTTATAGCTTTCTCCGTCTACGTATAAAACCGAAAATACCTCAAACAATGACACATAAACAAACAGACTATGTGAAAAGACCACTGAAGACAGCACAAGGATAGATAGGTCAATTATTCTTGTATAAGTAAATTGAAACAGTCAGTACTAGTGCGTCCCCATGTCGTTATTGTATGGTGAATGAAGTATTGCTCTACTTGTTAACCTTGACGGAAATGTACAAAGATTTGTATTTGAGCGAAATAGACTAAGCACATGAATTTATTGTTGTGTTTGTTTTATGTCCATCTAGTGGCTGTTCTCTATATAATGCCAAGAGGCTAGGCTATAGAAAGACAAGAAACCAAAACCACAACTTCCTGCACATGTTCTATCAAACCTAAATCCAAGGTGGGAAATATGGTGGAAGAGGGTATCGGGGCAAAGGGGTGAGGGTCAGGTGAAATGGCCATTTCACATGGAAGTTGCTTTTGGGAAACACTTTCGCTATCAAACATTCAACCATGCAAATTTTACTTTTGCTTTTGATCACGCATGTTGCGGAAGAAATCCATGACACCAGTGTAGACAACAAGCAAGATACCACCACCGGGACCGAGACGGAGGACCTTAGGTGTGAAACCCTTGTACAGGGCAGCGAAGCCCTCCTCCTTCATCACAGTACCGAGAGCAGGCCAGGCCCAGTTGTACTTGGCGACCTGACCGGGGACCTTGGAGGTGTTCTGGATACGGGACTTGACAACGTCCATGGGGGTGTTGAGGAGAGTACCGGTGATACCACCGACGGTACCGGCGATCAAGTCGTTGCGGGTCTGCTGGTTCTTGTTACCGGGCTCGACAGCGGGCAGCTGTGCGCGGACCTGGAAGATACAGCCGAAGTAACCTGCGTTCCACAGGACGTGACGCCACATGGTCGACTCAAGGCCGTTGTACATTGCCAGGGGGCCTTCGGCGGCCACGATCTTCTTCACCACGTCGAGCATGCCGTTGTACTTGTGGGCCTGGGCCTTGTCTTGCAGACGGATCTTCACCAGCTCGAAAGGAACAACCACGAAGGCTTCGGTGGCACCGGCTGTGGCTCCGGTCAGAGTGGCCAGGCCTTGGGTCTGCTTATCGACGCCGAACAGGTTGCGGTAGAAACTGCCCCAGCTGTCGTTCGCGGCGAACTTGGTCGCACGCTTAGGTGCCTCCATCAGGATGGGGGCGGAGATACCACGGTATAGACGGGAAGCACTATACGTTGTCGCATGTTAGAGAGAGAGCCGTGGCTGCTTCGCTAGGGTGATGACATACCCCTCGTTCTTAACGATCTTACGGAAGCAGTCGAACATGCCATTGTAGTGATCGACACCAGGGACTGGGGCACCGGTCTGAAGCTGACTGCAGGATGTCGTTAGCTCATGTCATATGAGGTCGGTGTTTGTTGCGACCGGCGGGCTACTTACATTCGGGTCTTGAGCACGTCCAGAGGGTACCTGCGAGTCACACATCGTCAATTGGGTCCAGTTTTCACATTATACCAAGTATATCTCCAAGAGAAGCAGTTATGCGACCAAGAAATGTGAGTGGGGAGCCGTACATGATCAAGATCTGCGTGCGGGGAGAGACATGTTAGTCAATAAAGCACCTCGTGGGGGGGCTTCCGACACAACGAATCAAGTCGGAATCGCTTTTCAACACAGAAGAGACATACCTCGGAGACACCAGCCACCGCACCGGCGGCAAACTGGTAGATGAAGGGCAGGGGTGCCTGAGGAGTTTCGGACATGATGGCGGCTTAAGCTGTGGGATGTCAGTATGAGGCCATAATTGGGCAATATTGGGATCGCAAGGGCATCACAAGGCAGAAAGTTGTGCTTAAATCCCGACAAATTTACTCACAAGACGTTAAAAGAACGAGGGTTGGGGAAAGAAGAAGTGCGAAGAGAGGAGGTGGCCGGTGTCGGCAAGATTCGGTGATCAGCTCCGAGTGCAGTAGCCGGTAAGTTGTTTTAGCCCCATTGCCGATTACTAAACCCCCGTGGGGAGAGCTATAAAATTACATTCTCTGTTTTCGAATTTATTCAAGTTATCATCAATTCGTGTTTATCATGTCTATCTCTCTCATAATATCAAAACTCCCAAACTCATTCCAAACATCATCCCAAACATCATTTTGCTAACCCGATGCATCACGCCATCTGCACTGGGCGCGGTGGCTTGTTCCTTGGCGACAGTCGTCGCAACCGCGGTGTCGCTCGCAGTACAGCTAGCACCGCAAGCAAAGCCCATGGGACAGCATCCTCCGCCCACAGTGTCCGCACAGTGGAACCAGCCCTGGGCGCACCGGCCCCCGCCAGAGTGTTCCGTCGTTGTCGCAACAGGTGCTACAATCGTCACGCCGTTCGATGTAATAGTCGTCGAAGCTGTGGTCGGACATGAGGTTGTATCGCAGTCTCGGCCTGTGCGACAACAACCACCGTGGTAGACAGCGGAGCAGGCGTAGAAACCAGTCGGACAGACATCTTCGCCGCGGGTTGCACTAGTTACTGTTGAGAGGTTTGTAGGCCGTGCTGGCGGTGCCAAGCTATCGTTTGTTGTAGTCTTGCTGCTATGGGAAGAAGTTGTCGAGGAAGTGGAAGTAGTATCCTGTGGTTTGGTCGAGTAGGTCACAGTAGACAACATCACGGTCGAATGAACAGTCACTGTAATAACAGTGATGTATGCACCTACTCGAACGATTAGTAAAAACGCCTTTCGGTTCCCATCACGCTGAAAATGAGAAAATAAAGAAAAGAAATCCACTCACATCCTCCTGGAACACAATCATACCCCGGAATACAACATCCACCCCCAAAAGCCGACGAGCAAGCCGTATACCCACTCTTACAAGACCCAATCATCCCGGAGCACATCTTCCAGCTAGGACAGCAGCCCACATCGCCGTGCCCCGTATCTGCGACGATCTCGCACGTCTCCCCGGCCCCACAGCAGCGATCGGATCGATCGATAGAGGTGCACGCTGATGTCCCAGTCGGGCACTTGAAGTCTCGTGACTCCAGCAGGCTCTTTGCGCTGTAACTGTTTCCCCGGTGAAGGAAAACACTGTCTCCTTCTGAACCCAATGAATAAGATGGCCCGAATGGGTATGATTGGGTCACAAATCGCGCAGGGGAAAATCCGTCTTCGTCAGAGAGGTGTCGCTCAGATAGGTTACCTGACGAAGAGACATCCCCGAAATTCCAGTAATCAAGGAAGAATTTCTCGCCTTCGTCGTCGCTCATTTTCTTCACGCCGTGGGCTGGTCCTACTGCGAGCTGGGATACTATCGCGGCATTGCGCTGTAGGATGAGATTTGACGGTAGCGGGGTATTGCCCTCTTTGGATTCATCCGCTGAGGGGTTTGTATTCTCATTTTCAGCTGAGGCCAGTGATGGAAACTGAGACAGTGAGCAGAACACGGTAAGGGCGTGGAGGAGCTGCATGCTGCCACTGAATATTGAGAATAGATCTCGACTTTTTTTGGTTGAAACTAGTGACAATAGGCGGGTTAGAGGCTAAGGTGTAGTTGGATAGTTGTTTCAGATGTGTGTTTCAGTAACAAAGGTTGTGAATGAGTTGGTTGGGAATGAAATTTCGAGGGTTGTTATTGCAATGGTGCGAATATATATTTCCGTGTCCCTTAGTGAACATAGATCCAGTTGAATTTGACAAATATGAGGTGAAAAGATACTACTCAAGGAATAAATTAAGGGCGCATTGGGTATTCTATATATCTGCAAAGCTGCATGGAAAGGTGGCTGGGAGTGCAGGCACACCGCTACGCATTAGCTTGCATTAGCTTGCAGGATAAGTCACAGGTAATCGTATACCATATTTAGTACTCCATGGGAACATTTATATTAGCTGGTTTGAGTATTGGGGGTTATTCTCCATATATATATACCCTACGTAGTACGGCATCAAAGAGATCACCTCAGACTGTTACTCCAAACTAAAGTACATCTCAACACTAAACTCAAAAGTGCTCATATCATTTGCAAGATCAAAGACGAAATGCTAGTAGCAGTGTCGCAGGGTATCGTCAGTAAATGACATAAGGGGCTCTCGCATAGGAAACACGCCAAAAGGTATCAACGGAAATGAAACATACAAAACCAAGGCCCCAATGCGATGCCAAATGCAATAAAACATGAAATAAACGTGTGAATCCAATTTCTCTTGCTCTTGGCAATAAAAGATTCGGTATGAAAGCTCGTATAGTGGGGGATGACCAGGCTGAGGATGAGGCAGAGGGTGAATGGATGTCCTTAAGCAATACAGGATCAAGTAGAGGGCTGTTCAGTGTGGGCCTTGTCTTCCTCTGGCGCTTTGGGAAGTGGATTCCCTGTGTCGGAAGATGGCGACTTAGGCGGCTCTTCTGCCTTGTCTGCCTGATCGCCATCATCCAGGCTCGCCTCTTTTCCCCCTTCTTGCTGGTCATCATCAACCCCGCCCTCGTTGTTCTGCTCCGCTGTCTGAGCAGCAGCAGCTTCCGCCTCTGCCTTCTCCATCTCGGCATTGCGGGCCTGCTGTCTATCCCAAACTTCTTTGCGGATGCGCTCGTCCTTCGCAGTACGGAGGCGCTCAGTTTCTTCGAAACCACCACTCTTCTTCAATTTGCCCTCGTCGACAAATGCACCAAGCTCCTTCTGGAAAAGACCGATTCGCCGGGTCTCAAGCTCCACCTTTCGTGCTTTCTCTGCTCGTTCAATGGCCTCAAGTCGACTCTCGTGGTTGGGTCGTAAAGCGCGCACCTCGCCCAGGACACCATCCTTGGCCTTCATGGGATCAACGGTTGGGTCAATTCCAAGAGTTCTGGATGGGGCGCGGACAGCAGTGCCACTAGTTGGAGTCGTCATGACCTGCTCCTTCGTAGCCTGCTCCACCAGGGCGAAGGTTTGAGTTGCCTTCTCGAGATCGTCTTGCAAGTCGGCAGCGAGGTCCTCCTGCATGGTAAGCTGGTCTCGTTCTTCGCAAACCAGCTGTAGCTCCTTCTCCCAGATCTTAGTCCAGATAGGCTTCTCACGACCCAGGAAGTCCTGCATTTTCTTAATTTCTTTCATGACCATGCTGATATCACGGCTGACACCCTCCAATTGTCTTGGGAGAGGACGAACACCGCGGGTCACGACATCCTTCCGAAGATCTTCAACCAAATCTTGGAGATCATCGACCCGAGCGACCAACCGCTCTGATTCACCTGCAAGCTCCTTCTTGCCAGTGTTGACGCGAGCACGGCCAGCGTCACCTTCATAAGAGGGAGTGGTAACGTCATCAGCGGCGGTCTTGACCTTGCTTGCCTTGGCACGGACGGCGCTCATAGAACCGGTGATATCGGCAGTAAAGTTGGAGTAGGTCTGGCGCAGGACAGCCAAGTCACGACGCAGGGTCTGGAGCTCGGCAATTTGACTTCCGCTGCCGGCAATCGATGTCTTGGAATGCCCTCCAACGGCGGCAGGACCAGAGGTGGCTGGAGGAGCAGCAGCTAAGCGAGCATTTTCTTTGGCAGCCTCAAGCTGGCGATCTGAAACCCGCTGGATGATATTGCTTTGGCCAGAAAGTGTCTCTTTGACGCCTTCGACCAGGAGGCGCACGTTACCAAGGCTGTCATCGAAATGTTTCTTGACCTCATCGAGATTGTCAACGTTCAGCACCAACACAGACCGATCTTTAACGTCAGTAAGGTCTTCTAGTTCATGTCGGATGCCTGAAATTGGGTCCTGGATGTAAATTTCTGGCAAATCAACGCCGTTGTCGTGGGTATTCCAGGCAAATTTCTCAATGAAAGCAAGCTGCAGGCGCCCAATGGTGAGCTCTGCAATCCCATCTGGAAGCACATACTTCTTGATTTTGCTTTTATATTGAAGGAACAACGTCAGTTCTTTACCCGGTGAGGGTTGCTCAGCGGTAAAGTGAATAGCTGATGAAGGTGTTGCGATCTCAGCAGACAATCCAAAGGTGTCTCCCCTCGGGGTTTGGGGTTCTGGCTTTGCGGGCTCAAAAGCGCCTTCAAGTGTTGACTTCTCTTGGGATAGGGGAATGATCGGATGAGGAACGATGGCAGATTCCACGGTATCGTCTTTCTCGTCGGGAGCATGCGCTTCGCGGGGCGCCTCGAATGATGTGGTATTGATCTCTTGTGGCTCTAATGGAGGCGCAGCAGATGGCGGGCTTCGTTCTTCTTCCACAACATCCGGGATATGTGCCGGTGGGGGAGCTTGCGCACCCTTGGCGGCTTCCTGTAAGCGGGTGTTGGATTGTTGTCTTGTATGAGGAAATGAGCCCCGCAGGCGGACTGCGTTCAAAGATTCGTGGACATCACGGCCGCGATTGGGGATGGGAGAGTTCTGGGTAGGCAAAACAGGAACACCGTTTGTAGATGTGCCTAAATGTTTCTGGATTTGATAAGCAGAGAATCGTCGCGAGGCACGTCGCTCAAGCTCTCCACTTCTTTGCAAAGCTCCTAGTGCGTCATCTTCCTTTGGCGGAGGTGGAGGTGGAGGTGCAGAGAACCCGGTGGGTGTCATATATGTTGGAGGCGCAGCGGTATTGGATGTGCTGGCTCGAGGGGTTGTCTCATTATCGAAGGGGGTGGGCTGAGACAGCATTTGCTGGGCCTCTCGCCGCGATATTTCTCTTTCGGCGTAGTTTGTCGTGCGCGGCTCGGTTGTCGACGGCGCCGAGGAGGTTCGAGCAATGGCCGGTTGATCCTCCAGAGACCCACCACTGCCATACCGTCGGTTCGATCTTCTGGGGGACTGGGCTGTCGCCGGCAAGGTAGATGCCGCAGCTTCATCATACAGCTGCCCAATTGCCTGCCCATTAGCGATGCTTCCTGCACTGGCTTGCCGTGCTGGTGCGGGCCGACCATCCTCGCGCTGGTGCCGGGACCTTAAGCGAGCTTGCTTCTTCTTCAAGCCTTTTAACAAGTTGATTATTATATCTCGAATTCGGGGAAGGTATCTATCGAGGCTCTGAGAGGATGCGTCTTGGCTAAGGGTGTCTTCAAGTATGGTGCGGAGCAGGTCTGGTACGGGACCGAGGTCTGAGGTGTCGACTCCGATGGCACTGAAGGCCCGACAAGCCAAATTAAATTCATAGCCCAGTCGAACGTATACATCCGAGACATCGTTCTCCGACGCTTGCTTCCGAGACCATTGGGTTAGAGTTTCGAGGAGTTGTTTTGTCGCAACCAAGAGATGCGTCACGCTCTTTTCGATTTGGGATATTTGCTTATCGGGCTGTGTAGGGGAAGACGCCGGTTCATTAGACGGGTTGTATGCAATTGACAGGCAGCCAGAGACTTACTTGATTCTTGGAGTGGGATCGAGAGGAGGCGGAGGAACTGCGACCGGACGGCTGGGTAGCCATGGGTGTGTCGGCACTGCCAGACCCAGAGGGTCGCTGAGGGGACGTTTGTTGATCCAGATGTTCAGGATAGGGGAACTGGGTTCTTGAACCGTCTGAGGACTGCATAAGTACGATAGGCCAAACCGAGGGAGTGAGAACAGAAAGTGAGAAATAGGGCAGAAGTGGTGCCAAGCATGTGTGAAGATGATGCCCAGCCTCCTGTCAACTTACCGCATCCGAAAGATCAGCAGTGATTTATGCTCCAAATACCAAAAATACCATACATTACTGTATAGCCCTGTAATGATGTACAAGGGACAACGCGTTACTCGAGTGTTCAGTACGTATGTAGTCCATATGTACATATATTGACCATCGACCTCCAATTTGATGTCATATAATCACATGCTTGTATCTGTCCTTTATATACCCGTTTAAATATGAATACATATAGCATACAACATATACAACATAACGCAAGGATTCATCCACTGATAAGTACCCGATAAGGCCTTTGCCCTTCCTGGAAGGTCAGGCCTTACTGTTCCACTTCTCCACCTCTCTATTTATATTCGTGTACGGTGGAGTCATTTTAGTATTGCAATGCATTTCAGATCTTTTGTGATTCTAGCAGATTATTACCTCGGGCTTTTATATCTCTCTTTCTCACTTCACCATCATAAATATACCCGGGGACTGTGGAAATAAAATTATATTTGCAGAACAAAAATTGAGCTATAGCCTGGTAAGTTTTTCTCACACAACTTTTAACATAGACATAGATCGTCGATCTACGTTATGCGACTAAACATGATTCTTACTATACCGATGATCCAAGGCACCGACTACTTCATGTCAGGCGTCAACGGCTTCCGACGCCTTTGCAACAAGATACCATCCAAGGCTGGAACTCTGGACGCCGCAACTCAGCAGCCTATATTGTAGAATCTAGATACCTCAGCTCTGGAGCTCCGGGGCCTTTATATCAGACAATTTTACTCCAAAGGATCACATCCAGATTTCCCAATCGTTACGATATATAACTCTAAGCTCTGGCATTTGAATCTACATAGTGGACCCGACTGTTATAATG